TCCTAATGAGGTACAGCAACTGATTTTTTTTTTTCTCTCTTTAACCTGCACCCCACCTCATCTTTCTTCTTTACTTCTCTTTTCTCCTTTTTGTGTCTGATTTCCTCTTGCTCTTTGGTTACCCTACTTTATTGATTTTTAATGGAGTCCATGTCAGTGAATAAATTGCTGGAAAGACAACAACAACTCTTCTTGCCTGCCTGTAAGTACCCTCTCTTGCATCTTTCTCATCTGTTTATTTGTTTATTATTTCTTTACTTCTTTGCTAGTACCTTTCTCATTTTTTTTTGCTTCCAATCTTCTTGGAACAATATTTGTTGCTAACATGCCATCCTTTACTTCAATATAAAAATATGACTTTCTGATATAATTTCTTTCTTTCTTATGTCTTTTTGGCTCTCTCTTCATTAAAAAAGAGGAGAAAAAAAGCGTTGTAGTATTTGGCATGCTTATGTATGTATTTCTGGCTCCATCATTTTATTTTTACATATATCTGTAGCTACTCGTTTTTTTCTTGTTTATCTTGAATCTGGAAGCTTCATGTCACCCAAAGATAAATTTTACTATTGATTGGATTCTTCCCTTTTTTGTATTTCTTTTTCTTATTAAGCTAATTTCTACAGCACTGCTGATTATTTTTTTCTTATATAATTGTGAAATAGTTTCCTAGATGAGGCATAAACAGTGACAAGAAGTTGAAGCTGCTGGGGGTGATAACTAATAAGGTGTGCAGAAGAATAAATCCAAAAGCACAGATTGATTGAGTGAAAGATTTTATGGACTGGAACTTGAAAGCTACTTCTTGGGATTTGACTGAACTTGTTAACGAAGCTGTACCAACCATAGCTGCTGTCAATGGATCAAGCAACTATGGAGTTCCTAGGAATGAAGGGGATTTCTCAGTTGATTTGAAGCTTGGTCAGGTAGGAAATACAGGAGAAGAGTCGATGAATAAATGGAAGGAACCAGGAGAGTTAAAGATGGAGTCTTCACCTTCCAAGAGGGCTCGAGCAACTAATAATGGAACTCATCAGGTTTCCTGCCTTGTTGATGGGTGCAATTCAGACCTCAGTAGTTGTAGAGACTACCATAGGCGCCATAAGGTGTGTGAACTTCACTCCAAGACTCCACAGGTTATGATTAATGGCCAGAAGCAACGGTTCTGTCAACAATGCAGCAGGTACTTCATCTATTCTGGTTTTGCATTTCTTGATTACTTGAATTTTGTACAAAAAATTTGTGTTGCTCTAGTGAAATGTGATATGATTCCTTCTCTCAGTTACATATTTCCTTTTTTTGTGGTTACTTTTGCTTTGCTGGTCAATATTTTTGAGTGGCTGCTGCTGCGAGGAACTTTGGCATTGCGTATGGTAGGCATAATTTTAAGTGATAAGATTCTGATGGGATTTTGTGATTTGAGTGTAATACTTAATATAGGGGCGAGGTAAAATTCATGGCTTTAAGAAAATTGCTTTACCATCAATTGTTTCATTGTTACGCCAGATTGTGATTTTCATGTTGAGTGAGAGCTTCACTGCAAAGGGTTTCCGGTGTTTCAAGAAAAGAAAAGAATTCTCTGGAAGAATGGTCGCCATTGTGAGCTAAAAGTTAACCTGAATCTTTCTTTGTCTGAAAAGAAAATGTTTAACTGTTGTTTCTAGGCTGAGTTTTCTCCACCGCTGTCCCCCACCATTTTCTTTTCGATTTGGTGGTCCTCTTCTTTGTAAGTACTGTCATTTGTCCTTAAAGTCCGTCTTTGTTTTGAATCAATTCCTTTTCTTTAACTCTTTACCGTTATAGATGCTTTATTCAACAAATGGGGTAATCTCATTCTCATAGAGATATCTGTTACTTATACCTATGAATAAAGGCAGTGCAAGCGGGCAATAGATTCTTTGCCTACTTCATCATTAACTCAATGCTAATAACTATATCTAGTTTGGATCATGTTTAGTATTGTTTTCTTCTCATGTATGCATTATGGTCTGAAATATCAACCAATGTAATCAGTTCCTCAAATTAATTACCAGCATTTCAATTCCATTCTTTTGAGGTGTGGAACTTTGCAATTTCCTGAATTCCTCAACAGTCACCTCACTCTTTTTGTAGGTTTCACTCACTGGAGGAGTTCGATGAAGGAAAGAGAAGCTGCAGGAAACGTCTTGATGGACACAACCGGAGGCGAAGGAAGCCTCAGCCAGATCCCCTCTCACGTTCTGGGAGCTATTTTTCCAATTACCAAGGTCAGCTGTGCCTATGTTGTTTGACTGAAATTAGTTTCGGTGTATTTAAGTATGACTGAATTCAAGCAATTATCCTTGAAATGTTCACTTTATGAATCAGCTCACTGAGGTTTCATTGATTTATTTTGTTAAAAGTAACATTAGAACAGTCTAGTGGCAACCAGAGTAAATTATAGCAGTCTATTTTCCCCTGCTGACTTTTGAGAATTGATTTAAGGACATAGTCTATTTATGGTTTGATCTTGAATAGTTCTATTTTAATCTCCATGAAGCTTATGTAAAGCACTCCTAAATGCCGGAGAGCAGCCATGCCTTAGGAATACATTGTAGAAACTTTTATAACTTCACAATGTTTTGTCCTTCTGACTTATTTTCATCGACACCCTTATGGGTCCTAATGGTTATAAATGCTAATCTGCTTGTGACTTTTACAAGGATTTATATTAAAATCCCTTGTTTCCTGTTAACAGGTTGGTGAGTAGTCTAGAACGTAGCAACTTAAAATGCACCATAAGAGCAATCTCTTCCAAAATTTACAAGTAATAAGATTTTTGAATCAATATATATTCTACATTTCAGGTACCCAGATGTTGCCATTCTCTAATTTGCCTGTATATCCATCCACCACTGTGGTGAAACCTACTTGGCCTGGAGTTACCGATTCTGGGACAGATTCTAGGCATCTTAACCAGCAGCAACAGTTACACTCACCAGAGAAACAAAATCTTGTTCTTGGATCCTCTTCAAGCAACTACAGAGGAGGGAAGCAATTCATGTTCTTGCAAGGTGAGAATAACACTCCCCAGAATCAAACACTTCCAGAAGCTTCTGTCTGCCAGCCGCTTCTCAGGGCTACGCCTTTCTCTGAAGGCAGTGGGGGCAGCCACAATGTGTTCTGGGACAGGTCAACAACTCCAGTTCAAGATTCAGATTGTGCTCTCTCTCTTCTGTCATCTCCGCAGACACAGACATCTGGGATCAGTTTGAGTAGCATGGTGCAGCCTAACTCATTCCCCTCGGTGCAGCCCTTAGGTCCAAGCCTACAGAACCACATTATAGAGCCCATGGATTCGGTTGTTGTTGCCAATGGCAGGGACACGGCGGTCCATTGCCCAGGAATGTTTCACATGGGTTCTGGTGGATCCTCTGGCAATGAAGCCCCTCAAACTCTTCCCTTTCATTGGCAGTAGGAATTTTGAAACCTTAAGTGCACAATAAACATGGGTTCTTTTGTTGAACCTTGAGTGCCAAAACCTATAATGTTTGTATATTGAATTCAATATAACTGCTTTTTTCGTTGCAAGGTCGTGATTGTGCTAGGACTTTCGAAGCTGAAGCTCAGGTTTCCCCTTTTTCCGGGTTTGGATTTAGTATTCCTCATCTCATTCTTTCGGGGTGAAATTCAGTGTTCCCTGTTCTTATTTATGTTCATTTGGCTCTCGAGTAGGGTTTGTTTATTTATTTTTAAGTTTTGGTGTGGGTAAGTGGCCTAACAACACAGCAAAATGATTAATGGTGGACATATATTTGGTGACATATATATAAACTATGCCTCGGCATTTCCATAGCTTCACATCTTGCTTGTTTCTAGGCCATGAATTTTCATGGGAAATTACTCCTTTCATCCTATTAATGATCCTTACTAATAGAAAAATCTCAATCCATTTGCAGCTTTTACGAAATAGATTCACACTGGGGTTCACAAGCCATTAATATGTGTTTGATTCACTCTCCAGTGAAATAAGAGGAAAATATGATTATATATCATATACCAGTTACAAAGTGTTAATCTTCACATGTAGAGTCCTACAGGTGCAAAAGCCAACTAGATTCCTGGTTGCTTCCTCGAAATATCAGCACAAGCACACATTTCTAATAAATGCTGAAATCAGAACAATGACTAATGGTTGTTGCAGAATGCCTTAACAGAAGCATTTCCATTTCAGCATCCTTGACCATCACTTGCAATTCCATTTCAGCAATTTGTAAAACTTGTTTGAGGAGTTTAATCTCTTTTATAGTGTAAATTGGACAGCTGGGTTCTTCTTCTAGCAGGTTCTTCCCGCATTCTTTTCTTTGGATGGGTGAAATAAATTTACTTAATCCAATAAAAGCCCTGTATCAAACTCAAGCATAGAGTCATCGAGTTGCATCCATACTGCCTGCTACGTCAAGACGAACATCATTGTAAGTTTCGTAACAAAATAAATTATATCTTTGAGGCCAAGAAGTTACAACTTTGAACCCTACTCATTTTGTAGTCTATGTTCGTCTTTGTTTGTAGAATCAGTAATAATTTCATGGACGTTAATTCTAGAGAAATAAAAGAGAAAAATTGGGCGGAAACGCCTACAGAAAACCTGGCTGAATTACCAGCCGTATGTTAAGAAAGAGACAAGTAATGGCAAATGGCAATAATTATGGATGCTGATACTCAATTAAAGCAAAAGAAGAGAAGATCTGCTGAGGTGACAGAAATAACCAAAAAACAAGAACCAATCACTCCAAAGAATCCAAACTTCATATCCAAATAAGAAATGAATCCATTTCTCCTTAAATGGCTTTAATTGCCAGGTTTAGCCCTTTCAGGATTATGGAAAAGAAAAGAATCCTGCTCATTATCTCCTTTTCACAAGTACATAAAACGACGCTGCTTCTGTCGTTTCACACCTCTGAACTTTGCATTATAAGTACGTTCATGGCAGTAAACACAGTCGCACAGATACACTGCAGACCAACAGCAACAAGAAGAACAAAATGGGTTGTTTGGCTGCAGTAAACGATGATATTCTTCAAAACATACTCTCCAGGTTGCCAGCTTTATCCTTCGCATGGGCTGCCTGCGTTAGCAAATCCTGGAACAAAGTCTGCGATAGAGTTCTTTCTCGCCCGAAGCTTGTCTCTGCACTCTCTCTCAACCCATCTCTTCCTGTAAGTTAAAGCAACTGCTTATCCTTAATTATCCAATATCAAACGCTTGTTAATTTATATAGTCTAGCCCAGGCACCTGGCTCTAAAGACACCAAGAGGAAGAAAATGAATTTGTGTGTTTTGTTTAATTGGTTTCCAATTTTCAGGATGCTGTGAAAGAGGTTCTTGAGAAGGTTCTCTCCTCTCCAATTCGTCCACAGTTTGCCATTGCCTCTATTGGCTTGCAGTTTAGCTTGGAAGAGGCTCATCAACTTGTGTGGACTCTTTGCTAGAATCTTTATTTATTTTATGCCAAAAAAAACTCTTTGCTTTTGGATTTGTCTTTCATATATCTTGAGCCTTTTATAAATCACCCATACCCCCAATATAAGGAAAAAAAATAAAGGGTCTTTGGTTTGACTTGAGATATGATGCAGATCACTGAAAAACTGGGCTCCAGAACACCGGTCATTACCAATGCTACATTTGGAATTATTGGCAGAGATGCTCTTACTAATACAATGAAAGAGGTTTATTTTTTCTTGTTTGATTCCTAAGTTAAAACCATCTACCATTAGACTACGTTAAAGTCAGCTGAAGTTATCTTGCAGGTCAGGTGGAACTTCGATCCTGAGGAGGATAATTCAAATTCTCAAGGATCCGACGCTGCTAGCAATTTCAACCGAGGAATTGTTCTCATTGTTGGATTTCTACCTGGACTAAAGGTTGATACCATCCCGTTATTACGACCAAAGAGGGTAATGTTGCTACCTTTATTAAATTTCTTGTTACAGTTCTCATTGTGATAATGCTGTTCTACATGAATGCGCCATCTCAAACAAACATGGTAAGGCGGGATCTCTCCTGTTCTGAATGAGTGTAGTGCGGAAATGAAGCCATGAATTTTGCAATTCTACCAAGATGGGGTTGTCATATAATGTTTGTGATTGTTCTTTGCTGTTTTTAGAGGGAATACATAGAGTCCTGTGACTCCTTTTATCTTTCTTTTTCTCAATGCAATTTGTTTGTTCAAAGAAATGTTGACTTAATGATTTCAACTAATATCAGGAGCCCCGATTTACCATGATTGACAAATTTATGATGGACATAAGGGATTATACAGCTTCTGTTTCTGGCTGTATTGCTCCAGCTGGGATCATACTGTTTGGAGTGAGTGAGCCTTTTCATTATTTTAATCAAATAATCCACTTACTTTATTTCTTCTTCATGTTGGATTACTGATGCTTGGCATGGATTAATTTTAGGATCAACACACTGACATGACACCTGTTCTCGCAGAGATTGGTAAGTCCTCTTTTTCAGATATATATTACTCTACTATTGATGATGAGGTTTCTCGTTACCTTGTTGTAATGCTAGTAAAGATAATGACTTTGTTTAAGTATCAAGTGGCATTTACTTGTGTGTTGTGTCCCAATTTTTTATGGTTTCTTGTTTACAGAATTGCTTAATCAGATATTGTGTTTGAGAAAGAGCCTTCTCTTTTCTTGTACCAATTTTATTGGAATGCATTGCTTGCACAGGCTAAACATTGTTGGCAACCTCTTGTTTTTGTCAGATTGTGCTATGCCTGAGGAAACAGTAATTGTAGGGGATGCAAGTAGCCGCTTCTTGTTCAGAAGTGGCGGTAATTCTCAGAGTTCCATCACTGATCTGTACTATTTTGATGCCGTTGCTCTTGTATTTGCAGGGGATAAAGATAAGCCTCATGGTACTTCATATTTTTTACTTCTTCTAATGGATTGAAATCCGGAGTTATACACTGAATAGATTCACATTCTATATAGAAATGCTTCTTTCCAAAATGAATGATGATAGTATATAAATACTTGGAGATTGGCAATATTTCCTGAGATCTTCTTTAATCAACATTTCTGTTTCTCCCTGCAATGTCTTTTACTTCTTTGCAAAATTTCAAGTGCCATTGCTGTGAATGGTGCTTAGAGGCTATTTTAGAAATGTGAAAATATATTCCAGCCATTGAACTCTAAAATGACATATCCACACAGGTTCGTTGAATTGGTAAGGGGAGGAGCCCCTTTCTTGGGTTCAATCCTTGTGGAGAAAGCTTTGGGATTAAAATCTTCAATGCACCAATTGATGTGGGAGAGTACTCCCTTAAGATCCTTTAGTGAGGGGATTAGGTCCAAGTAAAGGCTAGGGATTTCCCTGACTGTATTACCAAAAAAAAAAATTTTAAAATGCGAAAAGAATCTGTTTTCATGGTGACAAGGAATGAGCAAACCAGAGGGAAAGAAAGTAAAATCATTTATGCCCAAACAACAAATTCTTATGGTTTCTTGTGCTATGCATAGATTCATAGAGCATATCCATTTGCTTAGAGTGGAAATTTGTTTTTTGCTTTCAGTTTCTGTGTTCTCAGTTTCTAAGGACGTTACTGCTGCTTCTTGCACTTGCTCTAATAATTGGTTTTGCTTGCATCATATTATTTTTTGAGGCAACAATTATGTTCAAGAGATCAACAACTCAGGCTTGGCCTGCTTTTTCTTATTTCTCCTCAGGTGGGTTGAGGTTCAAGGTTCAATCCCCACTCCTCCCTTGTATTTCTTCTTATGTATTAAAAAAAGGCTACGTTTAAGAGATCCCATATTTTATAAAAGCTAAAATGTACATAAGATTATAATTATTACGCTGGCCTATATGAGTGCTTGCTTGCTCATTTTGGTTTCACTTTTCATTTAGTGTAATACAGAGTTTTCTTATGTATTTTTGTCTCTCTCTCTCTCTTTGTTGTATTCTTTCAGCTTGCCAAATGCCATCATTTTTGGTGAAAAACATAGATCCTATTGGTCATATATGTTCCTGGTTTATTTGAACGAACAGGTATAGGAGAGACTCGATTCCATGTGACATTGTCAACAGGTGTAATGCCCTTTGGTCCTGAGCTCAGGGCAGTTTCTGTAACAAGCAAAGGCTCAGAATGTTCATGGCTCACTGCCTGCATGAATGGATACGATGAGATATTAGATAGCCAGAGGCTTTTGGATGATATTAGTGATGAGGTAATCATATTGATCAATATTGTGAACTCACCAATATATTTCGTGGGTTTCTAAATTTCCTTTTTCTTCTGCCAGACAAACTAGAATAAAACAACCAATTCTCAGTGCTTGTTAGGCTGCCCTTATGATATTTTTTCTTATCTTAATGCTGTTTCTGTACCTGATAAGCAAAGCGAATATTTATGTGTTGCAGATGGATGATGAGTCTACTGATTTGTACATTGGGGTTATTCAGAAAAGACCATCCTCCATTGAGCCGGAGAAATTGGAACTAAGAACATACTTGGCCTTTTATGAAGTTTTAGGGTAAGATTGGTAAAAGTTATTATCCCTTTGTATTTGCTTTTGATTCTGATCAAATATTAAGGACACTAACAAAAAATAGGTTTAAGTAAATTGATTCTTGGATAAAATTTAACTGCATTTTTGGCTTTAAATATAATCAAGCTTGGTTAAACATTCAGAGTTTTGTATCTTTCATCCCCTTTGCCTCCTTTTTGCTTCCCACTTATTTGCCCATACTTCTTACAGAAGGCAAAAGAATTGACTGTAAGTTCTCGTTATCCACAGGGGAGACGAAGAGTATTTAGTTGTTGATGGTGTTGGCATAAGACCTGGAGATACATTCCTGTTCTACCATTCGGACTCGGACACTGCATCATCATCCTGCCTTAATGCCTTTGAAAACCTCAAAGTTCTGAAGGCAGCTTCGAGTTCCAAAACCCGCTACTCCATCAGGGATGTTGCTGCTGCTGGTGGTGGTGGCGATGGCAATGGCGAAGTCTTTGGATGCTTGATGTTCTCTTGCCATTACCGTGGTGAATCATATTTTGACAGCTTCCCATTCTACAGTAACTTCCCTGGTGCTCCACTTGCAGGAGTGGTCTGTAATAAGGAAATCGGCCGTGACTCGACAGGCTCCTCAACTTCAATGTGGCAGCAAGCAAAAGGAGAAAGCCCAGCTCGTTGCTCCCTGCATGTTTGCACCACAGTTTATTTGGTGTTGTCATTTGTTCCACCATCTCCAGATCATTGAATAATTGGACAGCTTCTCCTTGTAATAATGCCTGTATGCAACTCGTCTGGAGTTTTGACTCTTGTTTTCTGTAATAGTTGCTCGGTTTCCAGGCTGTTGAGCCAAATTTGGAGTGTTTTAGACTGTCAACATCTCCGTTTTGTTCTAGTTTCTTTCTTATCGGAAGATAAGGCAAAAGGAAATGTTGCTTGAAAAGGCAATGTTCTATTTATTTTATCAGAAGCTAAACATTAGACTCCAAATTGTTTAGAACCATTTGTGAAACTACTGCATGATTTTCCTGTTTTTTTTTTTTTATATAGAGACTACTGTATTTGGAAAAGAATAATTTGAGTTTATATATAGACTTGACTTAAAAACAAAATATAATTTATTAAAAAATATTAATACTTAAATAAAAAATTTTATAATACCAGTAAATGTATTTTTTTTATATAATAATATTTTAATTCCTAATTTTTTAAAAAAATTACTCCCTGGATCCTTGTTTCTTTGTCCATCCTTTATTGGGGTATTACTAAATGAAGTTTTCTTTTACATATATATATATATATATATATATATATATATAATACTCTTGCTTTTTTATATTACAAATTTATTTTTCATAATTTTTTTATCTTTTATATGAAAAAGTATTGAATATTTAAATTATAATTTTTATTAATATAAAATATATCAAAAGTTAAAGAGAGAAAAAAAATAACAAAGAGAGTATTTATTATTTTAGTTGGATAAACTTTTTCCTCTCTGTATATGTCAAAAATAAAAAAGAAAGTAAAATAATAATAATAATAATAAAAAAGCCTTTCCTTCATTTTAGGGGGAAAAGAATAGAAAAAGGAAAACCGTGCACTTTACGGAACAACGAATTTCCAAGTCCCAACTTATTTAGGACGAAATGGAGTCAAGCCCATAGCGGGAGAAACATTTGATTACTTCTTCAGAGTTTGTCTTCACTTAACCCCTTCAATGGAGAATAAGAAGCGATCATCTCCATCACCTTCAACAACCAACAAGAAAGAAAGCAAAGGGTTTTGTCTAATGAACAATGATCTCCTTCAAAACATACTCTCAAGGCTACCCGCCACCACCTTCGCTTCCGCTGCTTGCGTCTCCAAGGCCTGGAACGCTACTTGCAACCGTGTCCTCTCTCGCCCTAGGCTCTCCTCGGCTATGTCCCTCAACCCTTCTCCCCGCGTATATCTCTCTCCTTTTTTATTTAACTCCCATTTCAGAAGAAAAAAAAAGGAAAATTTTCTTCTAGTTGTTATCGCTGATTCTTTCTTTTTTAAAATTTTAATAGGTTGCTTTACAAGAGGTTTTTGATAAGGTTATGTCAGAGCCAATTCGACCCCATTTTGCTATTGCCAGTGTTGGTCCTGGATTTAACTTGAAAGATGTTCTCCAATTCGTATGAATTCAAAGAACTTAACCTTTTTCTTCTCTTGCTTTTTTGCTTTAAAGTTTTTTTTAAAAATTTTTTTCGTGTGTTTGTTTGGGCAGATGGTAGAGAAATTGGGATCAAGAACTCCGATTATTTTATCTTCTGTTAGCGGAATTATCGGCCGAGATGCCCTTACTCATGAATTTAGCGAGGTTTTCATTCTGATTTTAAGTACTTTTCTGTCCTTTATTATGTTTAAATTAATAGTTTTTTGTTAATTCTGTTTTAATAAAAAAAATGGCAGGTCAAGTGGACTAGTGGTAATGCTGATGATGAAGTTTCTACAAATACTGGCATCGTCTTGAATGTTGGATATGTTCCGGGACTTAAAGTTGAAGCTATCCCTCTTTTACAACAGAAAAAGGTGAAATTTTTTTCTGCAAATAGTAGTATTATCACACAATTGCTAATAAATATTCAATCTTGACTGGTGAATGTTGCTGCAGCTTTATGAACTTGTTTGTTAGTTTGGATTCATTAAAAGAAAATTAACATGGAGAACTTTGCTAATATGTCAGACTCCTCAAGGGTCAATGATCGACAAGTTTGTGATGGATATTAAGAGTTACACATCCTCTATGTCGGGTTGCACGTCGCCAGTTGCGATTATAATGATTGGAGTTAAGTTTCCCTGTTCCTTGTGTATCCTTTATCTCCTCAAGTTAGATTTTTTACTTGGTTGCATTTTTGACATGCGGCACTGTGATTTTGTAGGACGCAGATGTTGACCAGAAACCTATCATTGAAAAGTTAGGTGAGCTTTTTTTCTTTTCCCCTACTTTTATTTTCATTTTGCTGTCAGTGGAGCAAAACTGTTCCTCCATTTGATAACTTGAAAAGATGAGGAGCAAAGGGGAAGCAACGATTCAAACCGTTTGTGCGTCAGAATTCAAAAGAATCCACTCAAATGTACCTGTTGTTTCTTTCTGGCTTAGTAAAAACTTTATCCTTTTTGAAATTCAAATGGAAAAATACCATGAAGAAAATATATGAAAAGCTCTGGCCTGTCATTTGCTTCGAATTAATATTCATAACGATTGCTCATATATATTCTAGTTTCAGCAGCTCAAACATGGGCCTAAGAGGAGGCAGGACACATGCATGTAGTACATTGTGCCTTTTGATCAACAGATAAAATGGAACATATAAATGTCAGATCAGTCATACATATCTACATGCTAATACCACCTCACCTCTTCCTAGCTCCCTACGATGTGACCTAGGAGGTCTTCATATTGCTTCTAGCTCAATTTTACCACTTCTCATTAGTATTCAGAAAATTTGTGTATGGTTTATTATTATCTCTAATATGATATCCATTTCAGATTATGCTATGTCTTCGGAGACCATCATTGTGGGTGATGAGAGAAGTCAATTTGTATATAGAAGTGGTGATGTTTCAAGAAATGTCAGCAGTAGTCTAAAATGTTCTCCTGATGCTGTTGCTCTTGTATTTGCAAGAGATAGAGACAAAGCCCATGGTAATTATTCCTTTGTTTATGTATGTATTTCTTTTTTCTCCTAGTTTTATGAAACTTATTAACTGTTTGAATCACTAACATGCATAATTTTCCTGTTGTAAGTGTGTTATGTAAAGATAGTTGATCTCATTCCCCAAGAAATCTCAGTATTAATTATATTACATGTCAATCCTATTATGTTAAGAATTTGCATTTGCAACATTTTGTTCATGGCAATAGATTCATCCTTGGAGTGTTAGAACTTGGAAGCAGGTGCATAAGGAAGTCTGTACCATATGTAATGGTTTCTTTTAATTTTTTTTGTACCGTATGTAATGGTTTCTTTTAATTTTTTTTAAGTGTGGGGTCGAATGACCCGTAAATTTTGGCATCATGTGTCACCCTAGAGGATAAGGATTTAGTTAGGTACCTTTTTTAGAGGAGTTCTTAACTTCCTAGCTTTTATTGTTTACTGTTTTTTGCTTGTTAATTGTTGATGTTAGTGAGCGCCTATGTACAGTTTCTGATCCCACGCTACTAGTACATACTTCCTTGCCAATGAGGCTATACCACTTTGGGTATCCGGCATTCTCAAGTCCCTGTGCTGTGAATTCATAGCTGACTTATTCTGGCACTGGATTCCTTCCCCCCTCTTTTGTTCTCACTGTCCCTCTCTAAAGAAAACTGTTACCAAGAATAGTATAAATTCCAGAATTCACCTTTTATCAGTTTTGCTAGCTTATTTTCTGGGAGCAATATTAAATTAAGTGGTTTCTTGTTTCTTCTTACTCAATCTTCCCTCCCCATTTTCTACATACTATATCATTAAGGCCTTGTTCTTGTTCTTCCTGTTTTTGGCTACTATATATAATGTTTAATTATCCTATGGTTGGTGACTTGGTGTCGAATCATGCAGTATATCACATAATGTTTTTATATGTTTCATTTTTTGGTAGCCTAATGCTGTTGTGCCTTAAATTTTCAGGTGTAGAGGATATTGAATTTCATTTTGCATTGTCAAATGGTGTCTCAGCAATTGGACCAAGGCTTAAGGCAGCTTCTGTTAAAGTGAGTAACTCTGAAAGTGTTACTTGGCTCACTGCCAAAAGAGAAGGACAGCACGAGGTTCTTGATGGTCAACGTATGCTGGATGATATCAATTATGAGGTACCTTTGTGCACTTCAGAGTAAATATAAGACAGCATGAGCTTTGTGCAAATCAGTTTGCATAGATTTAAAATATGACAATGCAGTGTGAACGCCTGTTCACTGAAACACTTTTTGTGCTCTTAATTGATCTTTCATCTTGAAGCCTTTTCCCTTTTGTACTGAAGTTTTGATCCGTTACACTGATATCGTATCAAAAAGATCCATGTGCTTAGGTGCTCTGATTATTCTTTATAATTCTTCCATTCTCTGAAACTTTCTAAAGTGAAAAAAATGTGGCAGATGGAAAATCATATGGAATGCGTTGATCTCTACATTGGAGTTACAAGACTACGGAATTGTTCTGTTGGCTCAGATAAACCAAGGTTGATGGCATCCCTGGCTCTACATGGAGTAGTAGGGTAAGATATGAAACATTGGTCATGTTTTTGTTTGGTTTCACATACAGCGTTATACAACATGCACGCCATGGGCTCATTTGCATGGGTTTCATGCCCAGATTTGTGCACATACAAACAGGTTAGATATTGTCATGTATAGCTATCAAACTCTCTTGTTCTATACCTTCTCTCCCTCAATACCCTGCACCCTTCCTGCTCTCAAAAACCCTTTTGCTGTGTTCATAGACATATTACAGATGAACTTGCTGAAACATCTTAGATAAGGAGTGATTTTTGGGGCCCTTTGTTATAGTTTCTGCAGTATGATACTTGGGATTTGTTTACAAATTACAAGTGGGCCAGTTTTTCTCCTTTAAAATTGCAATAAGAGCATTTGCTTTTGGATATGTTGATAGTTTCACTTGGATACAAGTCAATAAGAAATACAGTTAGTTAATGCTTTATCTGGGCTATTAGTATCTGAGGTAATTCTTTACCTACAATGTTGATGAATTTAGCAGAGAACCTTCAAGCTTTTGTCTCATAATATGGAGGGAGATGAATTGCCAATTGAGCCCATATCTGATCTTGGCTTTAACAAGATTAATGTTTTCATGTTTGATAATGCTATGACCGTCTGCCTTAGGGCATGTCTATGTGATGTTTTTTCTTCTCCTGGTTTTAACAACCAGGCTTTATATCAGTTTTGATACTAATAAGATAATTTATTTGATTGAGCCAAAAAAAAAAACAGCTTTCTTATGTAGACTGCTAGTCCAATAGATCTGTCTTCAGGATTAAATCACTCTTTCTAAGATAGATGATAAATAGGGCCATTTATCAGGAAAAACTCACTATTCTTGTTCTCATTCCTTTGTTTGGCCAACCAGAGTGATCCATGAGAACTATTTTTTATACTTAAAAGGTAAAAGTTTAGTAGAATCGTTGTTTCAACCTTTTTTTAAGCACACATTGTTTTTTCTCCCTACATTTCCTTTCTTTTTCATTTTAATTGAAATAACGAATTAGATTTTTCTGAACAGAGGAGATGAGGAGTACCTTTACGTTGATGGTGTCGGTATCAGAACTGGTGACTATTTCCAGTTTTACCATTCAGATCCAAAAACTGCATTACCATCATGCAGGAATGTCTCCTCAACCTTTAGAAATTTGAAGTTGGAATGGGATACGAAAAGCTCCCACAGCACAAGTGCTGGTGCTAATGCCACTGATAAGAAGGAAACTTTTGGAGGTTTTATCTTTTCTTGCTGTGGCCGTGGGGACCCATTTTTTGGGCACCTTAATGCTGACAGGTCTCCATTCCTTAATGTTGAAAGCTCCCCGTTCTTGGAGAACTTTCCTGGGGTTCCCCTGGCGGGAATATTTTGCGGTGGGGAAATTGGACGTGGCTATGTAAGCTTGACTGCTCATGGAGGCCAAGAAGAAGGCTCTGCTCGTTGCCATCTACATGTCTATAGCACTGTTTATCTGGTTATGTCATATACTCCAGCTGCAGTGCATTAGATCGTTGCCCATGGCTCCCTTCAATATGGATGGGGACATCCTCAAAGTCTCAGAGATGACTATAAAAGTAACCAGGTGTTGGTGCTGCTCAAGTGTTCTCATTTTTCTCAAGAAAAGTCATGGTGAATGACTTATCACAGCTGGCCTATTCGGAAGGCTTTGTTCTTGTGAATTGCAAGAACTAACAATTGCAGAACAAAACCAGCAACTACTTTGTACTAGACCTTTGCTATATTTAATTTGTCTTCTGTTTCTGATACTTAAGAAGAGAAGTATCTTTGGTGAATGGTCAGCAATAAAGATTGTGTTGCCTTTTATGTTTTATGGGTTAAATTTTTGTAGGACCGATTAAAAAATTGTTGTTGGAGAGGGGAAGCTGAGTCGAGTCCACTGGCTTGCAGGTTACAGCTTTAGGGATTGAAAAAAATTTCACACAACTTCTACACTATATTTTAGGAGGGAGGAAAAACTAGGGAAAGCAAAATAAAAATGGTCGGTTTTTCTAGTTTGGTAAAATGAATGAAGAATGGAAAGGCGCGAAAACATAGTTAATGGACATGTATAATTCTGAATCATCATATGATTACTTGTAATGAAATGGATGTTTTCTTTACATTTTCCTTCCAATTGTGGAAATGTTGGGTCATGGGGCATGGAAAACTGCAGATTCTTCCTTTTTCCCTTCTCCCCCACTTTTGCCATATGCCCTTCGCTCCCACCAAACCGTCTATAGCAGTAAGAAAATTACTTCATTAGAAAGAGGAGAATTTGGCATCATGCCTGACATTCCTCTAGTCTGTCAAACATTCTAGGTAGAGGTATGAGTTAAACTGCTGATGCTGCAAAGTGTCATCTCGTTTTCACTGAGCACCGGTAAATCAGCGTGTCAAGCATGAATATGGATGAAAATGGAATAAATTAAAGGGAGATGTATTGGAACCACATGTGATTAATGAGGTGGGAAGAACCTTGACCAATTGGAATTGTCAAGTTGTGTTTTGCTATGTGGATATATTCCCTCCCTGAATTCTTTTATGATGCCAAGTTATTGAAGGCACCAATATTTTCACCTTAAACTACGAGATCTGAGTAAAATGCAGACAAAGGTATGATAAGTAGACCAACATGAGCAAACAGACCCGAACAGCGTAATTAGCTTAGACACTGACAATTTGCATTACCTGCATCAGTTCATTAACAAAACCATGCTGCTCTATATATGGAGCTTAGGGTTTTTGGTCTTTCAGTTGACGGTATTGTTTCACTTTTCACATTAGATTTGGTCGTGAAGAAGAATAGAGGATGAAAGATGATGGGCAACTACCACAAGGATGACATGGCTCAGCTGGAAAGAATGAAAATATTTTCTGGCACACTGTCAATTACCCAAAAAGATGTATAGTTATAGAGGAAGTTGAGTCTTCAACTTTGACTTTTCGATATAAAAGGCAAATAACCAGTAATCTAACCTTGGGTTGTTAAAATAAGACAATTTTTATGGTTGCTATGCAGTTCCTTTTCGGACAGCCTATTCTGACCAAGATTATCCTCAGTCCTCACTGTTTCATCAGAGACAAAAGCCAGGAATGGATCTTATCTATTATTTGCTAAAATCCACAGTATTGGTTTGGGATAATCTTCATCCTGTGAGGAGCTTTTTGAGTATATATGATTTTGTTCCTAAACAATTTTCCAGGATATATGTGCATGCAAAGGAGGCTGGGGAAGAAGAGTTTCATGAAATATATGCATGAGATCATTTCAGGCCCTTCTACTTTGTCAGTGGAAAGATATACTTCAAGAAAAGAACTTGTTATAGCAAGAATATTCATAGTGAGAAACTGAAACAAAAGAAAAAGAAAAAGGATATATACATACATATATATATATATATAAGAGTAATTAACGTGATATTGGCACGGCTCAATCAAATTAAAACACCCAAAAAAAAGCTTGGGAGATTTGATTTGATTGAGCCATTCCAACATCCCCGTTTTCTCTTTGTGCTTACCACTTATCAAGATCAAGCTGACAAAGAAGCCGAAACCAAATGACAAGCTTGCCTGGCTGCCCTCATCCATGTATATGATATTCGTTTCTTTGATGGTGAGGGAAAGCAGCTCAAGATAAAGGAAGAAGAAGCAGAAAATTGCATTAGGAACTATGCAGCTACTGAATGATGAGAATGTAATACAAGGAAAGGAAGTGGAAATGAGATGGAAGAGGTATAATTATAAGCTAGCTAGCTAGATAGATACTAGAATGGTTGAGACGTCAAAATCTTTGCTTCATTTAGAAGAGTGACAATTTATATAAATTTTCCCATTAGGTTTTCCACCATGCTTAGTGGTTGATGACCTATGACTTCAGTACTGCCCCAAAAAAACTTGAATCTATATGATACATTTCTTTGTATCAAATATGGTCTTAATTTCCTGTTCATTGAAAATAATATATTCATATTCCGTCAAAAAATAATTAATATTCATGTGACTATCATTGTTACTTTTTTATTCTCGTCAATTTATATTCTCATTAGAAAATAGAAAAATAAAAAAGTTATTTTGTAAATAAAATTTATAATCGCAATCAAATCTAAAAAATTTTATCGTATTAAAAAAGTCTAAGATTTTGAGCTATCAATATCTTAATCACTATAGTTCTCTTTTATTTACCAGTAATATTTTATAAAATTCTAATGTAATCATATCATATGCTTTTAACATTTCTAATATATATATTTACCTTAAAAGTAAATGAATTAACATATGAGAGGAACATGATTAAAATTTTTAAAAACTTTTTTGCCTAGAATATTGATTAATTAATCAATGAAATGAACTTTGTTCAAAAATAATGTTCTTGAACCCCCATTTTGGTATGTTGAAATAAAGTTGTGACCAATTATTTGCATTACATGGTGGGTAGCTACAGCAAGGGATATTGAACGGGTTTTGCTAAGTCATGAGCTGGCCATATTCCAATTCATCAAGAGATCGAATTTAGCAGATGGCATATTGCCATGCCAGTGGAAGATGGTGATGATGATGCTTTTGTAATGGAATAAGTGCCCTAAAATCAGCTGTAAAAAATGATCTAGTTTACAAGGACCAAAGAGGTAGGGGTTGTTGAAAAGCTACAGAAAGTAATCATGATTGTTATACTATGATTATGTCATTTAAAATATATTTATTAAGCTTGACAAAGCTCTCCCACAAACCAATAAGGAAGTAGATGATAGACTGGTTCAAATTTATGCGCTAGAAAATTTGGGTGGGAGGAGAGAGAGAGGCTTCTGCTCAGTGATTCGTCTAATTAATTCTCCTTCCCACTAAAGACAGGAAGAAACCATGTATTCGCTAATGTTGTTTGTCCAAATTTCCCAGCAATGTAGTGCACATTAATTATATTAAATGATGATACAAAGCATTGAAAATGAAGTTTAGATTTGACCCCCAGCACCAGAAGCAGCAACCTGTCTCTTTGTCCTTTGAGTTTTACAAGCAGCTACATAACCCGCCCTGTCGAATCTTTATTCTAATCTAATTTTGTCCAGCCGACATAGCCAAAAACTTGTTTTCTGGCAACCGATGCTTCATCTAATGATTGCTAGCTTTCGTTCTTACAAGACTGGTCTAGCTCTATGGTTTCTACTAAGGTTCAGACCACTCTGCTCTTGAACTTTATCATAACCTTAATTATATTTTGGGAGTTGCAATAGTTTATGAAGTAACTTACTAAGGTTGAGCACTTGGAGCTTGATTTGACCTGGAATGAATGGAGTTCTAATAGTTTCCATGGTGCTTCAGTTCACTGCTCCGGGGTCATGAGACAAACGAGCCAAGCATGAAAAAGAACAAGAATAGCAGTAGTAGTGAGTAGTGAGGTGGTAAATTGCAATATTTTGTACCAACCCAAAGAATCTATAATCCCAGTCCACGCCCATACTTGAGACTTTTGCCAACGGTGACAAACGCACTCAAATGTCTAGAATAATAATCTTCAAATCTTTTCTAGAGGGAATATGCCTTTTCTCTCACAGTATCCGGAATTTGATAATTAGGAATGACAATGGACTCTGGTTCTATTTAGTAGCAATAGGATTGGGTCTTTAAGAAATAAGTCCATACCAACTTCTGAAGAAAAACATATCAAGTCTTCATTCAGTTGTTTCTTACAATATGTTTTGGTTAGGTTGGAGTTGCAAAATAAAGATTGCTTTTGAAAAATACTAGTCATTTTTGAGTCTAGCAGGCAAAATACGAAAGTTATAATGAAATAGTGACCAAGAGACGAGCGTTGCGTGTAGATGAGATCAAAGCCGCCAACATCGGTCGCTAGGGCTTAATTACATAAGTCCAACATACAGCACAGGGTTATATGATATCTTCATCAATCATTCAATTTGATTTTGACTTTGATTTTGATTTTGATGTGAAGGAAGCTGACAATCAATAAATAAATACCATGACAAAAGGGCAAAAACAGTAAACTTCAGCATACAAAAGAAACTATCCACAATATCCTTCTTCAATTGCAACTATATTCCATTCATTGGAACTCACTCACAACTACAAGTTTTTTCAACAGCCAACATGATCAAAATACATGGATAAACAACGGATAAAGCTTCTCTTCTATATGTTCTTTGGCCGCTTATTTCCTTGCAAGGGAAACTCCAGTAAACCGACATATGGAAAAATGCCAACAAAAATGCAATCAAATAGTAATTCCCAGGGACTTCTTAAACTTCTCAACTTCCAAATATATTGTTGAGTATGGAAGGAACTCTGAGAAATGTTCTTTGCTCAGATCATTAATTGCAACTGCAAGTTTCGGGATTTCTAAGGTTTCTTCATGGGTCAGAGCCCGGACAAACCTGGCTGGATTTCCTGCCCAAAGCTCACCAGTTGGGATTCTCCTACCTGGTGGAACTACAGAACCGGCTTCCAGGATAGAGTGAGTCTCCACCAAGGAACCTTCCATAAGAATAGAATGCTGTCCGATAATGCACTCTGGTTCAATTGTGCATGACCTCAAGAGACTGTATGCCCCAATTGTCACAAACCTCTCAATTGATGTCTCAGCTGGAAGTCCTGTAATATAGAAAAAAGTTTCATATTAAATATAGTCAGAATTCAATAATAGAGTTTGTGATGTTGTCAATGAGGTATAGAATTGACTTGATCCCTGAACGACACATGGACAGAATAAAGTTCTACCTAAAACATTGGCTTATATGATCCATTTTCACGGCACAGTGTAAACGATTGAAGAAATCCCCAGTTACATGAATGAGGCTGACTTGCAATCCAGCATGGGTTTGCAAGTTCCAAGAGCCAAACTAGAAAATAATAGTAGCGAAAGAGGATCAACCAATAAACAAGATTCAAGAATGAACCAGCTCTTGAGAGTCAACCAGTTGTTTTGGAAACAAAAGAGGGCATTTTCAGAAAAGGCATGTAACAGCAATAGCAGGGAGCAAGTTGCAAATATCAGATCCCTGAAACTATTAATAAAAAGACATGTGAAAAAACCAGGAATCTTTGAGGGGTCACACAGAGACTATTTTTCATCAGTTAATAACCTTCATTACTATCAAAATACCCTTCCACGTACGATAGGGGTGAATAATCTCCCTAAAGCTACTATCAAAGCGAGAAATCACTACATCTCCACTTCCTATACTGGTCAACCAGAATGCAATAGCTGTTGTGGGTACCATATTTAGAGATAGATTTAGAATAAAAGAAATATGATAGCTCCTGTGCCTCTATCTATCCACTAGAAGAGGCGATGAAAATGTAAACTCTAGCGAACAAGATTTTAATGGGTTAGGAAATGGGATCATAATTTACATTTCTCCAGTTCTCCAGTTCTTTAACATAATTTACATGTTTTTGCACCTATGCCCTAGCAACAACTGATGCATATAAGCAAATAATATGATAACCAAAAACATCAATGGAAACTAAAGTGAAGATCACTAATAGTATCCCTCTAAATGTGATTACTTTTTTGTAATTTTATTGAAAGCCATTATAACAATTTTGTAGACCTGAAAACTGCAGTTCTGCTGTTCAAGGCAGCAATGCCAGGAGGACATTTTATTCAATAACAAGTAAAAAGCTTTAAAAATAATGTCATGGGTGTGGCCAAAGTTAGTCTAATCAGTCATTGTTACTTCACAGACAGGATATTTCCCTGTGTCTTTGTGCTATACGTAACTATTTTTCTTTGACAGGTTCATAATCATTCATTAAAAAACTCCCTTTTGGTTCACCGGGGATCCACAGATTGAATCTAAAAAGTGAAGCATGTCCTTCCTTTTGTAGAAATAGGATTAACCTAAGGGTGGTGCTAAGCTACTACACATCTGTGCTGACAGCTCTTTAGTTTTTTTCTTTTTGCACATATCACATCATGTTCTGAGCATTCCACGGCTGCAACACATTAGCTTCCCTATGCATAATAAGAACATGGAACAAGGACCATGTTCATAGCTTAGACTGATTATTGCAACTCACTTGCATAGCCGGTCTAGAATAAAACACCCTTTTGGCATGGACATTTACATTCTTAGCAACTATCAGAGCTGCACTGCAGACCATCTATTTTACCCTTTCTTCATCTTATGATTGGTCCTTGAGTCAAGGGTATTTTGACAATGCAAAGCATTGAATGCCAAGGAAAGAGACAACACTTCAAGCTATCACCTAAAGGATAAACATGTAGACCTCATGTACTGAATGTCACAAAAAGAAAATGAGGCTACTGATGGCTGTAAAGCTCAAAATCAAACCTAAAAATATGTTCTGCATCTGACAGTAAGAATCAAGAAGACACAACAAAACCTTTGTCTTTCATCGAGCAAAATTAGCTCAATTTGCATTATACGGACACCAACAGCTCCTAATACCCAGGCACCTAAATTCTAGAGGCTGCAACACTAAATTCTGCCTAACTATTGCTGTTTCCATTGTAATTTTTCAGCTGCATTGAACATATCAAAACAGTATTTTTCATACTCCCAATGTACAAGTCTCAATCAGTTAAAGCTTAAACTAATTTGGCTCATTCCACAGTAAATTAACATCAAAACCAAATCTAATTCAACTTAAATTTTTCTATTCTAAACAAGTCCAAAAGAACTACAAAACCCTAAAATTTCTTTAAGAAAAAGGTTTCGAAAAAACCAAAAGAAGAATGAAAAATGAAAGGATTACCTGTAGGTGACGACCAGGCAGCGTGAATGACGCAGCGTTCCTGGACATTAGAGCAGAATCCAACGGTAATCTTGTTGAGATCGCCACGTAGGACGCAGCCGTTCCACACCGAGGCTCCGTCGCCGACGGTTACTTGACCAGCCAAGACAACGTTAGGCGCCACGTAAGCGTCGACAGCTACCTTCGGGACCCACTGCCCGAGAGGGATTATCTTTCTTTGGCCCCTGTAGTCCCACTTCACTCGATCCGACGACGGCGAGATCGCTTTGGCCGCCTCGGTGGCGAAGTTACGGGAGGTGATGACGTGGCGGTGAGCGGAGAATGTCGAGGCAGCTGCCTTTCTGGAGATGCGAGCTGCTATAGATGTCGCCATTGTTGGTGGTAATGGTGGAGAGAGAGAAAGGGATTTAGAGCTTCAACACGAGCGAAAATGGAGGAGAGAAATGAGAATGGGCTAGAGGAGAAAAGCCGAACCCCAATCAGATGAATTTGGTGGGTTATGAGCTGAGCCCAGAAACTGGCAACAAGCCCAAAGGAAATAATAAATTTGTACAACATTTTAGCAATACCCTTGACTTTTCATTTTGCTCTGTTCCGTCAGCCAAAGCTTGTGATTGCTTTGTTTGTAACAACCTGGCAATGATTTAGATTTCAAAATTATGCAACGTAATAATCAATAAAAACTAATGACACTTGCTCTATGTCACTCTGCTTTCATATGATACCATGACACCCCACTTACAGCCCAAAGGCAGTGCTCTTAGGAGCCATATTTGACTCAACTTAAAACTCTAGTATTTCAGAATCTCCTTATCACCATATACAGTTAGGTCTACATTGACGCTTCGGCTTCCTTTTTTCTTTAAAGATGTTGGAGCGAAAAACATATCAGTCAAGTTGCAATGTCTTTGTCTTTTGGTATCCTTGGACTGTAGCTTTGCATGTGTAGAGAGAGCATCCTCTCGGTTAGACATCAACATTCAACTGTCTGAGAATTGATTGGACTTTGGAATTCCATCCAATCAACCAAAGCAGGTTTCCAGAGGCTCTTTGTCTAACCAGAACGTCTGACAAAACATATATGGTGCCAATGCTAATAATGACAGGGATAAGAATTCACAAATTAATGGTCAAATATATATACTATAGTTTTGCAGTTCGATCTTGTCAAGTCCTTGACGACCCCAAGGATGACAGAGTGGGATTTAGCCTTTGGTCTTAATTACTGTCAAATTATATATCCATCATCAACTTGTTAAAGACTTGAAAGAAATGTACCATGATGAATCCTAAAATTGAAGTTCTTTGTTGAATGCTGAAGAATGAATGCATTGAATGATGAGATTTATGGATGAACAAAGTCCTGTATTCTACTCTAATTTAAGCATATTCTGTATTCCATCCATATGGAAGGACATATATATAGAAAGCCCGTGTACTTAGTTATTCAGTTCTGTCATTTCACATCATCAAGAAATTATTGTCTGTTAATCAATGGAGTGGACTGTTTATGTTTAAACATGCATGGAATAAATAAAGCTATTCCCTTTTCAGTTGTTGTTTTAGTTTAGTTGGAAAAAATTAGGCTACTTGGAATAATCACATTACTGGAGACCGGAGAGTATACAGAATGGTGTGAGGGAACAACTTGGCGCAAGACCCAACTAGTCAAAATGCCTATGCAATGTAATGATCAATTGATCTTTGTCAAGTTTATCTCTAGCACAAGTCATTCAATCAGAAAGATATATACTACATGATATCGTGATATTATCAGCCTGGTTTTATACAAAAGAACATGTCCAGTTTCATTTTGTTTGGGCTTGGAAGCATCTTAGCTTTCACATCGTATTAAAGGCTAAAGTTCCCAAGAAAGGGATGGAATCAACATATATATCTGGGAATGCTGGCCCCATTTCCTTCAATGCGACAAAGCTGGGAGATCACAGTGCACTTTGTGCACTTGTTGCTTCAATTAGACTACTACTTAACAAGCTGAAAAGTATCTGGGCTAATTTCGAATTTCTAAAATATCTACCTGATACAGATATCCCACAAGATATTTTATTTAGGGGCCAATATTATCTGTTTAAGCTAAGATTTTATCTCTATCTCATACCTTTAGACTATAGGAATCCACTATATAAATAGATGCAGATTGAACTTAATTTACACTAAACATCATAAAAAAATGATCTTGGTGAGTTAATGGAGTCTAAGCGTAAAGGATTCAAGAAAAGTAAGGTGATCACGTCTCTGTATCAGGCACCAAAGACATCATCTTCTGTGCAGTATAGCAACAAACCTATGCCTAGCCAATCTGGTTCAATGGTTTCTACAGGTTTCTATGGCGATGATCATTCAACAAAGCAGAAGCACTCTTATCTTGCCTCTGATACAAGAAACGACTCCTATGGTTGTGTTGAACTATACAACTATGATGAAGGCATCGATGACAGGGCTACAAGTTATATATCAGGAGTTCGAAAGCGTTTTAGTCTTGAAAGGGGGGATTGATCAATTGTAAGTTCCTTCACTTGCTTGGAAGTTTTTTTTAATCTGTTTTGATTGCTAATACCAATAGTAGATACATATCCTTCCTTTTTGTTGGAAGCTGTAATATGTAAAAGTTTTTCTCTGTTGTAAAGTAATATGCTTGTTTGCATGATCAAAACCATATACTAAGTTTGGCCTCATATTTATCCTAAATGCCATATTTTAGATATTGGGGGATGTTCAGCATGAGTCAACCTTGAAAGAGCATCTTACCAAGGTATGAAACAAGGAGTACTTAGAACCTCCATAGGGTTAACTTACATATGTTTTGTGATAATACCAAAGGTTATATTGGGCTTTTCTCATGCTTCTATGGCGCCTACAGTAGAGATCTCTAGGACATCTCGTTTAGATGCAGCAAATACCAAAATTTTCTTCCTAACCATGTGCTGCAAAAATTCCTTCTAGAGGCACTATCGTCCCTGTGTGGTGGCCTATATATGTATGCCTTTTCAGGGGAATATATATTTCTTGTATGATCAAAGTGATGATACGATATTATCTAGTACATCTCGTCACACATATGGGGATTCTCCACAAATATTGTTTTTACAACTTTTGGCCCCTAAGAATAATAGAAACTATAAAAATCATTCAAATCAAAACATAAAGCCAGGGCAAACAAATATGTCACTGTCAACTACTACGCAATAATATAATAGCGCGTGCAGCTGAAGTGACTGAAGCAAATCTAGCCATAGTGGGAGACCTTTTCTGGTTCTTTAAGGAGATTTTCATCTTGAAGAATCCTGCATTCCAAAGGGCAAAAAAGTTCTTAACATGGCAAACAGTTCCAGTCTTCCATAGAAACACCAAATATGGGCCTAGCAATATGACAGATAGTAAAGAATAGAAACACCAAGTATTTCAGAAAGTTTCACTAAGTTCTGCACAACTTCACAAGTCCAGCAGAAGAAGATTGCGTATATGGCAACTTTTTTGGGTATCATCCAATCAGAAGGTTGCATTTCTATCATTAAATTTTTAAATATACGACAATAGAGTTAAGGAATTAATCTATAAATGTATGACTGCAATTATAAATCCTTTAAGATGACTTATGTGGCATGTATATATATCACAAGAGAAGGTGCTACATATATGTAGTTTATCAAAGACCTGATGAATTAAGGGTGATTATTGATTAATCTATACCTTTGCTGAAACTTGCTGCAAACATTTTCACCCACAATTGTTGAGCTGAGGTTACCGTCACGTAGCTCGTTCAACTTAACATCAAAAAGGTTCATTTCAAAATCTAATGCTTCCAAACGAAATTAGTAGTAAGAATATAAAGTGCAGGAGACAATCTCACTCTTTTCTGGAGACGAGTGTTCTCCTCATGCAATTCTTTGTGCTGCGTTGAAAAACAAGATGTAAGTTTGAATTTGGTTCTGATAATATTTCATCAAACTCTGCATAATAAGTTGTGTGAAGGTATTGCTATGCCAGTAGAAATTTTCCAGAATCTCAACTGGACGACGACATGGTATATGTCGCTGCCTTACCATATCTTCCTGAAGGGTACCATACACAATCGGTGTAATAGTTCTGAAATATTTTTTAGAGGACTGATCAGAGGAGGGAAAATATGTCATCTTTCATCTACTATAAAAATTTCTAATCATGACTTTCAGTTCCAAGAGTTTTAAGGAGTCACCTTGATCATATGTTACAACTTCCAATCAAGGCATAAAGTTCTTACATCTCTTTTTGTAGCATTTAAACAAATCAGGCCACTGGCCAGCGAAATTCAATACTCGTCAGGAAATAAGGTTTCTCACAGGCATTTTCTTACCCTTCTCTTCAGCAAGGTGGCGTGATCCGAAACAATGCGTCTCTGTTTAATAGAATTGCGAATTAGTAAAAGATCAAATTATATTGTTTACAAAGTAATAGTTTTTGAACAACAATTAACGCCATTATCATGGTTAAACAATCTCTTCTGATTCAGCTTTCCGGTCAAAACAAAAGTGCCTGATCATCACTAGTTCTATAATATTTAACTCACATGACTATGTATTAATGTTTGTACCTTTCTTGAGCGGACACGTTCAGCGCCTATCTTCAACTGTCGCTCCAGCTGTTTCAAGTCTCTCATGCCTAAAGATAGTATGTCTTCTCCAGATAAGTGCCTGCATAAAAAAAACAGACATGCTGATGACAACATGGCAAATTGTCTGGGCAACAACAACACAGATAGTATTGCAGCAACAGTTGCACGTACGTAAGTCTTGTTTCCAAGGTGTTTATGGATCTCTTTAACTCTTCAATCTCACTTCTCCAAAACTGCGAACGGCAAGAAATCAAAGCTGTTGACATATTATATAGACCAAAATAGAGTTTAAAGTGTTCAACTGACTACCATGCATGCAGTTAATTTAGGAACAAAATTGAAGGTTTGACCTTTGCCTTTGCAACGAGATGTTTGTGAAATGGTACATAATTAATACATGTTAGAACGCTATTGGAGGAACTTGGTTTTAGTTGCCTGAGTTCCAAAGTGCTTATACAAATATAAAGTTCAATTTCGGGCCCTTATTCTGAAACCATAAAAGGTGGAATTAAGCCCACTGGGTGAAAAGAATTGCCAACCCGAAGCAGTCATAAACTGACCTGCCTGCAGAAGCATAGACCATATATATCCTAGCATAAGTCAATGTCTGAACGCCATTAAGGCATTATCCTCCTGGTCTTTAGGTGATAATGTCCATGCACACAAACTGAAGTATGTTATTAAACCAATTATCAATATTTTTGCCTTATATTTTTATCCAGAATATAGATCCCAACCAAGTCTTTCAAAAAAAAAAAAACACCAAGCTTGGTGTGTCCTAAAGCATAAATACAAACAGTAAACAACAGAAATAATTTAACCCTAGGCCTTGGGCAACGAGAAACGACCCAATCAATCCATGAACGTGTCAAGTTTACAATAGAAAACAACCAAAGTGAGATTATCAGCAGCTATAGTTACAAACTACTTATTTTTCCTTGAATTTTACACCTAATTTTATAATAATGACACTGAGGCATAATAATGTTAGAAAGGAAGAAGAAAAAGAAGAAACTGTTGGGTATACATATTCAGTATATAATTTCTTCGTAACAACTTCAAAATTCATTGTAATGTAGTTGTATATAGTTTATACTCTATAGTCGAATTATCTTCATTATTCACATGCCTTAAATATTGAAAAGTAAACTTGATCAGAACTCATCACACTACCTCCATGGTTCTAAATTGAGGGTTACTTGAATCAGGCAGCCCTACTGCACTCCTATACTTTCCAATGCTCCTATCCATGCTGCAGCAATATAATAAGAGCAAAGAAAAATATCAAACAACATATATAATGCTTGGTTTACAATTTACGCCCTGGCACGAATTAACATGCTTCCATGACAAAATGTGAACCCGAGGGTTTTTAAGTCATACGTGGTGGGCGCAAAGGTGAAAAAGTCCAAGAGAGAATAGAACTTACTCATGACTGGCAAACTGGTAAACTTTTCCTGTGGAAGAGAAGATGAGCAGGGCAACTTCAGCATCGCAGAGGATGGACAGCTCAAAAGCCTTCTTTAGAAGCCCATTTCGTCTCTTTGAGAAGGTGACTTGCCTGCTCGTTGGGTTCTCTATCCTTTTCAGCTCTACCTTCCCCCTCCCCATTTCTTTAAACCCACCTAAATCAAGTATAAACTTGTTGCATAAAGCTCTATGTTTAGCTATATTTATACCCAAGAATCAATAAATGGGGTCTCTTGTGATTTTCAAAGATGGGATAAAAATAAAAACATGTTCCATGCAAAGCGAAAACGAGTTTACCATACATCCATCAGTAGGCGTTGGGGAGAGCATGCTCTCATTGGTGTGTCCAGTCTGGCGCAGATGACTCGGTGACACGACCGCACTAGGAATGTGCTTTCCATAATTATCCTTCATTTCCATTATTAGTACTACACCCACTATTTGACTTGTTTAACGATCATTTTCATTATAATTTCCCGATTATGGACTTTTTTGCCGGCCCCTCCTCCCAACCCATAAAATGGGTTTTAGCTTTTCCTACACCATTTATTTGGCTAATCTTTACCATCAAAGCACTAATGTTAATATTTGGGCATGGAATTGCCAACTTTTCAAAGGGATTCTTTAAGCATATATATGATCTTATTTTAATAATATCAAAGAAAACAAAGCCTTAATCCAGCAAGAGTTGAACTTATAATCCCTCTAGCAAACCAATTGAAATATTAGCTTTTCTTACTAGCCTAAAATCGTTTTTTATCTTTAACGGTCGTGTTCATTACTAGATTCACTTTCAGCCATTAGATTCTTATAATCAAATCAAATAGTGTTTGAGCCACCAACACCTACATCTACACTTGACTTACTAAGTTCCCCAACCCATCTTTCCCTCTACCGTTAGCATTTCCACCAGCATGAACAGAGACTACTTATTAACATTATCAACAACAAAACCAATGAAGTAGGTATGGAAGAATAAGTACCTGTAGTGATGGACCTGAATATTGTTTCAAGAGGAATTGTATGAGTGATTTCCAAATAAAGTTGGATTTCCTTTGAGCCTTCCTGCATTTACAGCAAATTTAACACATCAACATCAATTTTCAACTCCAAGAATTCTTTTGAGTTTGGATGAATGGCTATAGCCCATGCCAGAAGTGGCATCATCTACAGTAGCTTCCAATGGATCATATGTTAACTCGAAGAATAATTAATTATCTTTTCAATGGCATTTTGGCTACTGTTGAATGAATCACCAAACCATGAACTCACCACCAACAACTGTTATAACAAAATTTTCTTGCTTTAAAGCATGTCCTCTATTTTTACAATGAAACAATCTTATTGTAAATTTATAAAAAAATCTTATAACTAGGATTTGAAATCCCCAAATTACATCCAATTAGAGTTTAATCTTTCCACAACTAATGAAACTGATAAATGCTTTCTTTGTTTTTTTCATGCGAAACATAGTCTTGTTCAAACTTTTTATGTTTTGCCACTTTTCTCTTATTATGGATAGAAGAAGAATATGGAGGATCATGTAAACAAATGTTTAGACATTTAAGATTATGAATAGTTTAATAAATTCATCACATCTAGTAACACTGTTTATTATTTTGAGATGATATGTTTGATCCTCAAATCTAATAGAGTTGAATTGTATAATAACAAAAACTTGAGAACTTGAATAAAATTTACCCTTGTAATTAAGGTAAGAAAAAGATAACCAGAGAGTAAATCAGTGCGGTTTAGTGCATGTGACATGTTGGGGTTGGCGCATCCATGAACCAGTGGTCAACGGAGAGGGCAGGGCAGTTAAAGCAATGGGGTGCTAATTAACGGCCACAACAAGCAATCTGTGTCGAACAACGAGCAGGCCGGGGAGACAGCAGGAAACAGTCCCCGCTTCTCGTTTTCACTGACAATATTTCGGGAGTTCGACACGTATGGTTCGCGGTACAATCGAATGATTTTATTAGGTCCAAGGCCAGAGAGACACGTGTTATGCAAAATTGATTGATTGAAATGTTGGCGTAGATGGGAGGTTTATTATTTGTGAGATGGGATAAAAAGTAGAAAAGCTTAGTGAATCTCATCATGATGCCCCTTTGGAAATGGAAATTATGAATTTGACGTTAGGCTTTTTTGTTTTCTTCTTAGAGTTTTTAAAAACTTGGGAAGACAGGTGTCGATATTTCTCTTGCTGAAGGTCAATTTAAGCAAGAAATCTTCCAGTCTAGTGAAGCCCCCACTACTGTTTTCTGCTGCTCAAAACCAAATACTATCATTTGATCATGTTCAACTCACCTTCACGTCTGCCTTTTAGGTCTTTGGTGCGTAGTAAAAACCTTTATAAAGTAATATGCACGAGCGACACTTTTAGATCTTATGCTGATCGCTGTAGAAAGAGAGAAGAAGACTTGAAAGATCAACTCAACTCTCCTCATCACTTTTGACTTATCAGAACGAAGAAAAACCGGAAAACCGCGATGGTGTATGTAGGGGTACAGCAACTATTCGTGGATCCGCCATTTGCGTTAGGGATATTGACAGGTGGGGTTGCTTAACCTCAATGTTTCCACTTTCAGTTTCAACCTCCGACAGCCCCCACGCCCTCTGGACAAAGCCAAAATGCTGTGGTTCAGGACATCTTGCCGATGTCTCTTATAAACAAAATGAAAAGTGGTTTATGATGAGATTATTCCTTTCTTTTTCATTTTTTTTTTCCATTATCTTGTGTCCATGTACTCAGGGCCTGATAACAGCTCAAGATACGAATCATAAGTAGGGACAGGACCAGCTATTTTGTAATCAAGTACCTTATATTATTTGATTCGATTAAGTAAAATTAAGATATTTTATAATTAAATTTAAATAAAATTTAAATATTAAAAATATTATCTATCATGAATTCAAGTAAGGTTTGGTTAGTAGTTTTAGGATACCTACAATTTGAACTTGATTATAAATAATAATTGTAATATTAAATTTGTTATCAAATATAATTTGTAAGAATAATTATAAGGAAAATATAAAATAAAGTATTTAGAGGGGGTAAGAATATTTTATTTTAGTGTTTATTTATAAATGAAGTGAGAGGGTTTATTTATAGGTTAATAACTTTTTATCTAGGTAAAATTTACAAAATGAAGATAATACTAAAAGATTTGATAGATAGATTAAATCTTAATCTTCACCCAATCTAATCTACATTCAAATCTAGATACATATAACATAAATAGATATTTATAAAAATATTCATAATATTCTCTCTTGAATATCCATTGATTAATAATACGTTTATTAAAACTTTACAAATAAAAAATCTCATAGGAAAAAATTCAAATGAAGAAAAAAAAGTACAGGACTGTGGTGAACACATCTACTAAGTTGTCACTTGAACAAATTTGTTGAACACTACTATCACCATTTTCTTAGAGATCATGAAGAAGAAATTTTTGACAAAATATGTTTTATTTCATCGCCTTTAATGTATCCTTTTTTTAACTTTGTTATGCAAGTAGTATTATCATCATATAATGTTGTTAGAATTTCATTCTTAGTTAATAAGCCACATGTTTCTTGGATATATTGAGTTACAGATCTTAATCAGACACATTCACGACTTGCTTCATAAATTGCTAAAATTTTTACATGGTTAGAAGAAGTACCAACTATAATTTGTTTTACAGAAAACCATAAAATAATCATATCTCTACATATAAATAAGTAACATGTTTGGGATCAAGCTTTGTGTGGATCAAATAAATATTTTGCATCTGCATAACTAATTAAATTTAATTTTGATACATTTGAGTAATACAAATCCATGTCTATTGTTCCTCAGAGATATCAAAGTATATATTTAATTCTATTTCAAGGTCTTTGAGTTGGAGAAGAATTATATCTTACTAATATTTACAACAAATGATATATTAGGTTGTGTATTGCTAGTAAAATATATTAGTGCTCTAATGTCACTAAAATATGGTACTTTAGGACCAAGAAATTTTTCATCATCCTCACGAAGTTGGAAATAGTCTTTTTTTCACATCTAGTAACCTAACAACCATTGGTGAACTAAATAGATGTGTTTTGTCCATATAAAATTATTTTAGCACTTTTGTTATATAATTTGATTAATGGATAAAAATTTCATTTGTCAAGTACTCAATCTAAAGACTCAAACAAAAATTTATTTTTTTTCAAGGTCTTTCATATCAAATTCTTTCTTTAAGTAATCCACGGCTTTTGATAACTCTTCAAGACTTTCAATAATGTTTAGGTTATCAATATAAACAGTAATTATAGCAAATTCATATCCAAATCTTTTTATAAAAATAAATAGGCATATAAGATCATTTTTATAGCATTCTTTCAACAAATATTCACTAAATCAATTATACCACATGTGTTCAGATTGCTTTAATCCATATATTTATTTTAATCAAGTAAATTTTTCGAGAATTCAAATTTTGTATTTAAGGTAATATAAATTTTTCAAAAATTTTCATATAAATATCGTTTTCAAGTGAGTCATATAAATAAGCTATAACTACATCCATTAGATGTATTTCAAATTTTTTATTTATTGTTAGACTAATTAAATATCAAAATATAATTATATCTACAATGGGAGAACATGTCACTTCATAATCAATATAAGGTTTTTAGGTAAAACCTTGTACAGTAAACCATACTTTATATCTCATAATCTTAATTTTTTCATTTCATTTTTGTACAAATACCCATTTATATCTCATTGATTTTACACCATTTGGTGTACAGATTATAAATCCAAAAACTTCACGTTTTGCAAGTGAATTTAATTTTACCTTAATTACGTTTTTCTACGTTGACCAATTATTTCTACTTCTACATTTTCCAACAAATGCAGGTTCACGATCATTATTTTCTTTCATAATATTAAGCACTACATTATATACAAAAATATCGTTGATTTTTATTTATTGATTCCATCTTTTACCATCATGACATAATTTATTGAGATATCTTCATTCTCACAGATTTCAAGTACTTGAATTTCTTCTGCAATTATTTCAAGGATTTTTTCTAGACTTTTTGTTTTCTTTTTTTTGACCATCTTGAATATTTGTTCCTTATCTTTTTCAAGGATTTTATCTTTGAAATCAATTGGTCTTCCACACTTCTTGTGTGCCTTGTCCTATAGGGACATTAATTCTAATAAGAGTTTTTACAGATGGTATATAAGATTTAATTATTCTTTTTACATTAATAAATACGTCTTGTAACTAATTTGCTCTATTTTACTAATGAATTATATTTTGAACTTCAAGTTCGCATTGATTTGTATGAAGATCAAAATTAAATAATGATAACATATTTCAAGATATTTTCTTTTTCAACTATTTATTTTCTCTCATTAATATTAAAAAAATTGTTTCATCGAAATGACAATTGATAAATTTTATCGTGAATAAATCTCTTGTTAAGGTTCTAGATATTTAATTATAGATGAAAATTCATATCCAACATATATTCCTAACCTCCTTTGAGGACCCATCTTTGTGCATTATGGTGGAGCAATTAGAATGTATACCTACACATCCAAAAATTCTTAGAAGAAAATATTTGGTTTCTAATCATAAACTACTAGTATAAGGAGAATTTATAATAACTCACTGGCCTGATATATAGAAGTGCTACAGCATTCAAAATATCATGCCCCACACAGAAATTGAAAGTTTAAGCAATGGCCTTTCAATCAATTTGAGGCATTTAATAAACGATTCTACTTGACCATTTTGTGTATGAATATAAGTAACAGATTGTTCAACAATTATTTCAACTAATATGCAATATTCTGTAAAAGCTTGTGACGTAAATTCACCAGTATTATCAAGATGAATTATCTTAATTACATAATAAAAAAAATGTGCTTGCAAACAAATTATTTGTGCAAATAATCTTGCAAATGTCAAATTGCAAGTTAATAATAAGCACACATGTGACCAGCTAGTCAATGTATTGATTAAAACTGTAAAATGTGTAAATGATCCATATGGTGGATGTATGAATCAACATATATCATCCTAAATATGTTTAAAAAATGTAGAGGCTTCAGTCCCAACTTTAATTAGTAATAGCTTTATAATTAATTTACCTTCTAAGCAAACAACACATGAAAATTTATTAGATTGAAAAATATTTTGATTTTTCAATGGATGATTACGTGTATTTTCAATTATTTTTTGCATTATTATTGATCTTGGTTGGTCCAACCGGTCATGCCAAACATTAAAATCATTAGTAAACTTCTGATTTTCTATAGCATAAGTTTCAATCATTTTAATATTTATGTAGTACAATCCAAAGATCAAAACGAGTAATTTTTTTTAATATACACTTCTTACCTAATATAATAATTGTAATATAGAAGTATTAAGTGTTTATTTCATTCGTTGTTCAATATGATATCCATTCAGACTAATTTTTTTAAAACTTAATAAATTTTTTTCAGACATTGAAAATAATACATCCTCTTATAAATTTTGCTCTTCAAGGTAGTAAAATATTGACTCTTCTTAAACCTTCAAATAATCCAATGCTACCAAATATTATATTGACATTGGTTTTTTCTATTGTCAAGTGATAAAAATATTTATTATCTTTAAATATAGGATGCATTGTAGTAATGTTTGCTAGACATATATTTACATTATGAATCTTGGATCCAACAAAATGAATATCTATATTTTTTTTCAATAAAATAAGATCTATACAATAAGAAGCTTATAACTTAACATGAAAGAGCATTAAATATATAATTAAAATATATAATAAGAACATATCATTTAAATATAATGAAATAATATTAAAGTATCTTCATAATATAATTATATTAAAATATACCAACTACTATTAAGAAATTTCATTCTTGGATATTTTCATTACCAACATCTTGATGTGTTATATCAACTTGGCCATGGTTAGCTTAGAGTGATGCTTGATAAAATTCAAGATGAACAATAGGGGCATGACCAACGGTCTTGAGAAGATATTTTCTATATTTTTTGTATTTTGTACATTTTTGTCTTTTTTTTATACCTCTTTACTATTCACCCACTCCTAGTGAGTTAAAAGTATTTATCCATTCCTGATGAGTTAAAAGCATTCATCCACCCCTAATGGGTAAAGTTATACATTCACTCTTGGTGGGTAAAGTTATTCTAAGAATTAGAATAGTGATTAATGTAAATTATTATGACGACATCTTTTATGTCCATAACCATAATTGTTAAATGATATTGCATTCATTTTAAGAAATGGATAAATTTATAATTGAGCTTTAGTAGCTTGATATTTTGCTCAATAATAAAAATACTGCATGATAAGCAAAATTCATATTAAAGTTGACTTTTCAAGAATGAAAACATCAAGGGCATATCAAGTCACTTATCGCTTTGCTACAACCAAAAATTAAAAACTAACAATTGAAATCCTTTTAAAGCTTAAAGATGATAAATACAAAATAATATCAACAATTTACCTGATTTGCTAAATTAGAAATTAAAACCTAATCATTGAAATTCTTTTGAAACTTAAAGATGATGAAAACAAAATAATATCAAAATTTGAGAGGTTAGAAGACCAGTTTGATAACCTGTTATAAAATATAACTTAAAAAATAACTATAAAAGAAATATAAGAGAAAGTATTTAGAGGGAGTAAAAAGACCTTATTCAAGTGTGTATTTATGAATGAAGTAGAGATAAATAGGCTAATAACCTCTTATCTAGATAGAATTTATAAAATAAAGATAATATTAAAGGATTAAATGGATGGATTAAATCTTAATCTTCATTCAATCTAATTTACATTCAAATCTATATATATATGCAAAAATATTCATAACAAAATTTTAGTTTTTTATATATTATTTTTTTTATAAATTTTTTATAATTTGTGTAATACTTACTAAAATTCATTGATTGTTTTTAATATGATTTTAAATTTTAATTTATTTTTTCATGAATTAACTTCAATTTATTAATTTATTTTTTTGTTACTAATATATATAAATATTGATTTTATTGTTATTTTAATTAGATATTTAATGGATAGTAATTAAGATATTAGGTACAAGTTTGGATAATAATTTCAAAATTCAATCAGATATATATAGAATTCGAAGATCTTATTAAAATATAGAGTTCATATTAAGATACCCAAAAATAACAGGTAACTTATCAATTAACATCCCTAATCAATAAGATACTTAGCAAGTTTGACTACTTTTTAAACTATGGGAAAAAGCCCAACAAGCTTCATCTCTCATTCTTCTAACCTAAGTTTGAACAGAGCTTAATGCTTCTCACGTTTCATATGGTCTAAATGTGAAACTTCTCGCGTGACTTGAGCTTGTATGAGCTGAGAAACGAAAAGAAATCATTAGAGGTGGAATTTCTTTATAAATTCCTAGTAGAGTCACAGAAGATTTTACTACCGACAAAGCTTCCAATCTATTAATATTACAGATTACTTGCAAGTTGCCAAAGAAAGATTTTGAAATTTCAACTTTTGTTTGAAGCCTTGTTAGGGCCTAAGCCCAGTCACTGGAAGGCTGGCTCGACGAGAAGTGTTATCTCAGTCCAGTTTTTAGTTACTCAAACCCCAGCACCTCCCAACCCAAGTTGCTGGTGAGAGTGGTGGAGCAATCATACCCTCCTCCAAAGGAGGACAAGCGAAAGCGAAGCAGATGGGAATGTGTCATGGTCACAAAACATAGCCTTGAAAAAGGCAGTGAATCAAGGGAAATGCAGTTGGATTAGATTCACATCTTTATCATTCACTCAATTATTAGTCGTAGTTCCTCTTGCCTGATTTTCATCTTTTATTTACCCATCGAATCCCGCATCTTTCCAGACAGAACTAATATAAGCAACCATAACTTGGCAAAAATGCAAATCACAAACTCCCAAATGAAAAATATGCTTCGTTTCTATTCAGTTACAAACCCAAAAACATTTCACAGTTCAACCAAAAGAGAATAAAGGCTTAAACACTATATAACTTAAGACATCGCTTCCTTGATTACAGATCCAGCAAAATCAAAACAACCAGAACATCAACATAAATAATAAAAAAAAAAAACTATTAAAAATGAGAAACTAAGGGTACAAAATCTAAGATCATTGCGAAGCATAGATGTGAACTCCAATGGCAATACAAAAGATAGTAATGAGACCGAAGTAGATAATAGCGTGGACGATAATGGAAGCTCCACTAGTTTGCATGTTCCCAAACTCGACCACCTTGTTCCTGCCAGGTATCTGAAACAATAGTCCAGGACTCAGCAAAACGAACAGCACTGTTGCTACTAAGACAGGACCCCAATCTGCCATTTGCCCTCTCACCTGTGGTTTTTGATTTTTGCCAGAAAGAATAAAGATGAAGAAGAGGAGAAAAAGTAGAGTACAAAGAGAATGTGCAAAAGGTTTTGGAAAGAGGAAAAAAGAAAAGAGTGATGCCAATGTAAAGAAGATGGGGCAGCGGAAACGGACGAAGTGAGACAGGTTGCATTCATATTGGATGCTTCTCGGGTGTCGTGACACGAGCGAGCAAACGTGTGAGGACTCTGCGCTGCTTGTGTTGTGATTCCAACGGCTGCGATTATCTTGGGTTGGGTCCTTTCGGAGTTCTCCCCTTTCCATAAAATAACATAAATAATAATAATTTTTACCTTGTTTAATCGAAATCTTAGGCTTGATATTTACAGATATTGAGAAAATTTGTGCGCTCATTTTGACTTTGTTTATATAGATAAAAAATAAACATTTATTAAAACATTAAAAGAGCCATAAGTAGTGGGCTAGTGGGTCAACTTGGTTAAGAAGGCCTTCAAGTTTAGGGCTTTATGTTAGCCTTAAAACGTGGCTGCGGCACATGCCTTTCACCAGATCTTGCTTGACTTTGAAGTCAACTTTAGTGAAGCCGAGTTCAATGTCCACACAACAACTCAATCTGAGCTCGTGTGATGTTACTTGTCACTAATAATTTTTTTTCTTATCTCCCAAATTTATTATTATTAGAAAAATATTTATTTTTTGTTAATTAATTTAGATATTTATACTCAAATATTTAATTAATTAATTAATATAAAAAAATTTTATTTAAAAAGGTAAAGTTGAATCTAAGAGTTTTTTAAGTTTCATCTTTAATCAAGAAAGAAAGATTTGGTTCATTAGTTAGTACATTATCTTTTACCTAAAACCCAAGATTCGAATCTCCCTCCTTCAATTATATAAAAATAAATAAAAAAAAGTAACCCTTAACACCAGCTCAATGTGCATACCAAACCAATATAGCCAAATACAAATAGAAAAAAAACTAGAGTCTTAGGAAGGGACTAAAAACTGAAAAAAAATGTAAAAACTTATCAAAAAACTTGAATTTTTAAAAATTCTTATAGTTTTTAAATCAAGATATATATATATATCGTATATTTAAATTTTATTTTTAAATATCATATAATATCGTAAGATATGATAAAAAATTAAAATTATTTCTAAATAACTTGTATAAGTGTAAAATAAAAAAATAAATTTAAAAATATTATATTTATTAATATGATTGAGGATTATATGACATAAATTAAAAAAAATATTGTTTTAATTTAAACTTTCAACATGCTCTTTGATAATATATATTTTTAAATAAGACATGTATTTTTCAGGTTAATTTATTAACTAAAAGTTAAAAAAATTAATATGTGGAGATAGAAAAGCTGAATCTATTTTTTTCCTATTTGTTTTAAGTCTAAACTATGAAGTTTAAATCCAAAAAAATAATTTTTCATGTTTCAACTCAAAATTAAATAAATAAAAATAGTTTTTTAGTAATTAAGTCACATAAAAAATCCACAAAAAATATATTATTCAATACTTGATCAATATGCTTTTAACATATTGATTTGTATCTTTTTTTATGAATATCATATGTATCATATTACACGTTTAATAAGCATATCTTTATTTATATTTAGTATCTTAATAGTTTTAATTAATTATATTATATTTACATCTATTCATATAATTATAAATACTTTATATTTATATCATACAATTAAAACACAAAAACATGAATTATGAAATCTAAACAATACCAGTGATAATGCTTAATTATAATGGCATGATATGTCGCGTTAGGTCAAAATTATTGACTAGCAATGAAGGTATGCCATAAGAAGTTATATTTTATCATCACATACGAAAACAAACACTATCGACTAGACTTGAGAAAATTACCATCAATTTGGAATAAGGAGAAAAAAATTAAGTGATTGTAATTAAGGGTAATAAACAAAGTAAGAATGATTTTTCTTTGACCTTTTAAATGAGACATTAATTTAGGATAATAACTTAAGTATGCAAACAAGATGATATTCATGGGATGGGATGGAGGAGTATTAAGTTTGGATCTTATTTTTATTTACATAAATGTTTTTTTTCCACCAATATTGTTAAAAAATTTTGGAGGCTAAAAAGTTAGAAACCCAAGCCCACAAGATGGCCAAGCCCTAGAAAGGATGCGTGAACCAACGTGCCAAAATTCCAAACTCGTTTAGGCCTTTAGCTCTCAAAACGTATCTTCTAACAATGACAATCAAGCCGATATCAAGCATTACCAAAATTATTGTTAAAACCCAATACTAATTTTAGTAACTTAACAAAGCCACCTCGCATATTCACCATTTATATGCTCCTATTAATTGGTCCGTTGGCTTATTTGATAGCTAATCTCCTTAAGTTTTGAAACAAAGCTTAAAGAATTTGGTATAAATTATTTGATAAATAATCTCCTCACTTGTATTTTCTATCTGTATAATACATAAATCGATATATTTGCAAATTTATTGCAGACTTAGTAACTGATAATAAAATCCCAATTTCATCTGCAACTCCGGAAACTTTCGATTACCACAAATGGCAGCTTTCACAAATTGAAAAAAAGAAAGAAATAAATGTAGCATGACTATGACAAAATACCTTAATTTGGTGCAGTATTCACCCTTGAAAAGGAGTCAACCATCAAGTAATGACACGACCAGTCACCCCCAAAAAAACAAAAGAATCACACAATGAAAAACAGAGCAAAGAATTTCTTTGTAGTTTCTACAGGGGAGAGATGATGAAATCACATAGAAAACAAACCAAACTAAATAGAAAAGAATCCAAAAAAATAAAATAAAATTTAAAACCAACCAGGTCTCATTGGATTGTCCATTCTGTTTCTGCGTATAAAAATTAGCCAATGTAGATGCGGATGCCGACGGCCAAAATGAGGATAGTGAAGAGCCCAAAAAAGAGGATGGTGTGGATCACAATTGCTTTCCCGTTGGTTTTGAAGTTGCCAAATTCCACAGTCCGGGTGTTCCCTGGAAGCTGGAAGAGGAGGCCAGGTGAGAGAAGTATGAAGAGCAATAGCCCTACCACAACAGGCGCCCAATCCACCATTGCTGAGCCTTTGCTTTTCTGCAAGAGTGTCACTGGAACTGGAACAGTCTAAGTAACAACCAAGAATGCTTACACGAATTGCAATGGAACATTATAAGCATATGGAGAAACAAAAAGGTTAGTTCGAGGTATTGCAAGAGCTTGATGTCAGCTCTTTGCTATGTAAAAGTGACATGGGACCCGCTACGGTAAGCCTGGTTCGATACTTTTGCTTTGGCATACTTTTGAGTATAGAAGTCCCAGAGAGAGCAAAGTTTCCTACACAGGGGAATGGCAGAGGCTCCTTATATGTTGAAATTCTTTCCTTTCAATGAAAGCATTATAGTCTGGCATCCAACACCATTAGATTGACTAATTTATGAATATAGTTTCTTTAGATTGCCTTCCTTTTTGTTTTTTTTTCCCTATCTTTTGTTCCTATAGAATACATAGGTAGGCATGCAGCAGCAGCACCACTAGCTTTTCCCCTACTTAAGTCTCAGAATCTCGCACTTTAGGACAAAATTCTTAGGCAAAGATTTCTTTCTTTCGTCCAAAGAAATGCATCCACGGAATGGTGACAAAAGAAAGCTACCCCATTGGGTTAAGCATCTCCCCCTTCCATTAGTAGCCAAAATAATCCGTTGGCATCAAACTTCAAAGCCAAGGCTTGAGCATTAGCTCTAATAGGCTGTTTGTTATCCACGAAACGGCAATATGGTAGTGAGAGAGTTAAGAGACCTGCTAACCTGGTAGGACTGGACAGCCTATGTATTTGTACTTCGCCACCTGAGCGGTGGGGTGCTGTGGCAAAGGAAACGTTGACAATGCAACAGGTACCTGCAACATTGATGGTAGGGATAAGAAGCAAGGTCTTGGTTGGACTAGTGTTATATTAGGAAAATGTCTCAGATAAATTGAATTGTTTTAGCCTCCTAAGGTTTTTTACATAGAAAATGATAAAAGAAGAAAGGGAAAACTACAGCAAATTGTTTGAGCAAGCTTGCTTACTTCTATAATAAATTCACAATCAAGTACCAAATGGCTTCTATTTCTATCAATCAAGATTGCATTAAAGGGTTAGTCACATGTAGTTGTCAGAATGCTGTTTGGGCATTCGGAAAGGCACATCGCTTGCAAGCGATGGCCTAGCCAAACTATTTTACCTTCAAGGTTCAAGGGACTTTTAGATGTATGAATCTATATAAGTATAATATTTTAAAAAAACTTTTAAATTATTTTAAAATTTTAAAATAAATTTTTATAGTTTTATTATATTTAATTAATTTTTTATTTTAAGTGAACTAAATTTTTTATAATTATAATTTTATTATTAATAATTAATTTAATTAAAATATTATTTATCATTTCATTATACATGACATTGAAGTAATATGTTAATATATTATAATTAATAATGATGTGATATGTTAATATATTATAATTGATGAAGTGATGTATTAATTTGATATAATAATATAATCATGTGATTTTTTTATCATTCATATTAAAGTTACGTCAATATCATATGAATATAAAATAACAAATGATATTTTGATTAATAATAATTAGTTAATTTTTTTAAATAATAATAATTAATTAATTATTAATCATAAAAATTTATTTGATACAAAATAAATATATAAAAATTTAATTTTACGTAATAAAATAATAATGTATTTAAATTTTATTAAATAATTTAAAAATTTATTTAAATATCATGTGAATTATACATATGATCTTTTAAAATGTGAAACTAATATTATATATTACAATATTTTTAAAGGTTAATCAAACCAATATTATTATCATCGTGCTTTAATTAATTATTACCAAGTCAACTAAGATCGGCTCGCGTGATGTATGACCGCGGATTAAACTAAATAAACATTCAATGATACGACTTGTCTGAAGTAAAGTCTCCTACATATTTTATTTCAATTTTAAGTATAAAAAATGACAAAAATAATGAGAAAGAAATCTGAAGTGGACCATCCATGCTCTTTATGCTAACCACCAAATTTAGATACAAATTTTCCCCTACAAGGTGTTTATTTTGCATTTTTCATCTCTATATTTTAGTATTTAATATAATAATAAATAAACAAATTTATTATATTAATTTTTTTTTTTTTCATGAAGTCAAGTCTTTCTTTTGATTAAATTATATTTTGATAAAACAATTTAAAAACTGAAACATGTTAATTACTTCAAAATATATTATCATAGTAATAATGTTGACAAAAAATCTTTCTTTTAGGATAAGTGACCACAATTAAATTTTATAATATATTAAGATTCAAATTTAACGCTGGTAAATTACCTTTTACATAATAAATGAATTATTAATATTAAATAATATATTACATATTTATATAAAAAATAAGATAAAAATTAAACAATACTATTAAAAACGTTTATTTTGGAATAGAGAAAATAATTTACTTGTAAATGGAAAAACTCATTATTGATAATAAAAATAGTTTTAATTATGTAAATTTTATATATATATATATATATGTGTAAGCAAACCTTTTAAACCATTGTCAAAAGATTTGTAGTTTACCTTTTTAAAACAAAAAAGGTCAAAGAATAAAAGGTGATTGGAACATAAAAAACCGTTAAAAGGCTGTAATTACTGTAATGTACTTTATTACTGCTACCTACGATTAATTACTATCGAACAATCGAAAATTCGAACAGCCTTCGCGAAAGTTGGAAACCTCACGAAATCCCGTCAAATTGGAGCGATTTCAGTTATAAAAGAGCCCACGTGCCAAAATGTCATTGGCTCCCCTTTTCCGAATTATTATTACTCTTTCCATTTGTTAGGGTTTCGTTTCCATTCTTTATTCTCTCTCTTCTCTCCGGTCGGTGCATTTGCCGGGAAAATCCAAGTTTCCCGACGAAATTCCCGACCGACGATTTGTTCCTTTTTTCTCGAAGCTAGAAAAACCTCCCGCGCTTTTTGAGGCCAAAGAATCTTTACTTTTCTTTCCAATCGCTTCATTTTCCCGCTTCACCTCTCCTCATTTTGCTTTATTAATAACTTGAGCTGTAATTTTAAGAGGATTTAGCGATTTGATTGTAATCTTTGGATTTGACATAAAAATCAAATAAGTTTCAAATTCTGGTAAGTTGTTAATTCATTTTATTAACTTGTTTTTACTCGTTTCTTTCGTATGAGAAAATTGGAAATTCTATACGTTTAGCAGGTATTGGAGATGGCAAGTCAAGGCGGTTCATCGAGACGAAGTTTATCAGTGGTAAACTCGGCGTCAGGGAGGAAAAAATCATCGGAGAATGCAGGTTCCGACTCTGGCCGAAAACTCTTACCATCTTCTCGTCCTATGTAAGTTTTTATTGCGAGAATTTTATTTTATTTTTCTTTTTGTCATCATTAAAATAATAGTACTTTGTTTTGAAACTTGAATTATTGAAGTTTTGGGTAAAGAAAACATTAAAGGTTTTCTTTCTTTCTTTCTTTCTTTCTTTTTGTGTGTGTGCGTGAGGGTGATGTGTAAACGGCACAATTTAGTTCTTGGAAATTTTACTTAGAAAAAGAATTATTGAATTTGAATGGATTAATAAAGGCTATTAATTATATTACTAGTGTTTATCAATTGTTGTTGAAAGAAAGTAATCTTTATTTTAATTGTTACTGTTTGAATACGGTTTTTTTTTTTTTACCGTTTGTATAAGCTTAGCTGCTTTAAACTACCCATTCAGGGATGCATTACTGTAGTTGCATTTGTCAGTGCTTTTGGATAGTTCTTTCGATAACTTTCTGCTGATTATTCTTTAAAACTTGGTGTTAGCTCTTGAATATCGACTTGAAAGTGCAAGTGTATGCCTATTTCGGGTGGCTGCCATTTGCATAAAGGAATGGGATGTGGACAGCTACATTCAATATGATAGGAGTTAAAAAGCATTAGCAACTATAATCTTCTTTTTCCTCTTTTTCTCGTATATGTGTTGCCTATGTTGCTTGGTTTCAAATCAAACATGGGAATGTGTCCAACATGGGAGCATTCATTTTTTCCCTTATAATTGGGGGGTCATATTCTCTATTGATAAGGATGTGCACGCTTGGAAGGGTCGCTTTGTGTCTGACACAGGTTTTGCTGTAAAGTTGAAGAGTTGGTGCAATATATGCTTTGCTGCTAGTTGCACTGCTATAAACATGAACGTTCATTTGTTCACTCTAAAAATGCTCATCCTCTCGAGACTGGCTTCATTCTTTGAAATTTTTATTCTGGAAGAGTAGAAGCAGCTTGCGAAGACATTGGGCCTGTACATCTATTTTCTATAAATCATGCTACTTATCAAAAAGTCAAAGCAGTCATTAATAATTTGTGAAAGTTCATGTTTTAAATGTGTATATTCTGTCAAATCAGAGATGACAAATGGTTACCGATTCTAACTCATCCAAAATTTCAACTTGAAAAATTAGTAATGGAACTTTTTGTTTCGACTTGTATATTGATAGGGGACTAGCTGGAGAGCGTACTGTGAAGAGGTTGCGACTGTCAAAGGCCCTGACGGTACCTGAAAGTACAAACATTTATGAGGCTTGCCGTAGGATGGCTGCTCGTAGGGTTGATGCTTTATTGCTTACTGATTCTAATGCATTACTTTGTGGGATCCTCACAGACAAGGTATGACTTATATCCTTATGGACAATTTCAAATTTCTATACACTTAAATCTCAAAATATAATGAGACAACTAAATGATGCAAGATGAGTGTTCTTTCTTCTTAATTTATTCTTTTGATTATATGTTTGAAGGACATAGCAACAAGAGTGATTGCTCAGGAGCTTAATCTGGAGGAGACACCAGTTTCCAAAGTAATGACTAGGAACCCTGTATTTGTTCTTTCTGACACTCTTGCTGTAGAGGCGCTGCAGAAGATGGTGCAAGGTTGGCCTTTTGTGATGGATATCCACCTTATTTGATATATTTTCTCATACCTTACCCTTTGAGATTGTTTTGGTACTTTTCTAAACAGGAAAATTTAGACACTTGCCTGTTGTAGAGAATGGGGAAGTCATTGCTTTGCTCGATATAGCTAAGTGTTTGTATGATGCTATTGCTCGAATGGAAAGGGCAGCTGAAAAGGGAAAAGCCATTGCGGCCGCTGTTGAAGGTGTTGAAAAAAACTGGGGAACATCTTTCGCTGGTTGGTGGATAATGTTATCTTTTGCTGTTAATGGAGTTGTTATGTGTGCCTTTTACTCTTTTATTTTGGGTCTGGTATTATTCATTTTGTGGTTTTAGTTTAGCTATCAGCAGGGGTGTTTTGAGTCTATGCTATCTTTTGGGGTGATATGCAGGTCAGAATACATTCATTGAGGCACTTCGAGAGCGTATGTTCAGGCCCTCACTGTCTACGATTATCTCAGACAATTCAAAGTAGGTAATACTTTCTTATATATATATATATATGTGTGTGTATGTATTTATGTATATGTATATCTATTTGGTCCTTAATGCAACTTCTGTAAATAATATTTTGTTCACACCTGATATTATGAGTAGCTTTGCTTAATAACATGACGCCCATCTTTCAGGATTGTAAAAGTTTCACCAACTGACTCAGTTTTAGCAACTGCAAAAAAGATGCTTGAATCTCGATTAAGCTCTGCAGTTGTGACAGTTGAAAACAAACCACGAGGAATTCTAACGTGAGTCTCTTTTGAATCAAATTGTAATTCAACATTGTTCCATATATAGCCAGGAAGAGAAAGAGCATTGCCAATTTGTTTTTATTATATCTAAATGTTACAGTTGTCAATGGTGTAAATTGTAATTTATCCCTTTGATACTTCCAGTTCTAAGGATATATTGATGCGGGTAATATCACAAAATCTGCCTCCAGAGACGACACTAGTGGAGAAGGTATTCGCCTTTTTTGGATTTATTTTCCTTTTATGTCCATAGAATTTTATTCTTATGACTTGACTTTATACCCTTTAGTAGCAGATCATCATTTTTAACCTCTATAATAAGCACATTCTTGAATTCTAATCATTTTGCCATTTATCTAATGTACAGGTCATGACTCCTAACCCAGAATGTGCAACAGTTGACACACCAATTGTTGATGCCTTGCATACCATGCATGATGGGAAATTTTTACACCTTCCTGTGGTTGATAGAGGTGATATGAGTTACTATCTTGTGAAGAATATAGTGTTGTATGTACATCGAGCTAGTTCTTTAGAAGTTTGTGTGGTTTGATGCAGATGGAGAGATAGTTGCTGTTGTTGATGTAATCCACATTACTCATGCTGCTGTTGCCACAGTAAGTCAAGTCAGTATCGTTCCAAGACTCTGGTGTTCTTGAAGTAGTCTTACAGGATAAGTAACCGTAGTCTATGAACAATTATTCCAAAGCACCTAACAAACTTGTTTAAATATCTTTGGAGATGGATATGAGAATTCTAAGAAGTATATGATTGTTTTTTTCTATTTCCCTTGGTAATTCATGATGTTTTTGTTTTTCCTTTTTTGATAAGCATGATGTTTTTGTTAGCGTCTCATCATTTTCTTCAATAACTAGGTTGGGAGTACTTCTGGAATCAATAATGAGGCTGCCACAACAATGATGCAGAAGTTTTGGGATTCTGCAATGGCCTTACCTCCCAATGAAGATGATGATGAGACGCGAAGGTTTGTTATTTTGACGTCTTTCTGATTATATAGTTGTGATTTGTGCCACCACTGTTGATTGACATATTGATAGTGATGTTTCAGTGATAATTCCTTGAAGCTAGCTTCTGATGGAGGGGAGACAGCAAGATCTCTTCCCTATCCTTCGTCCAGTATGCCAAATACATTTGGTTTCAAAATACAAGATAAAAAGGGCCGAATGCACAGATTTACTTGTGGTATGCTACTAGCTCTATTCATGAGCTAGGCACCTCCATGAATATGTGGTCTTTTGATTTGCATGTGGCACATGTGCATGTTTGTTTTTTCACTTGTCAAGACCATGCAGCCTAACCAAAGCATTTCTTGGCCAAGTTAACGTATAATGACACTAGCTTCAAGAATTCATCCTTCATTTGGTCCAAGTTCTGATCTTATGGTTAATATCCATGTATGATTTACTGTTTGCTAGTGGTGCTGCATTGATAGCACTTTTTAGTGGGATGATCGTTCAGCATGCCTAATACATTTGGTTTCAAAATACAAGATAAAAGGGGGTGAATGCATAGATTTACTTTGTGGTATGCTACTAGTGCTATTCATGAGCTAGGCACCTCCATGTATATATGGTTTTTTGATTTGCATGTGGCACATGTGGATGTTGTTTGTCTTTTCACTTGTCAAAACTGTGCAGCCTAAACATAACATTTCTTGGCCAAGTTAACTTATAGATGACACTAGCTTCAACAATTCATCCTTCAGTTGGTCCAGGCTCTGATCTTTAGGTTAATATCTATGTATGATTAATAGTTGGTTAGTGGTGCTGCATTGATAGCACATTTTTAGTTGGAAGATCATGCCATTTGGCACCAAAGCTGAGCATTATGTTCAGGAGATATTATAGGAGAGATTTAATTCTTCATTAACTCCCTGCATTTGTACCTACCAATTTGTCTAGAAAAAGTGTATATAATAGGTATTTTGCTTGTTGCTACTGGATACAGATACACGAAGTATGACAGATCTAATAACTGCAATCCTTCAGAGGCTGGAGGATGACATTGATAGGGACAGTGTGCCTCAAATTCTGGTATGATATAGGAAAAAATATTACTTTATGATGATTAATTTGGGTATTTAATTTTTTTCTCAGAAATTTATGGTAATTGGTGGGGTCATTATGCAGTATGAAGATGAAGACCATGACAAAGTTGTATTGTCATCAGACAATGATCTTGCAGCGGCTGTGGAACATGCAAAATTAGTTGGTTGGAAGGTACGATTAGACTGTGTTTTTATGTGGGTGTACACCTGATGGAGCATTTTACGGTGGACTTCTGTCTGACTCTTTGTTTTCCCTAACAGTAACATACATTTTATGATAAAAATTTGACATGGCTAGGACTATATGACTCTCTAACTATAAGGAAAACTTGTAAAATTCAAATTAATAATGTTTGACAGATATCCATGCCTGACAGACTGACTTGAACTCAAGTGTAGGCTATAGTGGATATTGGTGGCATTAGGCGTTAGTATATTTTTTGATCTTTCCACATTTTAATTATTTCATTTTTTTATTCTTAATTGGAAACCTTGAAAGGTCTAATCCCTCTTGCAAATTTTACGTTTCCAAGTGTGTCAATTAGAGTTTTAGAATTAGCATCTACTTTATAGCTGCGACAACTTTTATCGAATTTGTCAGCTCAATGAAGTCATCTGATTGATGATTTTTGCAGGGTTTGAGATTGCATTTAGATTATTCAGGAAAACAAGGTCGTCGAAGGGGTTTCAGTTCGGGAAGCTTGGATTATGCTCATTCTGATGCTTGGGCTGCTGCATACAGTGCTGTTGCAGCGGGGGCTGCAGTAGTTGCTGGGTTGGGCTTGTTAGCATACTTAAGGAAAGCCGGCAATTAGCATTGTTAAATGCTTTGCCATTTTATAAAATGAAATATGTCACGGGCGATGCAACTTTCTTTGGGACTGAATGGTCAACTTGGGTTTGGCTCGGAGGCAATCCTTGTGCTAGATTTCGTTTTCCTTTTCTTTTGGGTCAATACTCATGACTCAACAATATACCAAATCAAGAAATCAATTTTTTTTTTGTTCTGGGTGCTGCATGTTGCATAGCTTGCAATGTTGAATCGCAGTTGTCTCCATTATCTATCGCTACAGGTTTTGCAGCTGTAGCGGTGCAATTACCGGTGGAATTACCGTGCATAAAAAATAAACAATACCATTTTGATGAAATACAATTTGCTTCAGATTTTCCAAGTTCGGACTCCCTGGATTAGGTCTGGCAACTTAAATACATTGCATCGGCAGACAAGATCGAAACACTGGAAGGTAGTCTGAATTCCAAGCCATATAAACGGGGTTAATGTCGCCAAAAATTAATTGTGTACAGTCTAGAATTTGGCACCATTGATGAGTAATTGATCAAGGAGTACACGTAGGCTCTATTTGGACTCAATGTAATTCATGTTTAGGATTAGTAAAAATGATTGTCGTAGTTGATACGAATCTTATCAATGTTCATTAGGCCCCAGGAAGCTTGATGCAGATCACTGATTAGAGGTAGTAAAGCATTGTGGGAATAACTTTTTGTCACTTAGCCTTGCCAGATGACAATCTTTAAGTCGAAGCCGCTGACGGAATTGGTTGAATTTCGTTGCTTCTTTAAAAAGATCAGCCAAAACAAAGACACGTACCAATGTAGGATTGTAAAGTTTCACGTTTTCAAGCGATGACGGCTCTGGCAGGCAGCACGTTGGGTAAGTGTGAATTGAAGGAAAAAGAACGTTTCCTAGATGATAAACAACAAAAATTATGATTTAAAAGGCTGCTGTCTTAACACTAATTTATGGAGTGGAGTTCAAAGACCATGGACAGGTAGCTGCCCCATGGTCACTGTGACATAACTCTAACAAGCTCAAGAAGAAAGGTCACTGCCAGAAGTACAAGAAACCATCGTGTGGTCCGAAGGGTTCTCGAAATATCAATCTCTAATTTGTATTACGCACCCAGGAGGCAAGGATAGATCGCCATCGCCATAAATGGGTGTCTGAAGAAAATCCAATTGACGCAGTAAGTGATAACCAAATTGTAAAAATGAAGTTACGAATGGAACAAGGACCGTAACATATCTTTTTGTGGGTTTAACGAATGGTTAAAATGGTTGAAGCTTGGAGCCCTTCAAATCTCCTCTAGTTTCAACTGTCGGTTTGTGGGTCCAATCTGAGCCTATTCTCCCTTCAATGCCTGATTTGGGTGTTGTGGTACAATATTTTTGACTTCTTTATGTGGTTTTTTTAAAGTTCGGCTTCTTGGAATAAAAATACAGTGATTTCCCACCTTCCTTAGTCTGTAAGCGAGACAGTAGTGCAGAAGAGCACATAATCTATTGGTCCTTTCCCTTTCACTTTGAAGAGGTATGCCATGCGACAACGCCATCCGTTCACCTTAAAACATGGTTAGCCTAGCCTAGTTAAAGACTAGATTCCTGTCGGGGCCTCCACCTCAGCCAATGGAAACGAGAAAGCATGAAAGGTGCAGGTACGCCTTAAACTTAGCTGTCTCCAATTACTATTATCTAACTTTATTTTTAGGCCCTCCCTTCAACGAGAGGAAAAGTTAAAGAGTGGTGTTTGTTCCATCAAATCGGAGATTATTTAAAGCTCGAGGAGGATTATAACATGCATCACGTGCATTACACTTTGGGGGTGGAACAATAAACATACTAATTAATCTGAATTGGAGACGTTAAACCTTCTATTCTACTGCTACACCTAAATCATTAATTAATTTGTTAAACTAATTATTTATTAATACCCCAGCCTAATCTTGCCCAAGTTTTTCCCATCATTTCATGTTCTGTTAGTGGAAGGGATAAAGCAAAGCAGAGTAGTGTTTGTCCTATCTAAAGTAAAAGAAACTGAACTTTTTCAGTGAAAGAAAATAGATTAAAGTTAGGTTAGGCAGTGCACTCGCCCTGCCCGGGATTCTAGGGTAGTGATGGTGTTATACCTTAATTGAACTTTAGTTTGGTGAAATGGGAGGCCTTCACGGTGCACACCTTGGTCTCTCCTTCACTTTTCTTTTCCACTTTTTCTCCCCACTGCTTCAATTTATACTCTTCTTTCCTGTGCTGCTGTCTGTTGGAACTTGAGAAGACAGGGGGATTAAGAATAGTTATAATTTAATCTGAATCCATACCCATCTTCGAAATAACCAGTGTTGCCATATATATGGTTCTACTTAAGGAAATGAGATTTTAATATTACAATTTTTCCAATCATATTGTTGCTGTGTACCCTTCTGTATTTACTATACAAGGAGTAGTATAATACAACTGTCTAATCAAATTTGTATGATGTGGGAATTGATTATTTGAAGGGGAAGGGAAGGGAAGGGAAAAATCTTGGCGTTGCCAGCACAATGACCGCTGTCTGGCTCTAACAAAATAACCAAATGGCTATTGTCATAGTCAAACACATTTGACATTCTTGATTCTTGTCTTCATATTAGACAAAGTTTCTAACATTTTCTAATTGCTTACTTGCCCTTTCCACGTAATTTGGTAATTAACAAGTGTAATTTTAATATCAGTTAATCTATTTTTAACTTGTCGCACTTTTTAATGGAAACTGAGGATACATATCTTTTGCCATAATTAAATTATAATTAATCAATCAGGATTATAAACTGTGCAAAAATTATTGAAAGATTAGGTGAAATTTATATTTATAAATATCAAAATAAAGAATCTGTGTCACAAGAGTAACTGAAAGTGCTACGAAAATGAGTGGGAACCTGACCAGTGCTTAATCCAAAATCCCAACCCACTCACCAATTTAAATTATAACTGACCTTTTTCCGGAGAAGAAAAGTTCTAAATCAACTTAGAGAAGAAAGAAAGAATCAAATTTAAAGCCTTGATAAATGGAAACGAAAAACATAACCGATTCCACATTCCAGATGTCGTTTTCTCAGCCCCTTTATTGTTTTACTTTTTCTTTTAATATATTAAGGATAAAAAGCAGTCACCATTGTAATTTGTAAAGAGCACAAAACCAGAACCTTCTTTTCTTCGCTGTGGGTCTCTCTTTCTGTATCTGATGTCCTTGTACATTGATTTTCTCTCCTCCCTTCTCTACACTGAAAATATCTAGGCAAAGACACTGTCTCTGTGTGGTAGTGTATTGAATTCCCAGTCAAGTTTTCACGTTTTTTTTTTCCTTCATTTGTTAACATTATAGGATAAGTTTAGAGGTTCTTGGATTCCTGGAAGCCCACTATAGAAGCAAAGGGGTAGCCTCCTGAGTATCGAGATAGTAAAAGACCAATCTTTCCCACAGGTTTCAATGGGAGGATCCCAAACCAAGGCACCAACTTCATTTTCCGTCATTTTCTTGCTGTTTCTCACGGTGTCATGTCTCTTCACAACACTGGGAGCCCAGCAGCAGTCACCCATTAAGACCATAGTGGTGTTGGTGATGGAAAATAGATCCTTTGATCACATGGTTGGGTGGATGAAGAAATCCATTAATCCAGCAATCAATGGGGTGACAGGGGATGAATGCAATCCCGTTTCGACAAAAAATCCAAACCCAGAATCCATCTGCTTCACTGATGATGCCGAGTTTGTGGATCCGGATCCAGGTCACTCTTTTGAAGCTGTGGAGCAACAGGTATTTGGCTCTGCCGTCATTCCTTCCATGTCTGGCTTTGTGGAACAAGCATTGTCATTGTCTCAGAACCTCTCTGAGACTGTCATGAAAGGTTTTAGGCCTCAGGCTGTGCCAGTTTATGCTGCTCTTGTAAAGGAATTTGCACTCTTTGATAGGTGGTTTTCTTCAATTCCTGGCCCAACACAGCCCAATAGGTTATTTGTGTATTCTGCTACTTCTCATGGCTCAACAAGTCATGTTAAGAAGCAGTTGGCTCACGGCTACCCCCAAAAAACCATCTTTGAATCACTTCATGAGAATGGTAAGGACTTCGGTATTTATTTCCAAAACATACCCACAACTTTGTTCTATAGAAATCTGAGAAAATTGAAGTATGTATTCAAATTTCATCAGTTTGATTTAAAATTTAAGAAAGATGCTAGGAAAGGTAAACTTCCGAGCTTAACTGTTATCGAGCCAAGATATTTTGATCTTAAGGGATTGCCTGCAAATGATGACCATCCATCCCATGATGTTGCCAGTGGGCAAAAGCTTGTCAAGGAGGTGTATGAGACATTGAGAGCAAGTCCTCAATGGAATGAGACCCTTTTGGTTATTACTTATGATGAGCATGGTGGGTTCTATGATCATGTCAAGACTCCTTATATCAATGTCCCCAACCCAGATGGAAACACTGGCCCTGCTCCTTCTTTCTTCAAGTTTGACAGGCTTGGTGTCCGTGTGCCGACAATCATGGTCTCTCCTTGGATCAAGAAAGGCACTGGTAAGTTGGGTTTTCATCATTTATTTTCAGCTTGCCTCTTCTATGTTCTGCTATAAGCTCTATTATTAGAATAGAATAGTTCTGTGAAAAAACTCATACCTGTTCATAAGAAGACATTAAGTTTTCCAAGCCCGTTTCTGTTTTTTCTGCATTGAGGGGTATTATAAGTTTATTTTGTCAAAAGGCGCTTAATTTTTCAGATTATATAGGATTTGATTTGGTTGATCTTCTTACTAAATAGCCTAATAAGTAAGACTCTGGATTAATTGATTGGGGTATGTTTAGGCAAGTGGTTATGGTTTTGACTCCACTGATTTTGACAATTGGGTGTAATTTTCAATTGCCACCTTAACTGAAGATGTATGTGGATTAGTTAATAATGGTTATAATTTTGACTCCACTGATTTGAAAATTGGGTGTAATTTTCAATTGCCACCTTAACTGAAGATGTTTGTGGATTAGTTAATAATAATGTATTTAGGCGCATGCTGCTGTACTTTTTCTAGTGGTTTTAAATTAGAAGATTGATTCCCTAATTCTTCTTCTATATGCTTGAATTTCTGCTGTTTCTTGTAGTGATAAGTGGTCCAAAGGGACCTACTCCAAACTCTGAATTTGAGCACTCATCCATCCCTGCAACAGTAAAGAAAATGTTCAACCTGTCCTCCAACTTCTTGACTCACAGAGATGCTTGGGCTGGCACTTTTGAGGAGGTTGTTGCGGGGTTGACCTCTCCCAGAACTGATTGCCCAGGTATTTTTTCCGTTGCACACAATTGGTGTGGCAAATTTAGGATCTTCTAGCTAGGCCTAGATGGGAAAAAGGGCAATGTATACTCAAAGTGAGATGAAAAAGGGAGAAACTGAGTGGAAAGAGATATGAGCAGACTAATTAGGTAAAAATAAATTTAAAATAAATCATATGGATTTATTGGATCTTCTGATCATGTGGAAAATAAGAAATCAATGGACAGATTGGTGACAAATATATGGAGCATCCATGATTGGCTTATGCTAATTTGAAAAGGGCAAAATATCATTTTAATAATTAGAGCATCAAAGTTTTGCATGATGAACTGAAAAGAAATTTATTAATTTATTTCCTTTGAATTAAATGCAGTGACACTGCCAGATGTAGCACCTTTGAGGACAACAGAAGCTAAAGAAGATGCTGGTCTCTCTGAATTTCAAAGTGAGGTAGTTCAACTAGCTGCGGTTCTTAATGGTGATCACTTCTTGAGTAGCTTCCCTGATGAGATGGGCAAGAAGATGAGCGTGAAAGAAGCTCAAGAGTATGTGAAAGGAGCAGTTTCACGATTTATAAGAGCAAGCAAAGAGGCAATCAAGTTGGGAGCAGATGAATCTGCCATTGTAGATATGAGATCATCACTTACAACTAGATCTTCAATCCACAACTAGTTGAATCTTCTCCCCTCCATTAATATCTATCGGCCTCTATCTCTTACATGTTATAGAATTTTATTCTCTCATTAAATTTATCAAGTAATATGCAATAAATCTAGGTATTTTTGTGAAAAGAAGTGTGTCTGAATTATAAATGTGTAATGATATCTCCTTATGCTGTGGAGGTGATGAAAGTTCCAGTGTCAAAGCCCCTTCTGTAAATAACTGCTTAAGGGCTACTTCAATTTGTAGAAGTAAAAGGGTTTGTGCCAAAATTATAGAATCCACCTTTGCTCTTTGAAGAACTTAGTCTGGTACATTTAGAGCGCCCTCTTCCCATGCTTCACAGGTAACTAGTTAATTTGTTGCCGTATGACCACCGGGCTTTTATTTCAGAACTGGCGTTTTGCCAACATCTGGTCGGCATCTGGACACGAGGATTGTAATAGCTGAAGATGGGTCCTAGGCTCTTGGCACCCTTACATTTTAGGTTTGCTTTGCTTGTGTGGTGGGAGAAGAGAAAAGGCAGACTGGGCTCCTTCGCTCCTGCCTCGAGAACTAATGGCTACCAGCCTACACACAGCCCAGCAAGCTCATAATTACCGGGGATATATATATATTATCCACGATTCTGAGAACCTTCATCAAGCTATCCATTCCAATTAGGATTTGCCCTTAAAAACGCAGATTATTATAGTCGCCCCTGGCCTTGTGGTTTGATGAAAATTGCAGCTATTATTTTTAGTTAATCTCTGGCCAAAACAAAAATATATAGTCAATCATTCAAAATGTAAAATTATACAAGGTAAGATCTTAATTTTCATGAACCCCTAAAAAAATTCGTGATGAAGAGGTTTAAGATCTTCATCAGTTCACCTAATGGTTTCTAACTTGAATTTCAGTAAAAATAACCATAAAGAAAAATTTGATCATTCAGTTAAATTTACCACATTCTGGTAATAGGAGTGGCGAAAAACTTGACACCACATGGTTAACAAGGATTTGGTTGTCTTTTCGATCAATTACAGGTTCGAATATGAGTTTAGAACATAATCCTCCCCATCAGTTTCACGTGAAATAAAATTTTGAAGATGCAACAGAGTGGCGACCGACGATGGCTGCGCTTGCTACAAGACAAGGCAGCTAACAACTCCGTGAAAACGACAAATAATGGGCTTCTAGCCCCTACCACTAACACCAAATAGCAAAATAAACAGCAGCCATTTTGGGTTCCAGTTGATGGGCCAGAAAGCAATTAGCTAACATCCTAGCACCAGCAAGAGAAAAAAGCTACATAAATCAACTTCTCGCAGCTCATTTTGCTCAATTAGGAAGTGCCAGTGGTTCAATAATCACGTAGGGCTTCTCCTTTGAGGAGCAGCTTAATGCTTGAGATACAGCCATGGTGAGCTCAAGCTCATAATGCAAATGAAGTTATGCCTATATGTATTTCAATCAAGTGATCACTACAATGAATCAAGCTACCTTGTACTTGATGGATGCTTGGTTCGAACTACGCTTAGTCTGTAATGTTAAACTGAATGCATACAAGGCAAAAAAAAAAAAAAAATTCTTGAAGGGCTCCTTTTCATTTTTCTTTTTGGTCATACCATTTTTCTGCCCTCCAATTGCTCAAAACCAAAGTGCCGCTCCATCCCAATGAAAGACGTATACATAGAACTAATCCTGGCATTCCATAGAATGAATGATGGGAAGACAACAACATCATCATTCAAAGCAGACACCTGGGTTCATGTTCCTCTCCTAGGACACCCGTTTCAGCAACCAAGATGCTTATCCAAACTTTAGATTGAACAAGGACTTTGCCAAGTAGATATGTCTGTAATAAGCTCCCGTAGCTGGTCTATTAGAAGCTTGAGATATTCATTTTTGTTTGCAAGCTCCTACATAGAAAACCACCATTTTAGTTGCTCTTTTACAGACATTAAACAGTGTTTCTTGATGAATTAAGACTCAAAATTAAACAGCATCAGAAAGAAAGTAATCAGCTAAGAGCTCCCCATTTTAACACTTCCAAGAATCCATGAACCATCACAAATTTATAGGTTTTGCAAACCTGATATAATCAAAGTAACAACACTACTTTAAAATTTGAAAATCCACAACAACCCAAATCCTGCCCCCTTCAAAAAGAGTGGATGTAATTACCACTAGTGTTTTAAGGGATATGAACTGCATAACGTAAAGACTAAAATTAAAAACATTTTCACTGCCAACTACCTTTCTTAGATTAGAGGCTTGGTCTTCCAACTTGTCAATTTCTGCTTCATCTGCAGGACTGCTTGCAGTTGAACCCGTTTCAAATGCTTTTGCCTATTTTAAGATTAAAAAAAATACACCAAATATAATTCAATTCTTATTCCTTGAGCTAATTGAAACACATTAAAACTCCAAATAATGAAAATAACTTTCCTAACAATGTAGCAATAAATATATTAAAATTTGTGGCATGATGCTCATTCAAAGTAAAGCAGTATGAATATAGAATTTTTGACAAAAAGCCTTATTCCTAATTAACAATTTCAAAGACCGACTAATTTAAATGATGAAATCAGGCTCTAAGTAAATTCCTAATTGCCTAAATAACACTCATACTTCCCACCCCAGAAAAGTTCCTAACTTGAGCTGTAAAAGCCCTAAATTTCTCAATACCTTTTGAGAATTGGGAATAGCGGCGAGCACAGCGCGAAGAGAAGCGACGGAGTTCTTATACCTCAGGCGAGCCTCATCGAGAGCACCATTGCCGCTACCTCCGATTCCACCCATCTCCAAGTGATGGCCGCCATCGGATGCCGAATCACCGTTGGCTATGCCGTTGGAGAGAGAAGAAGGGCCGTTAGGCGCAGCAGTGTTGGCAGTAGTAGTAGAAGAAGCGGTTGTAGAATTACTTGAAGAAGGGGTGGTCGACCACAAGGCAGGGTTGCAAAGCTCGTCGTTCATGGAAGAAAGGATCTGGAAAGCTGCTTCGATGGTTTCTTCTAGATGTTTCAGGCCTTCTGCTGCTAGCTCCTGTGTCGTTTTGGTGTTGCTGCTTGTTGGTGGTGTTGTCGCGTTTAAGGGATTTTCTTCCATTTTCTTAAAAAGGGTTTTTCTTTTGTCTTCCCCCTTTTTCCGTTTGGTTGCCGAGAAAATTTAAAGTGGAGGATTTCCGGGCTTCAAGTTCCTAAACGAAATCAAATCTGGGTGAGCCCTAACGTAACAGTGAATATGAAGCTAGTGATTGGGAAAAATCAGAGCACAAAAAATTTAAACAAATAAAAAGAAGCGTCGACAGCAGGGTTCGAACCTGCGCGGGCAATGCCCAACAGATTTCAAGTCTGTCTCCTTAACCACTCGGACATATCGACACAATTGCTAGCGCTGTAAGGTATTTAATATTATTGTGATAAAGATCATACAATGCTTCATTCCCCAAAACCCAAATCATAACGTTTCAGCCGCCTGAATTTATTTCTTGTTTAGAAGGAAATTGTTTCAGAATTTAGTTATGCCATGAAACTTAACTATAAAACTTCTTAGTGGAAATGTGTATTTAGACAATCAACCAGCGTTAAAGTTAAGCAGGACTAGTATTTTTTCTTATTTTCTAGTTGACTCTGTTGAAAAAAACAAAAAAGTGTGAAACGGTACTGTTTTATACTAGTTGGGACACAACCAGGGAGAGAAGGTTGGAGATGTGAGCGGAGGAGAAAAAGGATAACAGAAAGTAACAACCATGGCCATTACTCTGATTGGTCACCTCCTCCCTCTACTTTCTTCGGCCTCTAAACAGCCAACACCCTCTGCAACATTTTCTCAAGTGCAAATCTCAAAGAATCCTAACCTGAAACCCATTCTCTTCTCTAACTTGCTCTCTCTAGCCCTCACTTTAACCTTGAACTCGCCACTACCTTCCATAGCCTTTCCTTCTGTTAACTCTGTGTCTTCCCCCCAACTACCACCCATCACCCCTTTTACTGAGTCCAAGTTCTTGCAGCTTGGACTGGAAGATGGGTCTGTCTTAAAACTTTTTCATCTCTTTAACTGGTTTCAATTAAGCAAATATATTAAGTTTATTTCAGTGGTTTTTAATTTATTGATAATAACGTTTTATAACTAGGAGGGAAATGCTTTATCACTTCGCAGGAAAATTAGGCCTTGCCCGTCCACAAATCCAGGTTGTGTGTCAACAAATGCAAAATCATCATCTTTTGCTTTCCCATGGATCATTCCCGAGAATTCTACAGAGAATGCGGTTCAGGTTTGAGAAATTTATTTTTTTGCCTTTATTTCTGAATAATTTGTAATGTGAAATTGTCATATTGACTTGGTTTTGAGCATGCTTCATTGCAGGAACTACAAGAAGCAATCCTAAAAACTCAGAAGAATGCCAAGATTGAGGTTGTTGAAGATACCCCAAGTGGTAAGTAGACTGAAAGCCCTATACATGCCGACATGATGATACAAATTGGCATTTGAAGTGGAATAATGGAGATATCCAATGTGCATGTAGTTCAAGTGTAAATTAAAGGCTTTAAAGATAGTTTATATGGGGCAGAAAGGAAGAAGGACAATTGAACCAAATTAAGAATAAGCTAAGGCCTTTTAATCTTTTATGTTCATATATTTGTGTAGACTGAGATATCGAACAATTTACTGACAACTGTTAAACAAATGATCAGGGAAATATTTACTAGCCGAGGTTGATGGAGCGTTTGGGCGGGACGTGCTGGAGTTTTTAGTGAAGGGAGATGTTGTTACTTACAGGTCTATGGCCGAGAAAGTGACCTATGTTTACCCTTTCACAACAGCAATTGGTGACTCAAAAGGTCAGGAAGAGAGGTTAAAGAAGATCATAGCCCAATTAGGCTGGTATGTTCCAAGTTTTGATTCCATGGAATAGGCTTATGTCGTTTTCCCTCATCAATATGTATCCACTACTTCAATTCCTTTCTTTTTTCCTAGAAGAACAATTTTCATAAAAATTGGAAAAGCTATTCGGGGTATATATACGGAGGATGAATGGAGTATGGTGACTGTGGAAGTTCATCTGTAATTTTATGGCATTTTAGTGCCTAGAATTTGCTGTTTCACCTGCAAATTCATTGACTACTCACTGTTTTCATGACTTCTGAAATAATTGGTAAAACAAAAATGGTATCCAACTTAATATTCAACTGAAAAAAGTCATCGCTTGCAAGTCTTCAAAGTTGCCGTAGTTTCAAGGTATAACACATGTACAAAAACAAGTGGCAAGTTGACAGAACTTAGTAAAAACGATTTGTTCATCCACAAGATTTCCTAAGCAAAGTCTTGAAGAAAAATCTAGTCTACTTTTCGCCTTTTAATCAATCAACAAGTTGGTCATTGGAATACTCCTTAATTAACATGTTTGAAAAATCGTATCTCCTTTCTTATATGGTGTAGGCTTTAAGTCATTGCAAGAAAATAAAGAAAATTCTGTACCAATTGGCCAATATATAGCCATGAATTTCGTGATTCAACATTGATCTAAACAACGACATTGAGATGATAATCCAAAAAATGTCTTTGGCATGTCAGTTTCTTCACTCGACAGCCCAACAAATCGAGGCAGTGAAAGGGAGGAAAGAAAAAGGAAGAGTGGAAAGAGTCAAATAAAAGAAAGTCCACAGAAATTGGATGGCTTGGATAGATGATGCGTGTAGTGCATGCTCCATAGAAATGGACAGTTGAAATAAAAACAATTATTGATTAATGGTGTTAATAATAAAAGATTAAAAACATTATTTTAAAATAAAAAAATCAAATTATCCTTTTAAAATATTTTTAAAAACTTTTTAAATTTTACCCACCAAACCTCCTGTCCCTTTCTTTTGATCATAATGCAGTCAAAGAATGACGTATACCACATTTCCACTTCATCTATATATGTATCTCAAATAATTCATTCTCAAGCTCACTGTATAAAGACGGCTGCAATTCTGAAATTAAAATTCACTGTATAAAGACGGCTGGATTAATTTGATTGGACCGTCCATCACATTAAGGTGGGTAGAATTGGACCAATGGAGCTATTCTCGTCCCAAATCTGTAAGTGGCAGAAAGGGTACCCATTCTAGGAAAGCAATAGTACAAAATTTGGCTTTTTTTTTTTTTTCAAATCTTAAATTTATTTATTACCCTTAAGTCTACTGCTATTTGTTCGGGCTCGGGCTCTTAAGTGGCGACATTATGTATTCATATATATATATATATATATATATATATATATTTATAACAATTTTTTTAAATATTCATTATATTAAAAATATATTTCAATATATAAAATTTTACTAGAAAAAAACCTCTGAAAAAAAATTTAAGCAAAGAAAAAATAGTATACAATTATTTTTAAGAATACGCTTTTGAAATATTACTTCATTAAAAACCTTATAAAAAAAAACTAGTGAGTAAAACCTTGATTAAGAAAAATAATACAGCTCATATTTTACTTCTCTTAATGGCTACATTGTTTAAGATATTTAAAACGACGTATTTGTATCAATTTTTCAAATATTACAGTAGAAAGGTCTTTGGTGAATAAATTTACTAGATTGTCACTTGAATGAATTTATTGAACGCTAATATCATTTTTTTTTAAGATAATAAATGAAGAAGAATTTTTTGTGAAATATATTTTGTTCTATTGCTTTTAATGTATCATTCCTTTAATCGGGTCAAGCAAATAGTATTGTTCTCATATAGCGTTGTTAGAATTTTCTTCTTTGTTGACAAGTCACACTTTACTCGAATATGTTGAGTTATAAACCTTAACTAAACACAATTTTGACTTGCTTCATGAATTGTTAAAATTTATACACGATTAAAAGAAATAGTAACTATAATTTATTATATAGAACGCTATGAAATAGCCGTACCTCTATATATGAATAAGTAACTTGTCGGAGATCAAGCTTTGTGTAGATTAAATAAATACTCTACATCCTCATAACTAATTAAATTTGATTTTGAATATATTTGAATAATATAAGCATGTGTCCATTGTTCTTCAAAGATATAAAATTATATATTTAATTTCATTCCAATGCCTTCAAGTTAGAAAAGAACTATATCTTACTAATAAATTTACAGCAAATAATATATTAGGTCATGTATTGCTAGTAAGATACGTTAGTATTTTGATTTCACTAAGATATGATACTTCAAGACCAAAAGATTCTTTTATCATCTTCACGAGATTGGAAAGGGTCTTTTTTTTACATTTAGTGACCTTACAACTATTAGTGAATTCAATGGATGTGCTTTATATAGAATCGTTTTAGCACTTTTACTATATAATTTGATTAAAAGACTTAATTTTTATATTATTATATTATTATATAAAAACTTACTAATTTCTATACATTACCATAAAAACTAAGTTGAATGTCCATTAGATTAGATTAAAATTTGAATTTAATCTATTCAAATCAAATCTTTTAGCATTATTTTATCTTGTAAATTCTATCCCTATAAATAAGTATCTTACTTCATTTGTAATACATATTCTTGAATAAGATTTTTTTATTTTATTAATACTTTTCTCTCATAGATGTTCTTTCGGGTTATATTTCACAATATGTTATTAGTACAATTTCTAATCTTTTTAAGTTTTAGTATCATTTAGTTTTTATAATCCAAAAGTCCATTTCTTCAGGTTTCAAAAAGATTTTAATAGTTGGTGTTTAATTTTAAGTTTTAGCAAATCAAGTAAATGACTTGATATCTCTTAAGTATTTTTATTTTGTAAAAATTAATTTTAATGTGAATTTTGTTATTGTATAGTATTTATCATATTTTTTTATTAATTTATTAAATCAGATTGGGCATGAAAATATATATAAGATATTTTTATTTTAATTTTGAAATATGATTTTTTTAATATTTATTTTTTTTGTTGAATTCTGACTATAATTTTACTTAACATTTGTAAATCTATCTTTAATAATCAAATATTAAAATTCAAACTAAATTACACTCATATATTTAACCTATTAGACTACTTAACCTAATATAATATATATATATATATACATATATATTTATAACACCTCTGTCCATAGGTATTTTTTTCAAGAAAATGAAGAAAAAGCCATTGTGGTCATTTACCTTAGCCTCCTGAACTCAACCATCACGAGCAAAATGCTACTGACAAGCCCTTCAAACAAAAAGCCTTACGTAGAAGAGTAGGATTCTTATTGTTTAGATCCCTAGGGACAAATATTAAATATTAATTGAAGGCAAGTGGAAAACACCGAAACAGCACGTTTTCAATTATTATATGACGGCCTACGCATGTTGATGATAGTATTATCATTTTTAAAAGCAGCAGGCATTCACGTTGCGATGTTCATTGGATTAACGGCACACGTTTTCATTTAATAGAGGCGCTTTCCATGGACAATCATGATTCTTGCAGATTTTTTCCCTTTTTGTTTGGGTTACAAATTGCAAGAAAATTAGAGGAAAAGACAATCAAGCCCAATATGTGTTTGCTGAATCAGGGTCAGAAGCTACTGTTATCACACCTTTCTTCATCTTATTTCCAACAATAATTCTCGTCTACTTTTCAATGCTTATCTAGTTAAAATCGAAATTGGAATGTCATCCCATCTGTTTATCTTCTCAATCCAGCTGCTTTGACTAATTAATTAAGCTCGCAAGCATGCTTTTATTAATAAATATAATATATATATATATATATATATATATATGCAACCATTATTATCCTAATCATGGTTGTTAGGAGTCTACATGGTTAGGCCATTGATCTACATGGTTAATAATTGTTTTACGAAAAACAAAAAAAGCACAGAAAGAACGAGGGAGCGATGGAAAAGCAAACTGATAAGCTATGTGATACGAGAATGTAAGAGAGAGAGAGAGAGAGAGAAAGAGACAGCAGTTATAATGACCGTTGGTCAGACCATGAGCTATTGTCCTGTTTCGTAATTCTAGTCTCCACAGATCGTTGAAAAAGAAGAAACGTTCGTGGCAAACCATTCAGCTAACAAGTTACCCCTTCCATCTTCACACAAACTGTGTCTGAACAAAGACTCCTTTATCATCAATCAACTTGAATCAATCCCAATCAAAACTCTCTTTGGGTCAGTTTTACCTCTTTCTTTTTTTTGTGTTCGCTGGAGCCACAGAGAGAGAGAGAGGTTATGGAACAGATACCTGAAAAACTCAAGGCCCTTGTCAACAACAGATGGCTGGTGTTTGTGTGTGCAATGTGGGTTCAGTCATGTGCTGGAGTTGGCTACTTGTTTGGAAGCATTTCGCCAGTGATCAAAAGTGCCATGGGCTACAACCAGAGGCAGATAGCTATCTTGGGTGTGGCTAAAGACTTGGGTGATAGTATTGGCTTTGTAGCTGGAAGCTTGTGTGAGATCCTGCCTATTTGGGTGATTTTGCTCATTGGGGTTGTCCAGAATTTTGTTGGCTATGGTCTGGTTTGGCTTGTTATTGCTAATATACTGCCTGATTTGCCTCTCTGGGTGGTGAGTTTTATTCGGTTTTCATTTATCTTGGGATTTTAAATGAAAAAGTTTAATTGTTTGCTCTGTGCTAGGAAAAAAGTTTGACTTTTTCTCTCTTTGGTTGAAAAGCATTTTTGGATTAATTTTTGTGGCTTTTAAGAAATTTGATTTCTCTTCTGGGATAAGAAAATCTAGTGATCTTTGTCAATCATGTTGAATTGTTGATGGTGATGATAATCCAGTTGCTCGCAAGAAGGCATCTTTCTGTGTTTTAGAGTGGAATATGTGTGGTTGGTATCTGATTTGATTGTTTAATTAACTGAGAGCCTTAAGCTTGGCAATTGAGCTTATAGCTGTAAACCGTGATATGGTAAATTTGTAAGTTTTTCCCCTAAATTAACATTTTATCTCAAGATTAAGGGGGAACTCTAATTGACAGAAGGATCACTAACAAGAATTAGATTCCAGTTGATAAAGCTCCTGAAATTTCACAAAAGTTGTTGTCCATAATGTGAAAAAATTCTAATACTATCCATAACAGATTCAACTGTATTTTGAATTACTCCTACAATTTAGAGTCGATTCTTCAACAAACTGATAGCAGATTGGGTGTCTGATTGTCTAGATGCACTCTTGAGTCATGGACTTACGTTAAAATCATATCTATGTTGCTTTTAATTTTTGTTGATCATGTTCCTCAATTCTGATCTGATTCTGATTGTTAATATTGATATTGTTTAGCTGAGCTTTCTTTTCATTTGTTTTAAACATAAAGAACTTCATAATCTTTCTCTTCATCATATTTCTATTTAACAGACAGAAAGGCTTTGGGCTTATCCTGCATTAGTTTTAAATTTTAAGGGTACAGCCACAGCAATTTAATCAATCTCATATTCATTTTTGCCTCAGTGTCTCATTACTAATGATGGTCAAAAACATAATGAGTGAAAGACTCTTGAAAATGACTGAACTTGTTTTAGCCTGTCAAGTTGAGGCTAAATCTTTCTAGTAAATAGACTTGTGTTAGAAGAGAAAGTTGGCTATATAAAATGAAGGGACTGATCTAATGACAAGTTTATCCAAGAGTTGTTCTTTTTTATGGTGGAGAAAAGCAGTTAAAAATATGCTTCTTTTCTATACTATGTGTTCCAGGACACTATAGTCAAGCACCATACTCTGAGATTATAATTGTTAAAATGAATCTTGTTTTATTTGTTGAATCATAATTATCTAACTGAGGAAATTCATCCTTTTTTCATACTTTAGTTAAAAATCTGTGGACCATCTTTGGCTGTTTCCAAGTTGAAAAATGCTAATCAAGTTTTGCTTTGCAGCTGTGTGTCGCTATATTTGTGGGAACAAATGGTGAGACATACTACAACACAGCAGCTCTAGTTTCATGTGTGCAGAACTTCCCCAAAAGTCGGGGTCCTGTTGTGGGGATACTTAAAGGATTTGCTGGCTTAAGTGGTGCAATTTTGACCCAAGTTTATACCATGATTAATTTTCCTAATGAAGCGGCACTCATCTTCATGGTTGCAGTTGGGCCATCAATAGTTGTTATTGCTTTGATGTTCATTGTTAGACCTGTAGGGGGACACAAACAAGTCAGGCCTTCCGATGGTTCAAGCTTCCTTTTTACATATAGTGTTTGCCTTATTCTGGCAGCTTATTTGTTGGGAGTATTGGTGCTTGAGGATATAGTTGGCATAAATCAAACTCTGGTCACATTGCTTGGAGTGCTTTTAATCATTCTTATATTGCTTCCAGTTATAATTCCTATTTTATTGGTTTTTGCATCGGAACCAAGCCCTCCAGTAGAGGAGAATCTTCTCCCCAAGCCAGAGAAACAAGAATCAGGTAGTTTTGAGCAGAATGAAAATGAGGTCATTCTGAGTGAGGTTGAAGATGAGAAGCCTCCGGAAGTGGACTCTCTTCCAGCGTTAGAAAGACAAAAACGAATTGCACAGTTGCAAGCAAAACTGTTCCAAGCAGCTGCAGAAGGAGCAGTGCGGGTCAAGAGAAAAAGAGGGCCACGTAGAGGGGAGGATTTCACCTTATTACAAGCACTGATAAAAGCAGATTTTTGGCTAATGTTCTTCTCCCTTGTACTGGCTGCTGGATCTGGTTTGACCGTCATCGATAACCTGGGTCAAATTTGCCAGTCTTTGGGGTACAGCGATACGAGCATATTTGTATCCATGGTCAGTATTTTTAACTTTCTTGGTCGTGTTGGTGGTGGATACTTTTCTGAGACTATTATCAGGTGAAAACAAATTACATTTCATCCAAATGTGCAACTTCAGTAATTCTCCTTCAGCTGATACTGGCGAATGATATGCTAATCCTTGTTTTTATGTTTTATATTTTACCAGGAAATATGCTTTCCCCAGACCAGTGGCCATGGCTGTGGTTCAGGTTATAATGGCATTTGGACTCCTCTACTATGCTCTAGGCGGGCCTGGGCAAATATATGTCACGACTGTGTTAACAGGACTAGGATATGGTGCCCACTGGGCTATTGTGCCAGCCTCAGCTTCCGAGCTTTTTGGATTGAAGTCTTTTGGCGCCTTGTATAATTTTCTCACACTGGCAAGTCCTGCTGGTTCTCTAATATTTTCTGGTGTCATTGCTAGTGGTATATATGACCATTATGCAGAGAAACAAGCTAGCCTTCGACAGCCAGTTTCAGGATCTCTGCTCAGTATTCCTCTTCGGGATGATGATTCACTAACCTGTGAGGGTTCCATATGCTACTCTCTCACTTGCGCTTTAATGTCAGGACTTTGTCTGGTTGCAATGGTGTTAAGCTTGATCGTTGTTTATCGGACTAGAAGTGTGTATGCTCAACTCTATGGGAAGTCTCGCAATTGAGTTGCAAGGAGGAGCCACTGTAGCTTTTTTTCTTTACTGTCAACCTGAAGAATTTTGTTGGTCCTTATCTATGCGATTGGGTATGTTGCAGAGGGAAGAAAAGTGGGCAAACATTTCCTTTTCAAGCAACTGCAAACAGGCAACTGGAGATGTTTACAAGGTTTTCAAAACAAGCTCTGCATGTTGTTTTAATGTTGGATGCATACGGTTCAGAAGGCATAGTTGATTCTTATACAAGAATTAGAGGATTCTGGTCAAGAGGTGCAGGTTATTTCATTCACCTGTAGACCATAACCAGGATCTGCTCAGCCAACTTATGTTTGTAATGTAGCCACCATGCCTTATAGATGGTAGAGTTAGAATATTTTTCTTAAGTCTTCCTTTCTTATTATCTTCTGTTTTACAGAGGACAGTTAGAAAAGCAAGATAAATGTGACTGGGCCTGCAGTTCACTCATATTGACTCCTCATTTCACAATGTTGTCATAATTTAAATTGAATCTTATATTTCTTAATGGCCGTATAATTAGAAAGAGGGAGAAAATGTTATAAATGATGTACATACAATTAAATATACTTAGTAAAGATTCTGTGTCTAACAACTAATGAGCGCAGATGGCAATTAGAAGAGAAGTTGAATGCAAAATACATTGTCAAGGTAGTTTAAAGTGTTAATTAATAGTATTTGATCACATTGCTATAACAGTAAACTAAAAATTTTAATCCATTTCTAATTTTTACTATTATTAAAACTATAATCCTTGCGCCTGCATCTGCTGCTCAAGCTAAAGGTGAACCATCCAAGCCAACACACGTTAGAAAATCAAGAGAGAGTATGAACTGTGAAGAGAGGGAAGCCTTGAGAGGAAAATTCATGGTTCTAAGAGAACAATGCTGCTTCTTGTTGTACAGTAAAAAGCATGGGACTAAGAGATAGAGGCATGGATGAAAAAATGTGACTGGCATTGCACTCAAGATGTAAACTGTGGTTTGTTGCATCTAGGTGACAGTTCAATAAGAAAGATATTGTCTACTTCATCAAATTTTCGGTTCATACTCTTGCTTTTTCATCATTTTTCTCTCATCCATAATATGTTGTGAAATCAATGTCTCCAAAAACGGTTTGCTTAATGAAGAACAGGATGCTTGCATGAGATATATCTGCAAAGAGATATATGCTGGACTGAAAGCAATGGTTTTCTCTGATATTTTCTGCAGACATTTTCCATTAGAATTCATTGACGATATACCATTTTGCACTAGGAATACAAAGAGGCCAAATTTACATTAATTAGAATCCCATCTGGCATCTCTGCACAGTGTTTAGCCAGGCCATGCCAGTATATTGTTCATTCAAATTTCACCCAAAGATTACATGTCGAGGTTTCGCATAAATTACATTGTACAAGGAAATTAATGTAAACGGCGAATGCAAGGCAGCTCTCTCTGTATGAATAGGGCAAATATCCTTGGTGCAATCTTCTGCATATACATTAATGGCGACCATACCCAAACTAAGTAACCCAATTACATATTTGGCAAACAACTCAGACATGAACAAACTCCAAATCAAATTATGTCAGAATAGGATTTACAGTACCAGCAAAATCCTAAGAATTCCAATAATAAATGGCAAGATCATTAATATTTATATATGGATGCTAGCTCTTTCCAATAAAGTCATGATGAAGCTCATTTATGCAAGGGTAACTGATCTGCGTTATGGTCTCTGGAGAAAATTCATGTCCCGTACAACCAGAAAACAACACCGCACACTTTTTGTCATTAGACTAAAAGGTGTGAAGAAAATTTGAACCTCTGCCCTGTTTTCTTCCAGGAAAAGGCACTTACTTAGTTGTGGGATGTAAAATTCTGCTCATTGTAAGCAGTGATCTTCTTCTGCTGTTTCCAGTTTGTTTTGCACTGGTAATGAACTCAGAAGAAATCCCATGTCAGTGAAAGAAAGTGCAAAACCTATTGTATTCAGTATCTGATCTAACAGCTAGGCATACAGCTTAAGCAGGCCATCTTAGCTGTATTTTTCATCCAAATGGCAATAACAGCAAAGAATTCCAAATCTGCTGTATGAGTCAAATTGCAGGATTAAATGGAAAGTAAAAGGAAAATGTAATCGTCTAAGGAGCATGTATGCAATGCAAGGCAACCTTCCATCTGTGACTAGGATGCATTTTGGTGACATGGTGATGAGTCATCCTGTTCTGCACCTCCATTCTTGGCAACCATGGCCATTATTTGGTAACTGCAAACATTTTTTTGGTAAACCACTCAAATGTGATTCCACAACCAATCATTAAGAATCAGTTGGATTCTTCCTTTAAAGCAAAAATCCAAAGAATTCAGTCATACAAGGGAAGATTATAAATGGTAAAGAAAATGAGTGCTAGCACTGACCATTGAATTCATGAACAAGCTCAATTATGACACAGCAAACGCTGCTTTTATTTGGCTTGTACAATAATATGAAGGAAGGCGCATTCCTTGAATTGACTAGATACATGATAAGTATTGGGATGCTAATATTACCCAGTATGACTAATTGCCAATGTCTAACAGACTTGACCCTGGTAAGGAAAAATTCCATTGCTACATTGAATTGAGAATGATCAGCCACCTATTCATTTCAAAATTTCTATACACAAAAAAGGCCCAAAAAAAAAAAATCACCAAACATAGAGAAAAAAAATTCCATTAAATACAGATAAGTTCTAATTAAATTTGCCTCCTCTTTGTAGCCAAATGGCAATGTTTCCATTAGCCAGAGTTAAAAGTTAACCATGGTTAGGGTTTTACCACATACAAAACGGTCAGGTTTATGCCTATATAAATGAATAGAATATGTATTTTTTTTCATATACCCAGTAATTATATAGTGTCTTATGCCTTTTGTCTTATATACATTCTCAAAATTCAGGTTTTTAAATTTTTATCTTTCAGGTAAACAAGGTCAGCAAAAATCAAAATTTAGCTGGTAATTCTTCAATGCCGCCTCTGAGATTGAATTCTCTGTAAATAGGCGAGTTTCCTTTCCCCTTTTTTTATTGTCTCTGAAAGTTAAAGTGTATTCCTTTTATTTTGCTTTGCATGCAATTCTTTTAGAAAAAAAAAAATCATTCTTATAGCCATTGATTGTGAACTTGTGATACAGGCTTTTTTGGGGTTTTAATCGGGATAATAAGTACTGAAATGAGGCGAATTTGAATGTGGAATGTGTAGCTATTGATTGAAGCTTTTGGCAATCTCAAATACTCTGTTGAATTGTCGGTTTCTTTGTTTTGGCCAATATTCAAGTCGATTGGTGTACTGGAATTTTTTTTCATTGCTTTTTGTTGTTGTTTGATATTTAAATTGTATGCATTCATTCAATTTGAATTTGGTTCAAAAGGTGGTTTAATTTCGTTGTTTGAAATGAAAGTTGAGAACTGAGAATTCACTTTCCAGGAGGAAAAACTGAATTATGATCTGTTTTGGTTATTGAGGAAAAGTTGTATTGTTAAAATGAAGAAAAAGACTTTGCAGATAGCCATTTGTATTTGTAACTTGATACATTCCATGTCTGCATTGTGATCATATTTTAGCAAGGTGTTTGTTTTAAATCCGTTATGATTTCTTTGAAAGTTCGGTATTCAAGTTCGTTGAAGTTTAAAATGATTAACTTCCCGCGCATTTTTTTCTTATTTTAATTAATAAATTCTCAGATAACGAAATTTTGTGCAACATTTTATTTCCAAATCTGTTGCGTATTTTGAAAGTTCGGTAACGTAGTGTGTTTAGTTTTAAATGAATGACCTTCCCGCGCATTATTCGTTATTTCAGTTGATAGATTCTTGGAGAAAGACATTTTAGACAATTTTTTTTTTCTGTGAAAGGATTTTATGCAATGTTGTGTACAACCACTTGGTGTCTTGCACAATTAATTGCAGTCTTGTAATGCTTGCAAAAAAATTTTGAACCTTGGATTTAGATTTTATATTTTTAATGTGAGAATCTTTTCTGATATTGTGTTGGCTGACAAATGCAGATAATCAACTGAAGAAGGAAATAGCTAGCAGTTAGAGGCAGGCAGAGAGTCACTGGCATAACTATAATGGATTCTAACAAAGAAGAGGCCACCAGAGCTAAAGAGCTTGCTGAGAAAAAACTTGGGGAGATGGATGCTGCTGGGGCCAAAAGATTTGCTTTGAAGGCTCAAAACATGTATCCCGAGCTTGATGGTCTTTCTCAGTTGCTTGCAACTATTGATGTGTACATAACTGCAGATATGAAGATCGATGGAGAAGTGGACTGCTACAGCGTGCTTGGTGTTCAACCATCTGCCGATGAGGACACAATTCGGAAACATTTCAGGAAGCTGGCTCTCATTCTTCATCCTGACAAAAATAAATCAGTAGGTGCAGATGGGGCTTTCCATATTCTGTCTGAAGCTTGGAATTTGTTATCTGATAAAGCGAAGAGAATTGCTTATGACCTGAAGCGTAACTTAAGGTGCAGTCATACAAATGTTTTATGTGGGAAGTCGTCTTCATTGGCACCAACCAGTCATGAGGGTTTCCATAATTTCAACAACACTAGTGATCAGAACAATGCTGCTTATTCCAGGCCTGCTCCTCCTCGCTCAGCAAGAAACGATACCTTTTGGACAACCTGCAATACCTGTAGGATGAATTTTGAGTACCATAGAGTTTATGTCAACTTGAATCTTACTTGTCCCAACTGTAGCACTCCCTTTAGAGCTGTTGTGATGCCAGCTGCACCTGTAAATGGTAGTAGGCCATATACTCCATCAACGGACTGTATTCAGCGACAGACATATCCTCAGGTTCATAATACAGGTCCGGGGAGATTTTCTGGCTTGCATTCATTTACCAATATTTCTCTGAATAGATCAGGAAGTAACATAAACGCGGCTCCACCGGCTTATTTCACTGCTCAAGTTGCTAATTTTACTCATTCAGCCCGTGAAACATTAAAGAGTGGGCACAAAGGGTCACAGACAGTCACCATGGGAGAGGGAAGCCTGCCAATGAAATTTCATCCTTCTCAGAAGCTAGATGACGGTTTAGGTACCTGGTCCTTTGATTATATTTCCAGTCTTGCAGCAAAAAGCCACAGAAGTAAGAACAGGAGGCCCTTCAATCAAAGTGAAATGGGGAATCCACCCATAGGAAAGGAGCTCTCGAAGCAGGATATTCACAATATGCTGACGAAGATGGCTAAGGAAGAAATCGGCAAGAAGCTAAATTCATGGCACCCAGCTTCTCTATCAAATGCTTCAAATAAACCAAAGGCTTTTGATAAGGGGATGGATGAGAAGGACGAAGGAAATGGGAAAGATGCTCTAAATATGAAATCTGATGCACAAAAATCCATGGAGTTCGTGGATATCAAGTCTAGCATTCAGCCCAAAAAGTCTTACCCTGTTGATGCTGATGTTGATCCTGCTAGAAAGGAACCTGATCCAATGTCAATGAATGTTCCAGATCCAGATTTTCATGATTTTGACAAGGATCGTGCAGAAAGATCATTCGGTCAGAAGCAGGTTTGGGCTGCTTATGATGACGATGATGGGATGCCTCGTCTTTATGTAATGATTCATGGTGTGATATCATTAAAACCATTCAAAATGCGGATGAGTTGGCTTAATTCTAAAAGCAATGTGGAACTGGCTCCACTAAGTTGGATTGGTTCTGGCTTTTACAAGACTAGTGGAGATTTCCGGATTGGCAAACATGTAGTTAATAGGTCTCTTAATTCTTTCTCACACAAGGTGAAGTGGTCAAAAGGCAGAAAAGGAGCAATTCAAATATATCCTAGAAAGGGAGATGTTTGGGCTCTATATAGGAACTGGTCCCCTGATTGGAATGAGCTGACACCTAATGAAGTGATACACAAATATGACATGGTTAAGGTGCTTGAAGATTACAATGAGCAAAATGGTGTTGCTGTTGCCCCGCTTGTTAAGGTGCCTGGCTTCAGGACAGTGTTTCAGAAGCATTCCATGCCAAGTAAAACCTGGATGATTCCAAGAGAAGAGTTGTTTCGGTTCTCTCATCAGGTCCCTTCTTATTTGCTCCCAGGTCAGGAAGGTCATAATGCTCCGAATGGTTGCTTGGAGCTTGATCCAGCAGCTACTCCTTTGGAACTTCTTCAGGTATTAAGTGAAGCTCAGGTGATAGAAATGGAGGAGATCACTGAAAGAGCTCGGGAAGAAACTGTGTTGGGGGATTTGAAAAGATCTAAAGAAAAAGAGCTGGTGGAGAATGACCAAGAAATGAAACCAAATATTGGTGTAGAAGGTGTTGGACAAGCTTTCATGGAAGAAGAGATTATAGAAGAAGAGGAAAACCAAAAACCTGGGATGCTTGTTTATGGTAGAAGACAGCAAGGAAAACTGGAATGCCAGAGGAATCTTGGTGATTAGGGATTTGTTAAGGTGAAAATCCAGGAATTTATAATGTTCATAGGTTTTTCTCTGAGTCTCCTCAGCAGTCAAATGCAGCTCTGCAGAATTCAGCAAGCTGCATACTGGCGGGACAACAAAATCACATCAAAGTTATAGGGTCTTCTTCAAAACCGAGTTTAGGTATATCTGTTAACCTGAAGAACGTTTTGAAGATCAACATAGGTTTTCTTTCTTTCTTTTTTTCTTTTTCTTTAAGGGTCAATACATATTCCAAAAGGAACTCATTGTTTGCACCTGGTCAAAAAAACAAACAAACAAACAAACCCTCCAGGAGCTGCCCTTGCCTTTTTTTTTTCTTTTTCATGGAAAACTATAGTTGTGGTTCATGTAGGCTTTTATTTCTCCTTAATATAGCAATTTGGAAAATGTTTCAGCTTGTACATGGTGATTCTCTTCAACTTTTCCTGAATCCTCCTACTTGATTGTCTTGCTGTTTCTGTTACCATGCCTGCCTGTCATTTGCCTTAAAAGCACCCTTAACATAGCTGGTTATATTCTAATGTTTTGCTAACATTTATTAACACTTTAAAATCCAATCGTAACTGATGATGTGGCATATGAATTATTATTCTTTTGACATGCTAATCACATGAATACTTAAAAATATTATCTTATTCTTACATGCTATTTCCTCAAAATGCTCACAAGGTTTAAATGTGTGAGTGTCCCAGTCAAATAAATAAAAAAAAAAACACAATAAGTTGACAAAAAAAGTAATATAATTTTATAAATAAGATAATAGTTGAATTTCAGACGTAAACATTGGTTTCAATAATTTATACATACTTAATAGAAGTCTTTTTTAATATTAAATATTGATCAATTTCATAGTAATTAACAATATATATTAGTAACTGGTAAGCAGGTTCAACCCCATTCTTTGTGGCTGTACATGGGGACCCATAAAAAGCACATGAAAGGGACACCATATATTTTAAACTATTTTTTGGTCAATTATATTATGCTTGGATAGGAGGAACACTTAACCTGAAATTGGAAATATATATATATATATGCCCTTCAATCTCTTCTCCTATAATGCAAATGCCCTTTTAGGTTTTGCCAAAGCTAAAGCTAAACGATTCACTAATTATAATACAATGTGAAAGGTAATAAATAAAGATCCTTTTTCCTGCCCACCTCCAAAGAAACAAAAACCATTCTTTTGCCAAAGCGGCATTGATATTATATTCCTTCATTTGACTCAAAAAGGACTGAATAATAGCCCACTCATAAGTCATAGCTCTACTTGCAACTCTTCAACCATAAATGTAAACATCATAAGGGTTTATTTTAATCTACGATTCATTGCTCTCATCATTTGCTCATCCTCCACAAAAGAGTCCAACGTAAAAGCGTAACAACTAAGTCGCCGACTTGTATGATTGTGGACCAACTTTTTTTTTTTCCTCAATTCATTCATTTAAGTTATATAATAATAAGTTGATTCTTTCTCTTTTCTTTTTCTTAGATTTTCTTATTCCTGGTTAAAATAAAATAAAATCTTAATTTTTTTTCATTCAACTATTAAAAAATTAATGGAAGAATATATTTAATTATTATAAATTACGAGATACTCAAATAATCAAGGTTGGTTGGCCACCAGACGGACGACCTCTTCCGTATAAATTAATAGCTACAGCATTATTTACAATGACATATGAGGTAAGTTTAAAATGTGACTAAAGTCTCCATCTCCGTACAGCTTGCTTTGTCCGAAATCCAAAAATAAAATAAAAATAAACTCTATCTGTCTAAAATATATTATTTTACATTTTGATCCATAAATTTTACAGATAACTTTATACACTTAATTGATCCATCTAAATAAAAGGAATCAATTAATATTAAATTAACATATTTAGTTAAATAAAAACGTATCAAGCATATAAACTTTAATTGTAATATTTTGCAGACTCTAACTTTGATTTATATATCATATAACAATCTACAATCCAATTATTAAAGGCCATTTCTTATTTTTTTTAGGTAGACTAATAAATAAATAAATAAGATAAAAGAAGTTGTTCGTTTTTTCGAAACGAAAAAAAAAAAACAAAGAAAAGAAAAAGCAAAGAAGAAATAACATAAAAAGAATCAGCTGCAATGGCTGTACCTTATCCCATACATCTCTCACCCTTGAAAAAATCCAGCACCGCCATCCCCATCTCCCACCCTATCCCTCCGATCAAACGCATCCCATCCCATCTCCCCACCCAGCCCAAAATAAAGAAAAGAAAAAAAAGGAAAAAAAAATAAAAAAGAAAGGGAAATTCAAAACTTGTGATTTTGCCCCATTTGCCCCAAAATCTCTCCCTTGCTCTTCAGCCAATGGACAGTAACCAGCAAGCTCAGTCCTCTTACCCTCCTCAGCCTCCCACTGCTGCTATCACCTCTACTCCTTCCACCACCACCTCCGCCACCGCTCCCCCTCCTTTCCACCACCTCCTCCAACAGCAGCAGCAGCAACTGCAAATGTTCTGGTCTTACCAACGCCAAGAAATCGAGCAAGTCAACGACTTCAAGAACCACCAACTCCCTCTCGCCCGCATCAAGAAGATCATGAAAGCCGATGAGGACGTCCGCATGATCTCCGCCGAGGCTCCCATTCTCTTCGCTAAGGCCTGCGAGCTTTTCATTCTCGAACTTACCATCCGCTCTTGGCTTCACGCCGAGGAGAACAAGCGGCGGACGCTTCAGAAAAACGACATCGCAGCGGCGATTACGAGGACCGACATTTTCGATTTTTTGGTGGATATTGTGCCAAGGGACGAGATCAAGGACGAAGCTGGATTGGGTGGGATGGTGGGGGCCACGGCAAGTGGGGTGCCGTACTATTATCCTCCGATAGGTCAGCCTGCTGGGGGTCCTGCTGGACCTGGTGGGATGATAATTGGGAGGCCTGCCGTCGATCCCACTGGTGGTGTTTATGTTCAGCCTCCTTCACAAGCTTGGCAGAGTGTTTGGCAGACGGCAGGGGCTGAGGATGGCTCGTATGGCAGTGGAGGTAGCAGTGGTCAGGGGAATCTTGACGGACAAGGGTATGTGGAATAATATTTTTTTTTCTTTGTTGATTTTGAGAATTTTCACTTTCTGGGGTTTTTCTCTTTGTTAAAGTATTGTTTTTTTTTTTTGTTCTTTAATTTATTGATTCCATCCAAAATTTCTGTTTTTCGTAAACTCTTTTCATATTGTAGAATAAGAAACATTTGGTAGAGTGATGTTTAACTTGTTTTGTTTGAGATTCTAGCCTATTGGATAGGGGCTGTAGTTCTATAAAACTATTTCCTATCCTTTGAACTTTGGTTGCTGCCTTTTAGTTTAATTGAGCATATAATCATTGCAGTTCTTGTGGGGAAAAATGAGATGGTTGGCGTGTATTTTTTATATGTCTTGCTTAGGCATTGTCTTTCCCTTGCCAAGGGCTGGTTAAGTACATCAGTGGATTTTGTTTATTGGTTAGGATATGAAGATCCCATTTGGTGGATTGAAGTTGCTAGATCTACAGTTTAAATTTCTAATTTTTGTCACTTTATTTCTTTGATTTTGAGACAAATTTGGCTTTAAGATAAGTGATTGTTTATGTTATGGCTAAGCAGTGATGGACTGATGGTAGTGATGATATTGCTGATATTTCATTGTAGTACACTACATGGATGCTATGAGTAACTTGAGCAGGCATCCTTTGGATGCTTTAGTTAGTTGTATAGGATGAAACTTAATTAGTTTTGATTCAATCACTTATGGAGATGGTTTCCATCTAGGAAAGCTTGAGAAAAGAGCAAGAAGAGCTTGCTTAGAATGAGAAATTATGTTAGTTAAATCATTAATTAGGTGGTTGTCACTTAGGAAAGCTTGAGAACAAAGAAAGGAGAGTTTACTTGGAAGAAGATGGTTGAGACATTTTCTAGGAAATGTTGAATATTGTCCGAAGACAGTGAACAACCTTCAATTTTCCATTTCGATTCATATTCAGTGTAATTTAGTTCCACTTCACTCATTTAGTTCCTAGTAAAAATTGGTAGGCACTAACTTCTTGAGATTGTTGATGAACTTAAAGGGGGTATGGACAAGAAGAGAAAAGGGGGGGGAGGGGTGCATGTCTTAGCCATTCTTCATTGCTGGTTTTTTTTTTTTGGGCATGGTTTCTTTTTTAGTTGTTTATTTGCAATTCAGCAACATGGTTGGTGACTTGATTCCTTAAACTAACATTAGACTTTTTCCCTTAACCATTTAGCAACTATGATACATATAGGTAATATCAATGCCATGATTGGTTTTAGCACGTTGCATTCTTAGCACTTGCTTTTTGTATAATACTGTCTGACTTTTCTTTTAATTTTTGCATTGTTGTTAAATTATCATTTTGCATTTTAAAAAATGCTTGTATTCTTGACTGTTGATTGATTATACATAAGAGGTTGTGGATCATGACTGCCTTTTGACTATATACAAGAGGTTGGTGTGGATGTAAATCACCATCAAAACATGATTTGACTTAAAACCTTGAACAAACGAGGGGGAGAATCTGAACCGTTCTTTTTCAACTGTAGAACTTATTTTACCTAGGACAAATTCTAAAGCCTGCCAACCAGCATTCGCCTTTTCCTGGCTGTGGTTTTATTTTCTTTTCCATATAGAAGGTTGCAAACACCTTGCCCTGCTCCCATATTGGGGTTGTGTCTTTTGAGATAAAAGCTAGGACAGGAGAAGTTGAATAGTTATGATACAATTTGGAATGTCAACATATTAATAGTTAAATGGTGATTCTACTAGTCTTTAAGCCATTTGGATGAATGTTCTCTTTTCATGTATCGAATAATGCCTTTTTTAAAGTATGTTGCTCTGCTGTAGTAAGTTATGCTCTTGATGTTTTATTTTGTTTGGACCGTTAATTGTCGTGTTGCCTTTTGAAGGAAAGAGGATTGCTTTATTGAATCATTCTTCCTCTTTCGCTTTATGAGCTGTTAATTTATCATGGTTTCACACTGGCCATTGTCTAAAGTTATTTTTGTTGTTTCCTGCAGCTAAGCATTTCATTGTTCCAATATGATGCTCAATGGTGTGGCAAACGTGTGCAGCTCAGCTGATGCTACTAGGAATTTTGCTTGCGTATGATTTATGAATGCACTTGTCTGCTATTGTTTATGGACAGCTTCCTTTAATGTAATGACTTGTTTAGAAACTTCTCAAGACCATAACTCATTTAGTGCAGCAAAACAATTGCTTGTTGCTATGACTTGCCTAATCATATCTAATGTGCAGCTCTGGGTTAATTATCCCCTTGTTGTGTTCTAAAGGATTCTGTTTATCTTATATCTTCATGTGAATGGACATCTTAAATTTTCTCAACCTTCTTTTTGGAGAATGATTAATGGGAACAACTTTCTTTTTCTTTGTGCTCTTTGTAAGCTTGAGTAGAACCCTCCCAAGGGTATCCCCTCGGTCTTTAGGTGTTCGCTATGATCAACAAAACAGGGGATGAGGATTTAAGTATCATTTGCCCATAAATGCTTGTGAAGTGCAATAGTTGTAAGAAAATTATCATAAAAAAGCTACTAATATTTATCTGTATGTGATATCATTTGACCAGGATCTAAATTCTACTGGTTACTTTTGCATTCTGGTGGAGGCTTAGAGTAGCGCGAGCAGTAGTCATAGTACATGTATTTCGTTCTGACATGTTCATATGCTTTCAGATCTTTGGGGTTTAGCTTCCAAAACTTCTCCCTGTTCCACCAAAAGTGTGAAGAATAACATTTCTCAACGGCATAATCATGTAAAACGCAACCATTTATATCGAATTCTCGGAAGTAGGCTTTGAAAGGTGCTTGATTCCAGTCAGTTCTCTTTCCACCGGATGCCCACCCTTCAGCATTCCATACACTGCCCTCTATTTGCATTGGCTGGTTTGGATAATTTACTCCCATTTTCCTGTTGTTCTTGAAAACCCTGATTGGCACATTGTCAACATAGAACCTGAAAGTTGAACATTATTCGTTATGCCATTGGACGTTTGTTATGGAGTGAAAAGTAGATATTTAATCGTACACTATTTGATGCTGGTTCCAAAGAATCTTGTAAGAATGGAAATCTTTAGTGGGATCAAACCAAAGATGAATTCTTTGCTCGCGACCTCCTTGACCGTTTGCAAACACGTTTGTCTGTAATGTATAAGGCGCAGTATTGTTTCCCAAGAACTCAAAGTCCAGTTCATCGTGATCACTTGAACGTGAAGTTAACTGCAACCACACCATCATGTTACCATCACGATCAAGAATATCATAATAATTCAATGGAAAGAAGTACATATATAATTACATAGAATGCTGTAAGAACCCCTGTTGAATTCTTGTCTGGTATTTTCATTCTGATGTGAAAGAACCCTGATCCGTATCTCCACTTGGACTCAAAGCCAGACCCTAAAACACAGAAAATACCATTAAATTAACAAGAAAACACTCTTTAAGTGATGAAGGCAACAGAACAAGTAGAGAACATGAACCGGAAGTTTGGTCCAATGTAAGCTGGATTTCTGTTTCATTGTTAATAGGTAAGGCATGATCAAATCCCCAGGTGACATAGTAGTTAGAGTAAAAGCTAGCACTGTTACGAGCTTTGCTTGTTTTTGCTGATGCAAGAAAGAGAAAAACAAAGAGACCCAGAATCCAGGATTCCATCGAGAATTGTGTAAGTCTGAATTACAAAAATTTCCTATATATATTCAGCCATGTTTGCATTTTTTGTTTAATACGGTTGAACACATGCCAGCAATATGGGCACGCCTAATATAACTGAATGGACAATGCAATTAATAACAAGCACATGAAAGTTTTGCATTTAATTTTATCTTAAACCTAGGATAAACAAACTGTTTTGTCCTTTAATCCCATAGAGATTTTAATTAGCATGCCTCACAAATCTCTATTAATGAAAATTTTTATGTTTATATGATATTTTTTATATTTTTAATAATGTATAGAATTAATATACTAGCAATGTATCAAATATAAATTTTTATAAAAAACAAGTTATGCATGACCTAATTAACATATTATATAACCTAAACAACATTACCAACAATGAGAGAAATAAGAAAATGTAAAATAGGGATCCATGTATAAAGGGGTATAGAAAATATTATCCTTTTACCCATAATCTAAAATCTGTAATACTTTATGTTAATGTATTTATTGGGTCCTAAAAACCAGGCCCAATGCGGCCCCAGAAATAAGAAAAGGTCTGTAAGCAGCCTAAAATTGTGGGCCGACCTGAGGCCCATGGGCAACTATCCTGTGGAATTGTTCTTTGTTCATGGAGAAGAAGGCCAAAACTGGGTTCCCAAATTTGACTTGCCTCCTACTACTACCCAACAAAGCTGCCTCGACGTTTTTATAAGTTGCATTCACATGCGGCAATCGCCTCATAAAGAATCTCCATTTTTTTCTCTTTTAAGATTTCATCTCGTCGCTAGGTGTTGAGAGAGAGAGAGAGAAATGGACGCCCTGGACTCCGTCGTCGATCCTTTGAGAGACTTTGCCAAGGACAGCGTCCGCCTCGTCAAGCGCTGTCACAAGCCCGATCGCAAAGGTATCCCCTTTTTCTTTCCTTATGCTTTTCTTTTCTTTTTCTTTAGATCTGTTAAAATTAGGGTTTATTGAGCATCTGATTTTTGGAGAATGCTGATTCTTTGCATGCAGAGTTCACGAAGGTGGCCTTCCGTACTGCGATCGGTTTTGTAGTGATGGGGTTCGTCGGATTCTTTGTTAAGCTCATCTTTATTCCCATTAACAACATCATTGTTGGCTCCGCTTAGGTAGTTATCCGATTCTATCTGGTTTTTAATGCTTGATTTGTTGACTCGGTTTTTGGATGCTTGTCTTATCTGATTTTGCATATGCATGATTGCAATACAAGTTTTATGGTTCTTCTCATTTGCATGACTCTGAATTAGGGGTTTCTTCTTGTATTTATGGAAAAAAAATATATAGTCAATTTGCGAAAGGTCTGATTTTGAAGCAGATGCATTTTTCAGAATCATCATTAGCGGCTACTATGTTCTGCCTTTTACGAACAATATATTGGTTTTTAAGCCTAACCCATTTGGATTATGGGATATGGCATCTACTGCTCTGGAATGTTAAAAGATGTGGTAGGCTTATTGTTTCTCCAGGACCCTTTGGTGGGTGATTGCAATTGCCATGTCTTTTGTTCTATATGCATGGCAACTTCATTTTCTCTCATAAACTAGCATTTTCACCCTGAGTCTTCATTGGGTTTGAGGATTAAGACTATTTGTAATTTTTCATCATTTATTTGTTGTTGATCTGGACTAGTGATGCTATGTTGGATTTGAATTTATTTTTTGTTGATCTGATTAGTGATGCTATGTTAAATCTTGGATCTCAAAACTACCCAGTCCTTCCTAGTTTCTATAGATATAGAAGAGTCTGCTTTGTTTGGGGTAAATGAGTTTATAGTTTACCTTTTTCCCTCACTGATGATGAATTTTGGGAATACTGCCTCTGTTTTTATTTATTTATGGGAATACTGCTTCTGAGGTTCAAATGGTGTTATGTTTTTTTCCCTAATTTAAAACCATAGTTGCTATGGTCCTTGTATATCATTCATTTTCGGCCCTCAGGAATAGATATGAAATTTGATCTCAGACTTCAGTTTTCCTGTTTTGGGCTTTGATATAATTAGGCATTTGGCGGTCTTTGTCATCTTGGTGTGGGTAAAAATTCTGAGTTTAGTGAATCATATAACAATCAATGTTTCGTAGCATTATTTGAGCATTTGCTTGAATATTAACGTTTTAGACCGAAGTTACATGTAAAATGAATGACAGAGTTGAACTACAATTTGGTATATAAGTTGTTGTATAACCTTTGGCATATGCTAGGATCAATATGAAATTGATAGTATTGCTGCTCTTTATACTGTAATATCCTAAAGTTTTCTTTAGCTCATACACGTCAACATTCTTGGTGATCAATTTTGCTTAATATTTATGTTTTGTTGTTCTATAAGTGAAAGGGATTGATTTGGTTTTAATATATAATTGCAGGTTTGTAGACATTGCTGGCGGATGTGACCGTTGTGATTGGTTGCAACTTGTCATCAAAGAGGAGTGTTAGAATACAGCTTTTAGCGAACAACCCAACCCCCTTCCTTCCTTTTAAATGTATGAGTTGAAATAGAAACCTTGAATCTGAAGTCAATTGGAATTTCTTTGAGCACTCCGTAATAGATTATGATTAATTTTGCCTTTGACTTGCGAGCTTTTTCTTATTGTGCTATTTCGAGAAGAAGAAACAAATCATGAGGAAATTCTTCCTTAACAAACAGAAATTGCTTTGTGGTCTTTCACATGACTTCTTTTAAGTAGCCAAATGGAAAATAACTTTGCCTTGCAAGAACCCAAAATTAGGTAACTAACATTCATATGAAGTCATTATGCATAGACATTCTTGTAATTAATCGTTGTTGAAATCAAACACTAATTTTCACCATCATAAACTCGAGCTTAGTAAGATATCCTTACGTCAAACAAATTGAATCCGAAATCCTGTATGGTACCGGTCACTTCCCTTGGATCTTCACCCCTCAATGTATTGAAAGTAGAGGCAATAAATTGCTAACCCAGAAACCGACTAACAAAGGAGGAATTGTTCTAACTAATTTATTCCTTGAAAGACTGTGTCCTTCAAATCCAGAAGCATGTAACTTGATAGGAATTGCCACATGGATATGGTAATGCTTTCTTGTTAAAGATTTGTTCCTTTTAATTGATTAGTGGCTGTTAACTGCAGTGCCATTTTGGACTAATTACCTGTAATGCGTAGAAATAGAACTTGTCTAGTTTTTCACCCAAGAAACTTGATCAATGCATGAAAGTCCACCTGGTAGAGCAGAAAGCGGAAACATGCCTTCACTTATTACTTACATTTGCAACTACACCAAATTCCCAAGTTAAAGAGAAACCTAACTCTTTATGCCTTTTAGTGTGTGTTTTGGCTTGAAAGGCTTTCTTTGTCAAATTGGTAGCATGAAGGTTATGCTTTATAATTGCATCGATCCCGTGCAAGAAATTTACACTGAAAAGAGAAGCCAAAATATACTCAAAGCTTCTTGAAATGATATCCGAAACTGAAACCAAGCTTTAAACAACGTTTAGAAACTTGCCACAATTGTGATCTTTCATCCAATAATTCAATCATAGTTGTATAATTGCATTTCATATATGGGGAGCATCAATTAGACAGGTTTTGCATGATCCCTGACCCAACTCCTTTAATTTGTTGTAAATTTCCTAAGTCCAAAATAGGTATAGATATGGCTTAACTAATTTAAACATATGATGTATTCACAAAAGCTAATCTCACTTTTCACTCGGTGACCTGAGATGAAGATGTCGTAGTATCAAAAGATTTCTTCCTAACCAGAAGGCAAGTTATCCTTGATGGTTGAGCGTGTGTATTCTCCAGACTACACAAAACAAAGTCAGGTCTATGAAGTGCAAGATTCAGTCGATCCTGTCCCACAACTAAGGCAGTTGCATCGAGCAGAACGTGCCATGAATTCCTGTGAGCTTCTGAAATCCAATGCATCGAGTAACGCATTCCGTTTACATCAGCTGGATAAGAGAACAAACCCTTCGGGCTGTGCTTACACTTCCTCCTAAAGTACTGGCTAAGTTGTGATCCCTTGATTCTCAGATCCAACCATGATTCAGGGGCCAGGATAGCTTTTGCTTCCTTATAAATGGCAAACTCCCTTATGTAATCCATATCTTCACCAATGATGGTCATGTAGAAGTTCCCTCGGAAAAAAGGGTAGCTTTCTCCTACTAGCATCATCGCATCCTTGTAGTTTGGAGTAAACAGAACAAGATAGTCATCATCTTGTAGCCCGCAGTGCTTCAAAACTTTGTTTTGAGCTTGGATTTCAGGAATTGAAATGAAACTTCCAGGAAAGGAAGATTTCATGGTCAGGATATCGAGCAGTCTTGATGCCTCCAATTGGATCCTGTCCAGGTCGGGAAGATTGCTTCCAAAGGAAGGTGTGGAGGACTCCCTAAAATTACTTTTAGATGATTTTCTTTTATCATCAGGTGCGGGCTCAGAGGACTCCTCATTGATACAAAGACTAGAGAGATCCATATTTTCTATTTCAACTTGTCCTGCATACTGCGGGTATTTTGCCAAGACATACTGTTCAACATATACCCTTTCAGTGTTTGTGATGGGACCTGACCATCTGAGATCAAGACCGTGGAGTGTTGATATGGCCTCAGCTACGATATGCGCTGGAATAACAGTATGTGCTTTCTGTTTTTGTCGCATTTAAAAAAAAAAAGTCAAATATTCGAAATACAGATTTGCAGAAACTTGAGAGTCAAGAAAATGGAGGGCAAAGCATAGTATTTTACCTTGACAACCATGCTGCTTGGTCTGCTGCTCTGTATGGCTGATTTTGGTATGGATGCAAAAGGGGATTCTTTGTGTTCACTTTCCATCATGTTTAAAATTTGTTGTCAAATACTTCAATGAGAATCCTTGAAGCTTTTGCTATAGACACTTTGCAGGATAACTTGTTGAATCATTAACAGCACTTACCTTGGATCCTGCAGGTGAAACCACCCGATCTTTGTTGCTACAGACCATAGTACCTTGTCTCTTCTCCACTCTCCAGCATTCAAAGATTTGTCTTCAGGCCAATAAACAACACTTGCCAAGATTGAGGAACACACAAACAAAAAGCGAAACTGAAAACAGAGGCATGAACCAAAACTGCTCTTGAAGGGTAAGGAGTTATTATCCTCAAAAATTAAAGATGCAGAATGAGGAGGGAAAAGATGGGGGAAGAAAACGAAGAAAAGTAGGTTTGAACAGAATACCAAGCCAAACTAAAACATTTCTGGCTGCAGTGCAAGTCCATAGCTAAGGGGTAATAAAAAATTAAAAGTAGTAGTTTTGAATAAAGATATACCGACAATGACAACAGCAATGCTCCATAACAGGGGAACTCTAGAGGTAGATGAGCAAACATTTTACTGCCAGAACCGTGGTTCAGCTAAATATTCTTTAACACCAACACGTGTTCTGCGATCATGAGTAGGGTTCAGGACTCTGGCTCAATTTTTTACCTTAATCAAATAGCCTAAGGATGGATATCGAAATGGTGTTGAAATTCCTCATATGATTTTCCGGAATGACAACAAACAAGAAAAATGGATTCAATTATAGAGGAAACGTCACCTTGGGAATTTTAAAATCTTCAATGGAGAGTGACCATTTGAATTATTGTTTATCTAACAAAGTAGGTGGGAAGGGAATCTTGAGGCTTAGGAGACAAGCAGGATGGGAGTCAGCCTGTAAAAATTCATTAAGGTAATACGTGAAAGTGGTGACTTGAGCCTCCTGGGATGTAAATATTTATGGATCTAAATTATCAAATACAATATAGACATCACTACACTACTGCATCCTAAAAGGCCATTCAATTCCCTTAGCAAACAAGTTAAGCAGTCATCAAGATGCTTACGTACATGCATGGAATGGAAAATTTGTTATATACCTGACACTGTTCTTTGAATTTTGTTATGGTTTGCTTAAGAAGAACCAGTCAATCTCCCAAACTTGGAACAAGGGAGCCTTATGTCATCCATTGAGAGAGGGCCATCCTTATTTGTAGGTTTTGATGCAAATTTCAAAGAACAGGAAAATGAAGCTATCATATTTCGAGATATCATTTTAACATATTCTAACATTCATGAGAAATTATGGCACAAAGTAGAAAAATGATTCAAACCAACTCCAGGACTTCAGCATTGAATTGACATGAGCAGAGATTTCTGAAGCACTCCAAACAATATTACTTCAGTGTGCCCTTACCTTACAAAGATTATGTTCATGGAGCAAAATAATAAGTTATTCCAGGGTGGTTTCGATATTTCCTTGATCTTGTTTCTGACTAGAGAAGGTTCCAAGAAAACATGTCATTCAATTCGTTAGAAACAATGATCAGGCAGACAGTCAGTAGAAGAAAGAAATTATGCTCCTCATAGAGATACCTTGGATGAGAGCTTACAAAGAGACAAGGATATAATAACAAGCTTATTTTATGTGCAAATTGGCATTTAGAGTAATCAGCCGGAAATGTTAAGCTTCCAGGCTAGAACAAACTTATTTAAACACCTATATTTCAGTTGAACCCAACTGCTCAGATGCATTAATTTACTCATATTTGTAATTAAGAGTATAAATTAAGAGCATAATCTAATTATTCTTTTAAACCAAGTCTTTAAACAAATCTGTCCCTTGGTTGAAGTTTTCGTTATGTGACTTCCCTGGAGGCTTCAGTTGAAAAGGACAACAAGGCTTTAAATCCACACTTCGACTCTCTTTCTCTCTCCCTCTCTCTATCATTCATCAAATATTCTTCTATTTTTATGATCATTAGTTTGATGATTTCTTTTACTTGTTGCCTAGAGAGTTACAGCCACGCTGGATTTGACTCTGATAAATTAATCATCAACCTCTTATGAGCTGTCAACAAAAATTTTGGGCAAATTTCTGAGAAACCAAATAATACAAGTAAGCTGCTACTAGTTTGAATGTACCAAAGAAAAGAACTAGACAAGTTTGAAGAGATTGCTTAGGCAACCACAGAATTCCCTACTCCTTTGAAGTCTGTTTCACCTTTACCATTTGAAATTTTGCTTTGGTTTAAATGTTTGGGTTTTCTTCATCTTCTAGGTAAATTGGACGGTTGAAAGGACCACTGCACCAACTTATTAACAGTTTTAACAACCAAAAATATTTGAAAGATTTTTGATCAAGTATTTCTTTCTTTTTTTTTTTTGAAAGGTTGTAATTCATTAAAGGGCCATTGACCAATAAAAAAACAGTGGAGGTTTGACGTCTTTATGATGCAGTGGGGGCATAATGAATTCAAACCTCTAGGCAATACTCTGCTGAAAACCACCCACCAAACTACACGAGCCCTAGGAATCCCGATGACAACAAAAATAATCCGAACACAGCATTTGATCAATCACTTCCCTATCCAAACACAAAACATAACTAACAAAAATACAGGACACAGACAACAACATGGACTCCTTACTAGGACTTCTCACCTTATCAATACAACCAAAACATATAAACTGAAACAGTAATTCATATGAGATCAAGAACGCAACTTCCTCCACCAACTCATTTGATCAAGTGTTTCTAATATAGTTTAGTCAATAGTTAGTCTCTAAAATGAAAAGGTCATAAGGTTTAAGCCCATGCTTCCTAAACTTTATTGCAAACAATTATTAATAATTCTCCCCATTGATGTGATCAGCACATGGCCCAAGCTGTTAATATTATTCAATGCAATTACCTCTGGACATTACCATGCATAGCCTTATACACTATTATTTTGAGGGGATTGTAGGACTTTGATTTGACCGTAAACCTGCAGAGTAATTCCCACCCTTCAAGTGGGGCAAATACGATGAACCAAACAGCTTATGGTTTTGGACCACACATGATTGGATCCATTCAGACTTTCCTAAAGTTCCTAAGCCGAAAGAAGCATTCCAATAGCATGTATGAAATATCACAATCTCCCAGCAAACAGATGGAAAGGTTCATTTTGCACGTCTTGGTTGGGACTTGGGAAGATGGTTTGCAAACTGCAATGCATAATCCGGAGCTAGGCTGCAAATCTGCATGCTCAAGTCTCTTGCTCCTGATCTTCTCTCTGTATGAGCCTAGCTGGGACCCCAACCATGGCTGGGCCTTAGCCAACAAAACAACAAACCTTACAATTTCGCATGCAATGTGCAACTTTACCAAATAAGAAAGTCAAAAATGATTGAAAGTGATGGAGCACCAAACTGGAGGAGCCTCCTTCAGCATCACGCATGCCCAGCAAACAAGCTGAAAACAGTTAAGATACAAAGATGAACCAATCAAACAATGCCCTAAACGTGCCTATGCTTGAGCCGGATCCTGCAAAATGATAGAAACACCAAACCTTAATTATTCTTTTTCTATACGGATAGTAGCTTTAATTGCTAAAACGCAACGTGGCAACCGAAGCAATTAGGTGACTGGCTGACAGCTGATAATAAAGGAGAGGTTTAACACTTGAAACGAAAGCAAAAACCATTTCTTCTTCCTCACTCAAGATGATACGAAGATTGATAACATAATAACAACCCATGCCATCAAAAACCCACAATTACCCTGTGAGGAGGATGTGATAGTAGTGCCCGTAAGGTGCTGGAAAAGGAAAAAAGCCAAGCAAGAAAATGCCTCCTGAAGTATCTCATTTCCGTGCCCCTCAGATCACTCCTTTGGTTCAGTTTTCTACAACTGCGGCCTCGGGTTCAAGCCCCAAATTTGGCAGAGCAGCTAGAAGGATGAAATTCCCTGGAAAGACACTACTCCCGGTGCTTGTTTTCATCCTGTCATGCCTTTCCATTCTCAGACTTCTTAAAATCGCAATTACTACTTCACATTCTGCATCTCCAGCTTCTGCTTTGTCGTCGTCTCTTCAACAGGAGTGTTCATCTCCTTCTGAATGCAGTGAGGCTACATCAAATGAACCGGAGGTCTCCCGTCCGCACAAATCCTCCGCCAATGCAACCCTTCTCACCCCAAAGGAATTCAAGCTTCTTTCAAATCTCATTACCCGTAAAGCACCTTGTAACCTCCTAGTTTTCGGGCTTCAATCCCAGTACCTCAACCTCTCATCAATAAATGCAGGAGGCGTCACTCTTTTTCTCGAGGATGACCCATACAAGATAAGTGAAATCAAAGCTGATTCTAATGGAACTCGAATTTATAAGGTTAAGCACCAGGCACCAGCTAAGAAGGCATACAGCCTGCTCAAGCATGCCAGGGGAAATCCTGCCTGCGCACCAAGCACAAGTCTGCTCCAACAATCAACTTGCAAATTGGCATTGAGAAATTTACCAAAAGAAATTTATCAGCGTAAATGGGATGTCGTGGTGGTGGACGGGCCAATTGGGGACGGACCAGAAGCACCAGGCAGGATGTCAACTATCTACACTGCTAGTATGTTAGCCAGGGTTGGGAGGACGACTGATGTTGTAGTACATGACGTTCATCGGACGATAGAGAAATGGTTTTCTTGGGAATTCCTGTGTGAAGAGAACTTGGTTTCTGCTAGAGGAAAATTCTGGAACTTTAGGATCCCCGGTCAATCAAATTCTACAAGGTTTTGTTCTCCCGAGACAGTTCGGATAGAGTAACAGCCTTCTTTTTCTGCAGCAACAGAACAATCAGTGGCATCGTTGCTACAGGTCGGCCGTCCTAGAATTTGTGAATAAGATACCATCACATTTCGCGTTATAAAAGATATATCACCAAAATTGGAGTACCACATCCAGGATGTATTAGGTCGCGTATCATATGTAAGTCACACGGTTATACCCTACATTGTGGACGACAGAATTCCGGCTCAGGAAGGCAGATTTGTGAGTATCTAGAATTGCATATTTTATTCATATGCGTGTAAATGAAGAAACATCAGACGGACTCGGTCAGTCAAGAGTACGAGTGCTACTGCCTTGTTGCATATTTTAATCAGATGCGTGTAAATTTAGAAACAATAGATGCACTTGGTTGTTACTAACAGCTTCTCTCATAATATCGTGTAGGACCTGAAATATCGTAATAAGGTAAAGTGGCCATTAAGGTTGCTAATTGTTTGTATAATCTGGGTGCCATTGCTCAGAAATCCATGGTTCAAATTCAAACAGCACATCTGCTTGCTATAGAAAGAACGAAACACAACTAATGGTACATTTTGTGAGGAAAGTAAAAGAGCCATGGGCGGAAGATAATTTGTATTTCTTATGCTGTACAAAGTGCACAACTTTGAGAGGTAGGACAAGATTCCAGGTGTAATACATTTAGGGATCTCAACAGTTGCTAAATATCTTAGGGTGAAATCACCATGACCCACTCCCCCTTTTCCTGAAAATTTCTCCCTGTGAATCTTTAGATTCACCATGGGAGGGGAAAAACAAAACAATGCTACTTGATTCTTTCAACATCAGCTTCACCTGAGTTTCTTTTCTTTGCATGGTCACTAGTCATCATTCACCGAAATCTTCCCGCTGCCAAAAAGGGGGGAAAGATTAATTGCATAAATATACAATCACCTTTCAACATAATGAAGTATAAACTTAGAAGTTAATGGTAATAATGCCAGGGCTAGACAGTTAGATCTATTATCTTTTCAAGAAGCAGCAAGTTTCTTCCTGGAAAATACTCAAACTAAAGTGAATCCACTAGAGACGCAGTTGATTAGTTGCATTTTGAAGCAAACTAATGAGATTCTACAAACATGCCCTTTACTGCTAAAGAGACAACTCAAAGACCAGCTTGGCTAACTTTTGAATTGCCATTATTAGTACTGCATTATAATACATAGACAGGTTACCTTACCCAAATGACAATCATACAAGCTGATGCCTTAAATGAGCATGGAATAGAGCACATGTTTATCATTCCACTTCTACCTCTTGAGAAACTAGCCTTCAGAATGATGTGGTATATGAAAATGTGATGCTTACCATTCGTTTGCTGATGTAAGGCTGTATCTTAATCGGCATCTCAGAATGACTTTCAACCTTGAGGAACTTCTGTTTCTCGATCTCAAATTCTTTTCTAGATTCCTTCCTGCTACCTGACTGCCAAACTCTACCAAAATTAGGAAGCCAGTTAGCATCACAATCACTCTTCACAATCTCCCCTCTCTTCTCCTTCTCCAGCTCCAGCTTTCGCTTCTCAGCCCAAGCAGCTCCCACCCTTTTTGGATTCAACTTAGAGGATTTCTGTGACTTATTTGATGAAATAAAGCTACTTAAAGATGGTTTTGCTTCATCAGTTGCCTCAAACCAGGGAGGGGGTGCTCCAGAATGCACATTTCCTCCAGCATCTACTGTTGACAGCGAAGTGGCTTCAGTTAAGCTCAGCAAAGCTGAAAAAAAAAATGGTCATAAGATGATGAATACAAATTAGCATTCTCAAAAGCATCTCTCCACTTTGCTACCAGACAACTATAAGCAAATTTTCAGCATACTGTTTTTTTACATTTTTGAGTGACTTGGAATGAAAATAGAATTATATGAAAACAAAATCTAATTAAGCATTACCCTGAGAACTGCTTTCTCTATTCACCATGCTTCCACCCTGATACACTTGGCACACCTGTATGAGACATAATATATATTCGCGAAAAACGTAACTGTAATTTCATGTATGAAGAAACTAGTCTGTGAAATCCTAGAAAACAACTGAACTTCATACAAAAAAAACATGAGAAGGAATCCAGATGATGGGCTTGTTGCATAAGAGGCATACGGTACTATATTCAAAGTTCAAGCACATGATATAATTAGCCCCGGTGAAATTTTTAAACAGTAAAGATATGGCATAAAGAAGCATGTATTTAAGAAGAAAATAATGAACAGGCACTTCAATGGCAAATAATGGTATAGCAATTGTCACCTATGCAACTTAACTCCAAACCAAAATCCTGATAATCCAACTGCAAGTAAGTACTAACGGAAACTAGTAAAGACCCTTAACAATAAGATCACATGTGAGATGGTAAAGCTGGGTTTAAAGAGAGGAAGCTTCAGTCAAATACAAAAAAGCAAGCTCTCCAATCCAGCAATGCACTTTACTATGGGAGGCAGTTTCAAGGTGTTCATCAAGGTGAAGATTCTCAAGGGTGCACCTGATGATTTAACTACTTACATGATCAACTTCCTCAAGAGCCTGAGGGAAAGTGGCATGGCAAAATAAGGATGGACAACGCTCTGCATTCAACTATACGAACAAAGCCAGGTACTAAATACCATATCCCAATAAGCATATAATATTGTTAAGGGATGGCTTCAAATTTTAGCATAATAAGAACAGTCACAAGATTCTTTCTCAGAAACAATTAAATGAAATTAGCTCCATAGGCAAAACGCATGGATGAATAAACTTACCCCAATATTACTTAGGTAAGCATTGGCTGAGCATATTCCATTCTTGTCCAGGAGATCATGTTGGCTTATGCTGTTAGCTGGCAATTCAAGCACAGAGCACATAAAAACAAAACTAATAAGTGTATTCTCATTTTTTATACAAGAAACCCTCTCAGATATCAGTGAAATAACTTGAACTAGATTAAATGAGAAAAATATCAAATAACCAGATATGCATACCTGTCAAATCATTTGAGTTCCACAAACTAATATTGGAACATGCAGCCGTAGGCAAAGAAAAGTTAGCATCATGCAAATTTGAACCAAAGTTTGCAACTTCAGAGAATCTCGAATTAGATATCTGAGACTCATTCGTATAGTACTGTAAAGGCATAACAACATTTGAATAACTTGATTTGAGAGGGTCAATATTATTCTGTTCAAGATTATTTATTTTGTCAAAGCTGACGTTATTGTGGATATCATAAGAAGTTCCATATACAACTCCACAAGATCCTTCACCAAGTGCAGCCACAGCTTCACTCTTCAATGACTTGCACTTCTTCTCCCACTACAATGACCAAAAATGAACTCCTTAACACAATTAATATCATTCCAAGCTTTCTTTTGAGATCTTTTAGTAGCAAGCTAATGGCCATACCTTAGTTAGATCAGTTTCCAATATCCTATACGTGTCCAAACAGTCCATCTTACCACCATATTGCCAGAGAAAATGCTTCAAATTCTTCAGGTGATGCGCGCTAACCAAGTGATTAATAGCATTTTCACTTTGCAAAGAACCAAAAACACGAACACCATCACAATTCAGTCACTGAGATATTGTTGGCAAAGCAAAGCAATCTTGTTTATTCTGATAAATTTCACTCATTAAATCCAAATTTTTAGTTTCCGATTTTCCCTTTGCTTTCTAAGTAACTAATCTGAAATGGCTGTAAATTCCAAACTATTTAACTAAGTTGAGCCAAGCTTCAAAGTTTCTGTGTTCATATAAATCATAGACTTAAATTAAAAAAAAAAAAGAAACCGCTTCAAAATTAAAAAGCTTACCAAGCGAAAGAGCTATCGAGCTCGTCGACATCAGTATCGCAGAAGACGCACCAAAATCGGTTGCGATCAGCGTGTTCAGGTCGAATAATGGTGGGGTTTTTCAAGAAGAAGCGAATGTCGTTAATTTTGTTCTGAAGCCGGGAGAGGAAAGCGGAGACGGAGTTTTTGTGGTTAGGGAAATATTTATGACGTGGTCCTTGGTTGTGATTCAGCTTACAAACCTTGCAAAACTCAAATTCGCTCTTCTTCTTCTTCTTCTTCTTCTCCTTCTCCCCCTTTGTATTGTGGTAATTTTGGTTCCTGAACTGCGATTTAGGGTTAGGGTTTGGGTTTGGTTTCTCAGAACTATCCTCCATTGTTGTACGGAGAAAATTGGTCCCAAACTCCCAATCTCAAATTCTAGAACGTTAGCGCGGTTTTGGGTATACCTTCTTTCTTTGGTTCAATGAAAAAAAAAAAACCAACCGCTTTTGTTGAATTACTTGATCAAACGCACCGTTTTGTCCACGTAACTAACTCCGGCCAAGTTACCGCCAGTGTTACCTTACTATTGGATCAAAAAGAGAAATGCAAAGAAATTGGGTGTTTTTTTTAAAAAGATCCCAAAGAAATTGTTATTTAAAACGAGAAAGAAGGAAATAAAAAACAAAGAAAGAAATCCCAATCTCTTTTCTATTTTCTTTTTGTCACTTTTATAATCCCTCATATGAGTATGAATTTTATATTATTTGATGATTTTTAACATAATATTTTCAAAAATTTTAAATTATTTAAAAATTTTAAGTAAAATTTTATTTTTTCATTACGTTTAATTAAATTCTTATATTTTTATTTTAGCTCAAATATGTTTTTATAATTGACAATTAACTAATTCACATTAATCAAAACATCATTTGTAACTTTTTACATGAAAAATAAAAATATCATATATCATATTAACATATCATATCATCATTCAGTATAACATATCAACATGGTATCTCGATATTATGTGATATAAAATAATAAGTAATATTTTGACCAATAACAATTAATGATCTAAATTTTTTTTAAATAGATTAAGAATTGATTTAAGTATTACTCCATGATTTTTAGGCATACAACTTTTCAATAATTAGTCTTTTTTGCTATAGGCCAGATTTGGATGGAAAAACAAGATAGAGCTTTAAGAGGTAATTTAAACATATAAAAAAACATGATTAGATGTGGCATTTCAACAACATCCTTCAGCTGAAAGGTAAATGAAATTTGGGTCAATGTGAAGGACCTAAAAAGATTCTGGTAGTAGTACCATGTTCCCACACTTTGATAGATAGTATTTAACTTTTTCGTATTACAAGTCATAATTGGCAGATGGGGGGGACATTGGAATTTTTTTTTGCTTATGATGAGTATAAGTCTTCCCTGCAGGTCCATCGTTTGATGTCAATGGCTCAATGCAGCCCCTTGAGTACTTTGTTAGGAAGCTCTCTGCAACATCTTTATCTCTTTAGCTTTTATAAGAGATAAAGTTCTTATATCTTCAGACCGATTGGGGTATAGCCCAGTTTTTTTTTTTTTTTGTTATTGTTATTTTTCTTTCTTTCTTTCTTATTTGATGGGAAGGATTCACGTTTGCACATGTTTCGACTATGATTTTTGAGTCCCACCATGATCTCTGAAGGACTGCAACTTTCTAAATTGCAAAAAGCTGTCTTCTTTTCTTCCTTATTTTCACTCAAGCTTGGTTCACAAACGACTCGACTAGAAGTCTAAACGATCTGGTACATTTATGATCATCCTGCTCTCTCATTGCCACTATAGGCGCCAGCAGCTATAGTTTTGAAGGAAAATTCACCTTCCCTTTGCCAAATATTTCTGATTTCTCACATGACACCATATGTAATGTACATCTACTTCTGACAGTGCCAGTCAAATTTTGAACTTTCAAAAGATTCAAACTGCCTTCTCTACTAGACTGCAGATGTTCAATTTTGGATAAAATTAGCAGGGTTTATACTTTAAAGGGACCTGATCGACCTTGATTGGGTATAGAAATAGTAGTTCAGTATAGTTGAGCTATGTTAACTCATACAAAATGCTTATATACTACATGGCATAGATGGTGATATGCTTTCCGTTATCCCTGAGCACTGGGATGAAAAACTTGTTTGGTTTTGGTAGCAAGGACTGGACAGGTGCATTAAGATAAATCTGGTCTTCGAAACTGTTCTGTTGCATACCATTGGTGTAAGGAGATAAGGATGATCGATTCTTTACAATTCATCTTAATAAGGGTTGGTCATATGATTAACCATATCTACATCAAACTTTAATAAACAAACAGTATCACTTCATCATAATATGTGGACAAACGTGAAAAGACAAATGTTAAGGTTTTGTCATAATGACTAGTTTGATTGTTTGGCTAGCATGACCTACATCTTTATCCTGCACTTCAACTTTATGGAAGAATTGATGGCTGTTGCAATTCTATGATTGTAACCAAATAAGCAATACAAGACAAGGAACCTATAATGCAAGTGGTCATGTGTCAGCATACGGTCTCCCATCAATATGATTGTTAGGTGATTATGGAACTCAAACTAGGACACAACCATTCAGCATTTCCTTGTGATTTCTTAAGTCCCCAAGGTCGTGAATTTCCATCACTGGAATCCAATTCCAAGTAGCCCTGTCCTTTTTCTCCCTTTAACTCTGAAATTGCAGTTGTTTACAGCAGTACCATCAGGTTTCATTGCCATAAATCATGATTGCTGCTGTTTTATATAGGAATCCATAGTTTTGTGGTAAAAGGAAAAAGTAAAAAAGCTGCTTGGTTCCAATGAATTCTTGCATGTTATGTTCTTATGTCTTAGTTGCAGAAGGCTGTCCTCTTGCTAGTTCCAAAGAGGAGCAGTGGTTTTATTCAAACTACAAGCCTTAAAACAACCAAAGAATTGCTTTTGAAGTTGCGTTTCTGATATAGGTGGTTGAGGAAGCAAGAACACCAAAGTGGTTAGTGGCGAAAAAGCAAATTATGCTTTAGATCCTGAATTAGGTTAGTCTCTTAGAAGATTCTTGCAACCAAATAAAGAAATATCAAACTAATAATTAAGTTAATCATAGGTGCTTTCTTTGTTCACATCCTTTTTCTTTATATTTATTTGAAAAATGTGCTTTTCTGGAGGATCTAATTTTGAAACTTCATGATCCTTTGCCCCCACTAGATTATGTCTAGACTCTTGAGTCTTGACCTCATCCAAGAATCAAATCGGTGTATTATTGAAGCTACTCCCTAACAGATAAATGGTATATGAGTAATGTGTTCGGAGGTTGCTGACAAATCAAGCTAACTCCATTGTCAAAACATCTTGAAAGCTTCACTATTAACTACTCTTGACTGATGCTTTAGTAGAGTCATCCTATCCAAAAATGTCTCTTTTGTGTTGGATCCCGGACATGGGTAGTGGGTGTTTGGTTTCTGGTGAGCAAAAGTTAAGAAGTTAAATACAAGTGGACACAGCTATTCTGTCTCGTTGTTGATGAATTACTTACTTTTTGTTCTGATTCATTTCGCCTTTCTATCAAAATCAAGGTTCTGAATTTGACTCTCGAGGTGGCAGGTTGACTCATCGAGGGCAAATTACGAGTTTCCTGAGTTTCAACAGTACGCAATTACGAGCTTGTGTGGTTGGGTAATTAATAACCAAGATATCACCAATTTAGCTGAGACCAATTCCATTCGGTATCGAATTTGATTTTCGTTGAATAACGATTAACTTTCCATAATCTGTGTGCTTCGTGCTGATGGAGATCCTAGCTCGAACTCTTTAACACTGTTATAATCCCACCTGTTGAGGACCGAAGACCATTTTGGAAATTGCTTGAAACCCGGTTTGTTTTGCTGGGGTGAGCAAGTTATGCAGCAGGCTGCAAACTTATACTTGATAATGGGAATATCATTTGATCACTTGACGTTACATTTTTCTGAACAACTGATCACTAAATTGTGTCCCTTCAGAAGCCAGATGTTTGATCTGTATGTTTTATGTTGAGGGTTAGGATTTTTCATCCATACACCTTACTCTTGATAGTGGGAATAGCACCAGTGAGACACATGATGATTCAATCTTACAAATATTAGCAGCTAAGATATCCCTGCCTATCTGCTTCTCTAGTACTTTCATTCTCAAAAGCTAAAATGCATATCCATTTATCTGACATTTGTGTGAAGTTGTGCTAGAAGTGTGTTAGCAATTAGGACAATAATGTATCACCAAACAAAAGAATTAGGACAATAATGCACCAAGTTAATTAATTGATTCTAGCTGTGTGCATCATGACAGTAAAGTAAGAGAAAAATTCATCTGGAAACTTTCATGATCTTAAAATGAGATATGATCTCATAAGAATGCCAGGAAAACTATTAGGAGGCTCTCATTTACAAATGATCTATCTAAACTTCAATTTGTGCTTCATGATCACTAAGTACACTCATAACTCCTGTCAGGTTGTCACCAAAACAATAAATCAAATTTCCTGCGGTAGACAGGCACAGGCCATTGTTATTATCCTCTTTGTTCTCCTGGTAAAATTTGAACCTGGAACATATCTAAGTTTGCCGTTTGATAGTACAGATCATCAATAATTGTTCATTCATGAAAGCCACGCTGATCAGGACATTAACAACACAAACTCAAACAGAAAACTGAATTTGGGACTCAAATTTCCTGGCAACATGTATTTAATATATATATATATATATTCTCATTTCAGTTTATCATTTGGTTAATTATTCATCATAAACACCAATTGCAATGAATTAAAAATAGACATTGCATAATTTTCGTGCTGCTCTTATTGTGTTCTTTTGGGTTATTTCCTTCTTCTATGTTGAAGGAAGTTGATAAATCCAATGCCCAAATTTTCAAACCCCAATAACAAACTCGGTTATGGAACAAAAACTCAGCTATATCTTAAACAAGGGTTTATATGAAAGCATCAAGGCCTGAACCTTTGCCTGCAAGACTGGCAAGTAATCTCCATGCACGTAGAATCTATCTTCCTTGTTGCTCTCTCCTTCATTCTCTCAGCTTTTTCCACTTCCTCCCTAGCTCTTTGCCACATATGCCTAGCCCTCGCAAATTCAGATTGTGCCAACTCCATTTCCCTCTTTGTAAGCTCCCTCACTCTCTCTGCATAAGCCTTTTCGATAGCTGCCAATCGAATTTGCTCAGCCGCCTGCCATTTCAAGGACTCGACGCAGCTTGTGTCGGCCTTAACATCACCGAAGTCACAAATGGGTCCTGCAATAACACAATTCGATGGTTGCTGGATTGGCCTGAGGCTGATCGATAGTTGCAAGTCGAGTGATGGCCCTTCGTATTGATCACTCGTCGTCGTCGATCGATATCTTAGTGAAGAATCAGACGCCCGAGATGACATCTGGGAAGATGACGCTATGGAGAGCGGAGTGGGGAGCAGCTGCAGTTCTTTTTGATCTTCCTCTTCCATATAGAAAAGAGGCTTAAGCAAAGAAGAAACCGGGGGAGGGAGAGATAGTGGGGTGACAGAAACTGCTCCTTTATATAAACAACTCCCCACATGCCCTAATTACCTTACTACCCATGGTTCCCATGCAAAATGACTTAACCGACTTCAATGCTTGGAATGACCAATCCACCCTCGTTGTCCTCGGAGTATTGCTCCCTGCTTCCATTAAGAAATATGTTAATAGGTGCCCAATAATTTTAAAATAGAAATTGCTTTTGAAATTAAAGTTTCATTGCATCTATTCATACTCAATTTCGATTTAAACTTCCAGTCCAATCAGCATTACGCTTTGGGGTAAATATAATGGAGAGTAAAGGACATTGTGGTCAAATCACTGTTAAAGGAACAGCAGAAGTTCCGTTATAGAAGAGCCAAAGCATGGAATCAAGGATTCAGGTTGTTGGGGCTATGAGTTGCCCTTTTGACTTCCTTTTTTTTTTTTTTTTGAGCTTTTTAGTATTATCTTAGTATTTTACTGCTACCAATTTTCAATATTTTTAATGAAAGCTTTTTCTTCCCTTTTTGAGAGTTGAGGACGGAGACGGGGGGTGGAAGGGTAATAATTAGAGTCGCACGTGCGTTTGGGGGGGTTGCTAGGGAGGGTTGCGGGGTGCGGATTAGGGGACCTTTATTTCCAATAAAATTTATTTTCCATCTTTTCCCTTTCCGAGTAAATAAGTATGATACTTGGAGATGGATTATTGCTTAGATGGTAGGCCTGGGGATGTCGGCCCTCAGTACAAAAAGGTCCCAACTTTCAAACTCAGCAGGGCAGGGGCCACGCCCCCCGGGGCAGATCGGCACGTGGGATGGACACACTGGTGAGCCTGACCATGATTGTGAATACTGACTCTACCACTTGGACCGTTCATCCGGTGGGCCCTCTTCCCTTAGACCTTTCTCCACTCTACATCATGCGGGCTGGAACAACCTCATCTGCATCTTTGATTGGAGTTGGGTACCCTTTGCTGTTTAGGCTGTGTTTGGGCATACTTGGCTTCATTTCCTTCACAACAATCAAAAACTGTCATAGTTTTTTTTTAGCATTACATCAAAATCCTCATCATGATCATAAATAAGAGAAATTCGTTTGTCGAAGCACCAAATCTGTTGGTTCAGATCGCTTGCTGTTCCAGCTTTCCAACTCCCACCATTAGGATTTAACAGTTTTTAGGTTATGATAAAAACAAATCCTAAACAATTTTCAAGTCATGCATCATTTTTTTGTGTTTTTTTACTCAAAAAGAATGTTGAGTTTGTACTTGAAGTGAAGATAATTTAAAGATTCAACCCATGTGCAAGGTTCTTATTTAATTGTCTATTATTATGATTTTGTGAACAAGTTGCATGCATTCATGTTATAACTTTCAGCAAAAAGGTAAATATATGTGTATATAATATTCTTTCTTGTATTTGAGAGATGGAACATTCAAGATATAATTATAATTTATTATTGACAAAAGCAAGAGCAAACCATTGCAAAGTTGATAATTTGAATTTAATACTATTACTTCTTTAGAATTTATTATTTCGTTAATAATTAAATTTAAAATTTAAATAATTTTTAAAATGAGTGCTCATAATTTTAAAAAAATTTTAAATTTTATTTATATATATTATGAAAAAGTGATTTTATGATAAAATGTTAATATATAAATATTATACACTACCCATGCATCGAATATAAATAATCTTTTTTTTCTTAACATTGTCACTTTAGAACAACTCAACTTTTCGGCAAAGAGTTGTCCTAAGAAGATCATTATGCACTATCTAGTCCTATTGTCGGATAAAATATTGCTTAAACAAAGGAGATAAGGACGTACGTAAATGATTCCAATGTAAACCTAGGGTTTACATGAAAATCATTTTTTAAAAATTAAAACATCTAAAAAAATTTAACGGTAAATTCGATCACCTAACTTTTGCTAACTTTTCAATTAATTTTTGTACCAATTCCTAATCTCTCAGTTATTATATTTAAATACCAAATTTTTTATAATTTATTAGTACAACTTATCAAGCTTTCATAAAAAATATACAAAAAATTGCTTAAATGGAAAATTACCTTTTTGACATTACAATAAAATCACAAGCATTGTAATAATACAAATAGTTTTTTTTATTGGATTTGAAATGCAAATGGAATAATGGCAAGGTGAAAATTTAAGGTAATGTTTGGTATTTTTATGAGAATATGATTGTTAAGTATATGATCACTAGAAAGATAACTTTGTAACATTTAGTATATCATAAAAAAGTGATTATTGTAGGAAACTTAATTATTAACAAGATTATATTGTAGTGTTTGCTTTAAGAAGCATTTTGTAAGGAATATAATGTAAATTTAGAAAATTACCCTTATGTATAAAAGTTGAATAAACTTATATTTTTTTAATCTAAAATTTTAACTTTTCAACTTTATCATTTAAAATAATAAATAATAACATAATAAAAAAATATAATATTTAAATAGTAATTATTGAAATATTAAAATATGTAAAATTATTCAATATTTATTTTTACCCTAAATCTATAAATATAAAAAATAATAATGCCTAGAATTATTACATAAATAATAAAAAAACATTAGTCAAAGAATTTTTTATTTTTTTGTCTTTGAACTTCTTTAGCTAATGACATCTCCCTTTTTTTTAGATAAATAACAATTGATCATTCCCTTTGGTTTTTTTT